GTCAACGTCTGAACATAATGATTGAGTATACTCAAACAGACCTTGGGTACCAGTCCTAAACTACTATAACCCGTGCACCTAATAAGTAATAAGTAGATTAATCAATAGTGCTCTAAATAAGAAAGATGCTACCCTTCTAAGCCTAAAATACTGGCCAATTGGTATCTCCCTCTTCAACGCGGGGGGATGATGGCTTCCCCAATTCAGAAAATTATTTGTTGCTGTGGGGTTTTTATAGAGGGTAGTGTAAATTTGCTTGTCATCAGTAGTCCCTAAGGTGATGTCAAGAAAGTTACGTTAAAGAGGGGGATACCAATTGGTCAGTATCTTAGGCTTAGTAGGAACTGTTCTTCTGTAGAGGAGTTTAAGAGTAAAGCCCAAACTTTTAGGGTCCACTTTAAAGCAAAAGGGTACCCGAATAAATGCCTCAAGAGAGCATATCAAAGGGTCCTTCTAACTGAGAGGATAGATCTCCTGTCTGATAGTCCCACAAAGAAAAAAAGTCAGAATGTCATAAGGTGCATCGAAACCTTTGACTCGGGTTGGGCTATAGTTAAACAGATTTTGGAGCGATATTGGCCACTTTTGTACCAGGACCAACACCTGAAGGGGGTTTTGACTCCTTTTGTCTCCCTCACGGCCAGGAGGGGTTGTAACCTTAAAGATATCTTAGTACCGAGCCACCTCCCTCCACTTGCTAGCCCCTCGTCGTGGCTGAAGTCTCCAGCAGTAGGCACCTTCCAATGTGGCCGTTGCAAGGCTTGTAAATATATTAAAAAACAATCAGAAACCTTTTCTAACTCAGCCAATACGGAGACTCACACAGTGAAAACTTTTTTCAACTGTCAGACAGCCGGATTAATATATCTTCTGACTTGTAGCTGCAATATGAAATATGTTGGCAAGATGTTTAGACCCTTTACAAACCGTATTCTAGAACATATCAACTCTGCAAATCCATCTATACAGACCGACACACCAATCTCATGTCATTTAAAATTGAAACACAGTGGGTCGGCACAGGGCCTACATTTTAGTGGGATAGAGAAAGTTAAGTTGGGCCCTAGAAAAGGGGACATTGATAAAAAAAACTCTTACAATGCGAAAGTTACTGGATTTACAAACTTAAAACACTGTCCCCTTTGGGCGTTAATGAGGGGTTCTCTTACACGTCCTTCATCACTGAATAGACATTAAACGCCAGCAACTAATTAGCACGCATTTAGAGTGAGATCACTTTGTTTGTAAATAGTGTAAATATGTAAGTATGTACAGTACGGTTACCCATTACTTATTGAGGTTATAGTACCTTCTGCTGACCCCTATTGGTGTGATTTGTACCTCTCGGACCAGTACGGTTAGATTCCGTCCAATCCTGCTCATTGCAATTATTGATAAATTAGATAAACTAGGCAAGATAGCGATCTATGCACAGTTATTCCCCCTTTTTAAGGTCCATGAATCTATATACTAGACATTTTCAATAACCTCCGAGGAGTGAGGTTTATTGAGTACCGGGAATATAGCCCGGCATATCTGGATTCATATGAATGGATCTGCTCTTCACGCCCACAGCATGAACTAGCACGCATTACAGAGTAACTATGTTACTGTATTGGGAATTAGAACAATCCTTTTATGGACCTTATCGGGATCCCTAGGATCGATAGTGCCTTACTTATCTATATTTCTGCAGTCAGCAGGAATACTTATCATAAGTGCATAGATCATTTTCTATTAAAGCATTTACTGGGGTGATGAGTGCGGAAGAATGTAATTATATAAATGTTTAAATTCACAGCATTTCCAGGTGCTGACTCCATCTACTTTCCTTCATGCTCAGACATCGTTTTCATAAACCTTGTAGAGCACATCTATTCTTAGTCATTCCATCCGCTGTGCAGAATAAAAACATTCTTTATCATGGGTTCACTCAAACAGCATTATGGGAATCAAACGATTTGCATTATATGCCAGGTTGTGCCTTGACAGCTTTGCATTTGATGTGAAACCCCATCTCCTCAAAACTTTCTAGTTCCTTATTGGGTTGTGCAAGTAACGAAGAAGTCACAGATTCCTTTAACTCTGATCACCCATAACCTTAAAAATCATGTGCCTTTATATTCCATCATAAAGTGATGGAATTCATACTGCCCACTAACGTAGTTTACTTTTCCTACTGAAAGGTTTGTGCATTTGAGCCTCTGCCAAGAGAAAGATATTTTAAAAAAATAACCACATGGACTGTGAGTATGAACAGATTTACATTGCTCACATTCATGTAATCAGATATTTTCCCTTTGAGCTGTGTGTCGTCATAGCCTGTTGAAGAGTTATACAAAAGATAGGGAAATATAATATGTTATGCAGACTTTGCCTATATGAGGTTTTAAAACAAGGTGTTATTTTAGGTCATTATACAATATCAAAACTGCTCATCTATAGAGTAACTGCGACAATGGCATTAATTTAAAGGATTACTCCAAGCATGATAACCGCTACAGCACAATGTAGTGGTTATGGTGCCAGGAGTACCCTGGCCCGATTTAGTAATGGTTTGCCTCTTACGTGGGTCCCCGCTGGGTTTTGAGGCTGTTTCTATGTCTGGTTTCTATGTCTGCAAAGCTGTAGAAACCAAATGCCAATCCATTTGATGACTGCTCTTAACCAATGAATGGCACACAGTGATGGGAAATTTGCATTAGCCAGCTTTTGTTCCTGGTTGGTTCAATGCCTCATTGAAGCTGCTAGGCATGGAGTTACACCTCTGGCAGCAAAGGGATTCATTTCTGTCTGTAACACTGCACATTAAGACTCCAGGCACTATAACCATATCACATCACTGAAGTGGTCATGGTGCTTGGAGTAATCCTTTTAAGGAAATCAGATTTGTATAAAAAATGTCTTTCCTTTTCTTCACATTCACTAATTAATACAAATTCAGGAATTGTGCTGCTCTGACAAGTTGCAATAACTGCTGTGTTGGTGGTTTCCATTTTGGTTATTTGAAAACTTTTGCAAAAATCTCTTTAAAGTAGTTTGTCCAAATCAAATTCCCTTTAATCCATATCGGAACAAATTGATCACCCAGGATTAACCTGTGAAGTCATTATTTAATGAATAAAGCTCCACATGTAAATCCTGGATGGATTGATTCGTTTGGGTGTGGATTAAAAGGCAATGGGATGAATATATAAGAGATATTTAAATATGACAGACAAATTCCTATAAAAGGGCAGAGTCTGTATTCTAATGAGTATTTCTCTGTGAATATATAAACTAGTAAAAATTGATGTGTAGCGAGAATTATTACAATAGAATCTGATGATCTATGTTATATGGCTTATATCACCTCCTCTATAATTTGATCTCAGTATACCTCCAAAGTGTTTTTTAAAAGGACAATCCATATTTTCAGTCCAAATTCTTTATTTTATATCCTAATGTCCCCCTTTTATAGACGATCCAGAGTCTGGTTTTAGGAGTGATCTAGAAAAATATTGCATGCCAGCTGTAGCCATGGCTTGGATTTGTTAGCCTCATTTTGCCACCTTCCCTCTCATATTGTTATCCCAACAGCTACATTAGTCCTTATCTATTTATTTTAAGTTAATTTTTTTTTTTTAAATCTCCATCCTTTCTAGGATATTATCCAACTTTGGCAGCTGACTTAGAACTTTGGTTTCGGTTGCCTAACTTGTTACTTTTAGATATTTGACCTATTATCCTTTACTTTTTTGTTTCCATTTATTATTTTTTCTCTATTAATAGAGGATTTGTTGAACTTTCATAGCCTGCTTAAGCCTACATTACTGTTATATTAGATATACCTTGACACATTGGGTTTTATACTATCTCTATCTTGGAAAGGTTAGGCTTGTGAGGTATAATCTATTGTTTACCTCCGATCCTCCTTTCCCCTTCGCTCGTACATATATATTTCAATTAAGGGTTCCCCCCCAAATCATATATCAACAACCTGATACACTCTCCTTGTTTATATAAACCAAGTAATATTGTTCCTAGATAATTGGCTTAGAGAAAGATTATTATTCGTGGGCTTTTCGCACAAAGGAGTAACACGATGCAACAAATCCCCTGGGCTTGCGGATGGGCCACTACCGTTTTCAGAAGTTTTATCAAAACACCACAATGCCGAGCTGAGGCCGAAGGTCAAGCATGTGAACTCCCATTGCCAGCGGAAATGGAGGAAGCGTCGGCTGGAAGGATGGACATTTGTGTGTTTCCTGTTCGGGAGTTTGGAGCATTCCCCTGGTTTCAGTTCAGGAGATTGGTGAATTCATGTGTTTGCAGTTCGGGAGTTTGAGTATTCATGTGTTTGCCATTCGGGAGATTAGTGATTGCAGTAGCTGCCTGTACATCTGAGAAGGGGAATATCGCCTAAACGTTTTTTAACCTCTTGTGTGCAAAACAGTCCGTTACAATTGGTGGCAGTGGTGGGATCATTCCAACAGCCCAGAAGGACAGCTACAAGGTAACACCATTCCCTGGATTTACAAATCGAGGGTAAAGCTAGTATCCGTACAGCGCCCCTATCTACAAAGGAACTCCGAAAATGGAGGAGAAGTTTCAAGATAGATTGTACTGTTACGTATCTCTGAGGTCTGGAGCAGTGTCAGAGGAGGACATGTTGAGGTACAGAGAGATTGCCAGAGCCGGGTTGTGGGACGAAGCCCTAGAGAAAGTACAGTATTCGCAAGGAGATCGGTGCCGCAGCAGAAGGCAGCGAATCCTGGCTCGAATGGCAGAGCGGATGCCCCTCCTGAGAAAACAGACCAAAGAAGCGTGGGTGACTAGACTCGAGATTCTAGTATATGCAGAACTGGCGCTCGACGACGCATACCAGGCGATACAGTGGTACGCAGCTCAATGTGTCCCGGAGATGGCAGCGTATGAGTTCCCAGAGGGCAGAGATTACGCTGGCCCTGGCCTATTTTGGGATAATATTGACGATGAGCACTTTGGGAAAGCTACCGACTCTCGTTTTTGGGACCTGTGTTATGACCGAGAAGACATGCTGGGTCTCCCTAGCGCTGTTGATCTCGAGGCAGACCTACAGTATCTGGTCGCCAAGGAATGTGACCTGGAGTGGGATTACCTGCGACTCATCAATGAGGCCCGGGAAGAGACAACTGGTCCTCTTCCCCAACAGCAACAAGTGGTACCAGAGGTAGCGACCTCCTAGACTGGTCCTGCGAGGATCCCCAGCGGCAGTATGTATCCCAGGGAGCTGAAGGTGCCATCCTTCTTCCCCAGCGGCAGTGGGTGTCCTTAGGAGAGGAGACAGTTGGCCCATCTCCCCAGCGGTCAAGTGAGTCCCAGGGATCCAAAGGTGCCGTCCTTCCTCCCCAGCAGCAGTGTGTCCGGCAGGGAGCAGAGACATTCGTTCTCGCTCCCCAGCAGCGGGACAATATATTGAAAGGGGAGACAGCAGAGAGAGTGTAAGGGAGAGGAGCTTGTTACCCCCTCTCCCCATTGGTAGCGTAGCCCACCAAAGGGAGACACTAAGGTCTCCACCGGAGCAGATGGGACCGTGGTCTCTGCGCCCAACCTACAGGAGTACGGACAGTCGGTCCTGCTCCCCAGCGGCAGAGTATTCTACCGGGAGGGGAGAGCCTCGTTCCCCCTCCCCAGCGGAAGCCTAGCCCACCAAGGGGAGATGATAAGCCCCACACCGGTGCAGATGGGACCGTGGTCTCTGTGCCCAAACCACAGGGGGTAGGGATGGTCTGTCCTGTCCCCCAGCAGCAGGGCTGTTTATCCAAAGGGGAGACAGCCTGTCCTCCCCTCCAGCAGCAACACCAGGTCCAGAGCGAGGAGCCTACTACCCCTTCTTCTCAGTTGGCTACTCCCATGGTAGCACTGGCACCAGGGCAGAGTACCGCTGGTCTCTGCCCACCCAGCAACCCACCGATCCGGAGGGCTAGTAAACCCCAGAGCCGTGGTGGAGCCCCTGGACATGGACAAGCTACCCACTACCCCAGGTGCAGTAACCAAATTTGTGGGTGGCCACTGTTGATTATGTGTCGTGGGTGGGTTGCTGGACTAACCAGGGCACTGACCGACAGGAGGTCAGATACCCTGTTAGTCTGATTGGTAAAGGGGAGAAATGTGGCGGAACCAACCTCGCCACTGGAGGAGCCTGGTCACCCGCCTCCTGCCACTGGACTATGGCCCCATGTTTAACACTGTTCTTTTTCCCTGCAGAAAGGCTGGTCCGTGCCTTTCTGCGGACTGTTAAAGATAGCTATACCATGGAGCCAAGCTGTATACTGAAAGACTTTGGCTCCATGGCGATTGAACTGTATGTATGTGATCTAAGCGCCATCCGGTAGTAATGTGCGCTCAGATCTAAGCTATCTGGGGATAGGTAGAATGTAAATGTTCTATGTGATAAATGTAACAGTATGTAATTTTATGTCTTTTATTGTCCTTTGTCTGCCATGTGGCTAATGGAGTTTTTTCTCTGTCCTTGGAGATAATTGGATTACTTCCCAATTATCTCCAGGACAGAGAGAAGGGATTGTGAGCTTGTGATTGGTCAATGTCCAATATGTTTCTCAGTCTTCCATCTGGTCCCCTAGGGGAGTGTCCACCAGGTGGGAGACCTGCATAAAAGCCGGGCAGGTAGCCCCAGTAAATCAGTTCTGCTTGACCCTCAAATGAAGTGTCGTCTCGTATGCTGTTACAGTGCGACTGCCAGGAATGTAAACTGTTCGTATGGTTTTTCCTGTTTGGCTGTTTAACAGCATTCGTGTGTTTCCTGTTCGGGAGTTTGGAGCATCCCCCTAGTTCCAGTTTGGGAGATTGGTGAATTCATGTTTTTGCAGTTCGGGAGTTTGAGTATTCATGTGTTTGCAATTCGGGAGATTGGTGATTGCAGTAGCTGCCTGTACATCTGAAAAGAGGAATATCACCTAAACGTTTTTTAACCTCTTGTGTGCAGACGGTATATGAGATGTATGCGTCCTTAGAGTCCAGGCGGGTAAACCAGCCTATTTCCTTCAGGATGTCACCACTCAGATGATTTTGAAATGGCGGTGAACTACATTAGCGTTGAGGTCTCTTAAATTTATCACGGGCCTGAAGTCCCCTTGTTTTGTCTTGACTAGAAAGAGGTTGCTGAAGAAACTCTCACAATCCCTGGCAGACAAAGCAAAAGCACCTTTTGGACCATTCACAAATGTTGTGAGCCCATTCGTGCACCATGTTGGTGTCAAAAGAACAATAGAAAATGCATCGTCCTCCAGATACATAATCCGGTAAAGGGGACAGATAATATTCAAGAGCTTATCTTAAGCTCTGTAAAGCCCTTTTCGATACCTTTACGAGGGTCACGACAACTGTGTGCCATGAAGGCCATTATGCGCAGATCAAATGTGGGAGTTTGTGCAATTGCATCTGGGAGAGTAGGCTGTGGACTTTCTGACTGTAATCGGTTACGAACTTCCCTCTCCAGTGGCTTCCTGAGCCACATGCCCACCCCACCATAAACACAGATAAACACCAAGTCAAGGTGTAGGTACATACAGAGGCTGTGAGGACACGGTCCAATAGGGGAACAGTAAGACTGTTCAATCAGTAATACGGGGGCTCGCCAAGGGCAGAGGCTGGCAACAGGTACTTTAACATGCCCATAACAGTAAAATTAATTAGGGATCACCTCAGAATAATGGCAATAAACCGTTAATAGCATGTAACATACAATGGGGCCCATCTAGCTTCCTGCATACACCGAAAATTATCCAGAAATTTGATTGGGGACATAAACCCACTCTGATAGGGACATCCAAGACTAATGCATGTAATAGGAAACACAGACCAGAGATCAGCCCCACTTGTACGGCAGGAACTCCTTCACATAGCAGGACTTATACAAAATATGAAGCCTTCTGTGGTAAAATTTTATTTTCTCCATTCAACGCCAGTAAAAGCTGGACCATGGCCCTGGCAGACTGATACCGAGTCTGTGGCAGGGACTGTCAACCAGAGTCAGAGCCAACACCCAGTAGATATTTGCAAACCAAAAAATACCAAAACTTTGAAGCTATTTCCACTTCGGAAACTGCCTCTTACTTTGCATAATATTTGTCACTAAACCAGCAGTTGTGCACGGGTAGTCTGACTCACAGCAGTAATATTTCATTATCAAGTCATTTTATCAGCTGATTCTAAGCTATGCAAATCTGCACAAAATCTGTAATATAAACCAAATGTGTACTTTATGTATGTTATTTTCCTGCAAAACATTCATTGCGGTTGTATTCCTACAATACAATGAAAATATACAATCAAAATAGAAAAAACATACAAGCCTCCTTCTGATAATTTCATGCATACATTGTGGTAGCCAAATGGCTAGTGAACGCATAGTTTTGCCACGGAGAGTAGTTGCTTTGATGTTTCACACAGGCTTAATCCACGTAATTCGTTGTGTCTTATCTGTCTCAATAGCAAATCATTGAAGGACAGATACTATGTAAGCAGTTTGTACTCTGTCAGTGTTATTTATTAAAGTAAGAATTGTTGGGAACTTTAAGTGATTTCAAAGTGAATTTCAAATTTGAAGTCAAAGTAGCCAAACCGGAAAAATCCTCCAAGTGAGCTATGCTTTCAGATCAGTTGCTTTGGCCTTAAATTTTAAAATCACTTTGAATTCCCAGCAGTTTTTACCTTAGTGACAGATCCTGTATGTCTGTAGGCTAGGGCCGAATGTCAGATACCTATAAAGATTTTGAACATTTAATAAAGTACAGCATATTAAGAAGGCCAAACTCTATCAAATGTTTTTAAGATGTATTGGTACCTGGAGTGACCTTTTAAGAACTATAATCTCACAAAAAAAATTTATGTACAGACTGTAAAATAAAGTGTTGAAAAAACAGGTTGCAGACACCTGGGAAAACGTAATTTTTCACGCAAAAAAAAAATCATCACATTTCCTAGTACTCATATTTTCAAGGTCAGTGAAGAGTCCGTTTTTTTTTACCCAAGTGGTTAAAAATATGGATGGATTTAGATAGTGGCGGGGGAGATCCTAATACGCATGCGCGGCCAATAGCGGCATTATTAGGATCTCCCTAAAGGAAAGATTCGGCGATGCTGGAGGTCCTAATGCATAGCGTGAGGATGTCCAGCGTTGTTTAGATGACCAAAAGTCGTCTAAGAACCCTGAAGTCCCTCTCGTGGCTGTCTTATAAAAACTGCAATAATTTCATGCTCAGGGTTAAGGGTGATGGGAGTTGGCACCCTGACCACTTCAGTGGGCTGAAGTGGTCTGGGTGCCTACCGTGTCCCTTTAAAATATATTTATTTGCACAAAAACAAAAATAGTTTTCCAGAATTCGGCACCGTAAGCCTACTTCCTTAGTCATGCCTCTCATTTCATAAAGACTTCATTATGAAATGTATGCGCAGTCTCAACTGCGTGGCTTTTAATTCACAACCTGTCTGCAGACAGAGAAACTACAAACAGGTAGTGATATTTTTACTATATGTCCTGTTCTTCTAATGCAGGTTGTTGTGTTACTCAGATCATTCAGTACTATCATAGGCTGAGCTTTGTGCATACCTTTGATAAGGAAGTTGTTTTCTGGAGTGAGAGGATGTGGCTACAGAGGCCGGCTTACTGTGCAGCATTTTGAAAACATTTTCTTTTTGTGCAAAAAAAGGCAGTATTCTGAAAAACATCTATTGTATGCAAAACCAATAAAGATTTGAGCATGCCAAATCATACAGCATATTAAAGTGTCATACCATACTTACCTATTTTAAATCACTTCCACTTCTTTGCCTCAGTTTTCATGTATTTCTATCCAAAATAAGACAGAAGACAAACTACTTTGTCTCAGTATTTCTCTATACCGGATTTTCATTTGGGCATAGCAACTGAACAGCATTTTTTATGTATTTGGGCATTGGAGTGTCCCTTTAATTCCCACATTTGACCATCCAACTGTGGACTGAATGCCAGCATGAAAGTGTTCTGCTAAATTGTTAGCACAACATTGTTATTTTCACGTCATTACTCACTGTTCAGTGAGTCAACCGCACTAACTTCATCATTGAGCCTGTAGCAATGTCAACATACAACCCTACAAAACACTGCATCACTGTACTGAGCACTGGAGAGTGAGTAGACTAAAAGAGAAATGTGACACTTGCTTGACCCAAGGCCTTAGACAGACGAAAAGGCTCTGCTTAATCCACTTCCTTGTCAGTTTATTCATCAATATCCTGGCTACCAGGTAATTCCTGTAAACCAACCGTACAGGAGAACAATACAAGGAGCAGTACATTCACATAGGGAGAAAGAATTCTAAAGATCAGTGGATTTCAGCTTTTTCTTCCAAATAAATAGCATACGTCATTAACTTGGCAGTCCATTCTTCAACTGTAAAATTATCTGAGAGACCCATTCTTCAGTTGTAATAGAATATATTGCAAAATAAATTCTACAAAATGCTTTCACTAGACTCTGGGCAAGAAAGGTTTGCTACTATAAAAATATTATATACACACACACAAACTATTGTTGGCAGGAGTCTGATGAATGTGATGTGCCTATTCTAACCTTTAGGAACCCACTGAAACAACAAGGTGGTCCGATTTTGAGTACCGACCAAAAAGTTGAGAAACACTGGTATAGAAACGGACATGTATTATATTACAGCAACCAAAAACAGTGTGTGGAGTAATATTCGGAAAATATCATGGGGAAAGTACATGTTGTATTAAGTACTTACTATTCTAGGTAATAAAACAGTTTAACATCTGAATAAATCTCAACAAAGAGGTGGGTGATTACTGGGTCTAAATATCAATGTAAGAAAACATTGCTTTGATAGAATTAACTGTACCCACGGAACACTAAATGAATAGTAGTAGATTCAAAATCAAATTACAAAATTCTGGAAAAAATTCAGAATGCTTTCCTATGGACGCTTGTGTGCTCTCATTGTGAGTTTTCACAGTGAGAAGCACGCAAGCGCCTCTAGCGGCTGTTCAATGAGACAGCCACTAGAGGATTAGGGGGAAGGCTTAACTTATTCATAATTATAGCAGTTTCTCTGAAACTGCTAGGTTTAAAAAAAAAAAAAAGGGTTAACCCTAGCTAGACCTCTGAGGCTAGACCCCCAGACCACTTCATTAAGCTGTACCAAATTAAGGACCAAATTTCTGGAATAAAAGGGAATCATGACATGTCATGTGTCCTTAAGGGGTTAAAAGTCAGCACACCAACATAGTTATTCAGATCTATAAGAAAGTGTAGCCTCTCAAACTTTACCATCTAAACAATATAAACATCAGCACTAACTGTAGTGGTTATTTTGCATAGAGCGCCCTACCACTTTCCACCAATTTAATAGTAAACGTTTATGAATTCATATGAATCCGGCCACTTATAAGCACCCTGGGGACACCCACACCTTGTCTGCATTGATAAAGCAGAATAAAACACTTTTGCATTACCAATGTCAATTTCGTACAACATTAACTGGCTGAAAGCGCTGGGGGACAGCAAGGGGATTCTTAGTATAACTACTACATTGAACCTGTTGCATAGAGAGTATCTTTAATAAATTGAGTGCCTTTTACCGTTTGATGCACGCAAAGTACAATAACCAATACGTATTTTAAGCAAGGAAACCATGGGTGCAGTCCTAATTTTAATGAAACCATTTCAAATGGTTTGACAAAGACTCAAGGTCTCCAGAGGCTGCATTCCTGGAATAAAGCCAAAATGTTCGTTCAATGCCATAATCTCTGAAATTATGCTGACTGAAGAAATTTAGCTCATCACAGTACATCTCTCAGATTGTAAGCTTCTTTGAGCAAGGCTATTATTTTTTTCACCTTCAGTCTCTTTCGAGATTTTGTCCATCAATTACTTATTGCAAGATATAATTGTAAACTGCTGTTGAATATGTTGGAGCTATACAAACGCTAATATCGCATTTATTGAAAAACCCTACGTTTGATAAGCTGAGAATATTCTTCCATAAAGAACCTTGAGTACTTCTGCAACATCACAAATTCTCATTCTTATGCTAACCCCAAGTGCTAATCTAATATTTCTATTCTTAAAAATATACTAAAAGTATTCGCTATACTGCAGCAGTAGAATAAATGAAATGGTCTGAGCACAGTGTGCGTTATGTTAAAAGTGTAGAAGAATTTTGAGTTTAGGTAGTATACTTACCAAGTGCATCTCTAGGGTTACCTTGCAAGGATTATATACTAGGTTTATGATAGTATTTGTAATGATGTATCTAACGAATTGGGTGGCACTTCTGAAGCAGAGGATGCAAATAAAAGACATCTGAAAGCTGTGGGCAGCTTGGAGGAAACAATTAAGGAAGGTCAAAGTAATCTAAATTTACAAATTTTCTACATTTTAAACGTCTTGGCGGACAGTCTTTAAAATCATAGGTTCAGTGGTTTAGAAAAAGTTAAAGAAGGATCACTTTCAGGATCATGTAATTATTAGCTGCATTTTCTTGCCCAGCCAACGATCTGAATTGCATTAAAACAGCAAGTGTTGTTAGTGCTTCTGTTTGCAAAAAAATTTGAAAATAAGAGGAGAAACAAATATCTAAAGAGACTGTATTCAAAGTACCATTTATTAGGAGTCCTTTAAATAAATATAATTGTTATATGAAAATCGAACCATGAGATACGAGTTAGATTAGAAAATTTAGTTCTTAACTGCATAAAATATACATTCCTGAAATTTGAAAAAAGGATAAAAATCAAAGAAAAACACTTTATAATTTCCAAAGCATTAGAGTGGTTTTTCAATTACTGGAGACAATACACATTGTGCTGGCATTAAATCTTCCATTTACTCACAGACATAGAAGAGCTTCTGACAAGCCCTATTCACATTGTACGTCTCGTCAGTTGTGTAATACCCCTGCACTTTCATATTTCAGAGAAACGTATTGAAAAAGGGGCTGCTGAAAGGAGGAGGAGGGGCTTGGGTAAGAATGACTCCTGCATTTGTGGTCTACATCCTAAGTGGATTGCTCTTTGGTAAGGAAGAAGAATAACAGATATTTAACTAGAAAGTACCATTATTTAATTATGGAGTACAGTATTTGCGTAAAATATAAAATATCACAGCTGATTAAACTGCTGTATTTATTAAGGTATAAAAAAAGGACTTACGTACATATTTTCAAACCCAAAAGGCACTTTTAGGTACTTTGCAGAGTATGTTGACTTGGATGGTTTTTAAGCATACTATGAAGTCACTCTGTTTTGAAATGTATGGCCTCTTTATAATTGTTTTTAAGTCACCGTGTAATATACAAAAATCATTTTTGGAGAACAGAGATTTAAGAGGCAGTATTAGCACAAAGAGAAGCACAGTCTCTGCTCTGTACGTTTAAAGTATGCTTTGAATGCTATACCTAAACGTATGAACGTTTGGTCGCGCAGGACCACAGTGACATTTCATATCTAAGCCTCCTTTATTTCATGACTTAAATCGTCAGCAGAATTATATTCTGCTTTGGGATGGTTCTGTCCCATCCACCTGAGACTCGAGACAAATGCTCTGCAGCTAATATGATGCCAAAACACAGGCTGAAACCAAAGATATCAAGTTGAAAAGGATGTCAATGTACATGGCCGAATCAAACTTCTGGCCATTAGCATCATTCTAGAAAGAGGTGGCATTGTAACCGTTATTTGTCAGTATACACAGATGGCACTAGGCAAAAGAGCCCTGTAGGTGCAGTGAGGGGTGCACAGAATACAGTAAGCAACACCATCTTTTAATGTTCATCGATATCTGGGAGAAAATTTGCATTTTTATGTCTTAAATACAAATAGTTTTAATTATCTTTCAAAAGTAGATTAATTATAGATCTCCCCTCTCTCTAAACACATTCTAATTTTCACAAGGAAAATAAGATCTGTCTTACAACCACATTTATCAGCCCTGAGTTTTACGGTAAAATAAAAAATTATAATAATAAGAGTTTAACCTGTGATACAGAGATATATGAAGCTCGTTTAACCCTTTGGAATTCCAGAGGCAGGAGACAGAGACCTCATGCACTCAAAGGGATAAAAACACTCCCTACCTCCCCTTACGGTTACACAGTGTTTTACCAGAATTTACTGGAGTTGAAATCTGTAATCCAGCAACACAGGAAAAAAAAAATAATAAAAAAAAAATGCTGATCTGTTTAATCAAGTCTTTCAAGTCCTTTCCTTTTTGGAGAATTTTCTGCAGGTATGGAAAAAAAAAATGTTCAAAATTGCACTGATAAGCTTTAATAGTGGCAAAAGTAAGAAAAGTATAAAATATTATTTGAAGATATTTTTCATAGCAGGATGTTAATCCCTGGTAAGCAATAGGATGCACAGATAATTACAGTCAGAAGTGCAAGGCTGGCGTGTGTAAGAGCTAGGAGATTTGTATCCAAGAACATGGTGGCATCTTGTGTCTTCTCCTCTTAACTGCTACATTGCGTTAGTTTGCTGCCATATTCATTTTAGGAAAAGCTATAAGCGGCATGATTCTACTCCACGCAACCCAGTTACGAGCTGTTAGTGCAAGCTGAGGATAAAAGGGATACCACCGAAAATCTTGTGCTAAAAACCAATATATATTTTCTTTAAAATCAACATTTCTATGGTCAGCACACAGCACTATAGAAGGACGCACTTCTTGATGTGTTTCTTTGTCACGGGATATAAAACTGCTCGAACGGCTTCTTCAAATACAACTCTGACCCCCTCCTGATGCAATGCAGAGCATTCAAGATATTTCACCGCCCCTATCTGCTTTGCCAGTGATGATCCTTGCTGATGTGTGGTGGGAACAAGGCTCTGTTCTTTCAACTTCTTTATGGTTTCTGCATCATTTCGAAGATCTTTTTTGGTACCCACAAGTAATATTGGCACATTAGGACAATGATGGGACACTTCGGGGTGCCACTTGTGTCGTACGTTCGCATGAGAAGATGGACTGCCAATAGAAAAGCATATGATAAAAACGTTGGTCTGAGGATAGGAGAGAGTACGCAGGCGATCGTACTCTTCCTGGCCCGCAGTGTCCCATAGGTTCAGGCTAACCGTCCTGCTGTCCACGGTCATCTGAGCACTGTAATTGTCAAATACTGTAGGGATGTACTCCTCTGGAAAGGCATTGGTGGTATAACTGATAAGAAGGCACGTCTTTCCAACCGCTCCATCACCAACTACAACGCACTTGATGGTCTGCATTCTTCATGAAGTTAAACTGTATTTCATGGTAAAAAAATCAAAAGAAAGAGGAAATAAAATGTCAAAACGTGACAACAGTGAACAAATGACAATAGTTTCGTTAACCTTTTTGTGGTTTCATAAACCTTAAGACACCATCCTCATTACAAGCAATACAGTGTTACTGACTAAACACCAAATTGTACTGAATTAAATCCAAGAGGGCAAAATGGAGGATAAAATCTCTGATCTGGAAACATTTGCCATTTTGGCTATACTCATAGCTTTGCAATTTTTGCCTAATTTTTTTAACCATATTTACTTAAATTCAGTAGAATTTGAGTTTTGCACATTAATTCTAAAGTTGTTTATAAACATGACACAGTTCTGGCTATGTCAGGTAAAGCTTTTCTAATGTCCTAAATATGTATTCATTTAGGTCATATTCGCCACATTTACAGAGCTTTCCATTAATTTAGCTGGGAACTAACTCCAGACTAAAACTCTGGTGAAATTAGAGGTGTCCAAGTGGAGAGTATGACTGCTTCAGGCTTAGTAATATGAACAAAAATGTATTATCTGCTCACATCATTATAAGGTTCTGTCAGTCTAGCTTTCAGGTTGGGCAATTTTTAGCTAAAGAGACTACACAGGTTTACCCGATGCAGAGGGAACAATAGTTCTTGGAATACAGATTTGTATTAGCACTATAATATCCCTTTATTTGAAGCAGTTTTGGTGTATAGATCATGCTCCTATTGTTTCACTGCATAGTTTGCCGTCAATTTGGAATTAAAAAAAACATTTGTTTATGTTAATGCTGTCCTAGCTACCACTCTCCTGGCTGTGACTCACATGGCCTCCAGGAAAAAAAAGGTTTTATTTTCAAACAGATCTTAGGCACGGTGTGTTTACTTTTGAAGTTTTTGTCTACTGCTGGCAATTGAACTTTAAATATTCACAGGAGTCTGTTGCAGGCTATAGTAGGCTATTATGAGAGTAAGAGATAAGAAATTCTAAATTAAAGACACTTTGCAATAAAACAAGCAGAAAAATAAATTAAGTGTGTATTGAGGCGGTGTGAGTCACAGATAAGGGGTGAGTGACTAGGGCTGCATAAAATAGCGATTCAACTCACAACAGGCAGGGAATAGAGCAGTGAAACTGCAAGGGCATGATCTATACACCAAAACTGCTTAAAGTAAAGTTGTTTTAGTGCTTAGAGTTCCCCTTTAAAGGGAAACTACATACACCAGAACCACTACAGCTTAATGTAGTGGTTCTAGTGCAAAGAGACAGTTTCTGTAGTTTCAGCAGTGTAAACACGGACTTTTCAGAAAAGCAAGAGGTGTTTCAATTTTTGCCCAAGTACACCTCTAGTGGCTGGCACTCGGACAGCCACTAGAGGGGTTTCCTGGTTACAGTTCTGCAATCTATGCAGGACCAACGTTCAGCATCGGCTGCTCTGCATGCAGACTCCTTAAGTCAATATATCTAATGAAAAGCACGGTGACTGCCGCGCATGGGCACTGGCCACCCAATGCTTCCCTGGAAGGCAGCACTGGATTAGTTGGTCACCAGTAATGATCTCAGTCAAAGGTGAAGTGCCAATTTAAACAACCTAATTTTGTTGCTTCTGGGGAGGGGTCAATAATTCCACTTAACAGTACAACACGTGTCTGCATTTCTAATGAAAGTGTTCCTTTAAGCTATATTACCTGTGAGTAGACATGCAAGCTTTGGCATGTTTTCCAGGGTAGTTATAACAGGGCTTAAAGGGACACTATAGTCACCAGAACAACTAGTCACCAGAACAACTACAGCTTAATGTAGTGGCTCTGGTGTATATAGTGTGGCTCTGGTGTATATAGTATGTCCCTGCGGGCTTTTTAATGTCAACACTGCCTGTGCAGCACTAGCGTTCAGTGTCTCTGTGCTCTGCATGGAGACAGAAAGTTCTTCATAGACAACATATATTTAATGCATCTATATGAGGATATGCAGATTGTTGCAGCGCGGCATTTTGCTGTACATGCGCAATAGCCTCCCAACACTGTCCTATGTGAAAGCATTGGATTGGTTGAGATAATCAAAACTGATGACATCCACCATGGAGGTGGGTCTAGCTCCAGCAAAGAGTGAGAGTGAGTAAAGTGACCTTTTCTGGGGTGATCAGAGTGGGGCCTGGTGCCTAAACAGCCACACCAGCACTATACGGTCAGAAATACACATTTGTATTCCTGACACTATAGTGTTCCTTTAACATTTCAGGTACTATGATACTAGCCAGTCCTTAAAACTTACTTGCTACGTAAAGCTTAGAGAGCGGGATGAATTTCTACTCGCCACGGCTAAATTCTCGCACGTCAATTGGTAATGGAAACTTTAACCCTGGCCATAAGTTTTGTTATGAATTCCACAATAATATTTTAAGATCTACAGACGGTCTTAGTTGCCAGCGTTTAATAATTACATGCAATCAGAGGAAGTCACATAATTATTCATTCACCGCTGTCAGAATGTGGAACTTGGGGTTAGTAACCACAGCAGAATCTGGAAATCCTAGCTGTTTGGGGAAAAACTTAACCAGAGTGGCAACAGTAACTTCTGTCAATACATTAACTGTATTCAGTGGTAGTCATTTTATCAACCTCAATAAATAACTAAACAAACTTGCTTTTGACCTATATGTAAGGAATTATAAACATTTCAAATAATGGAATGTTCCCCTAGAGCAGGGGTGGGCAATCTTTGCACTCCAGATGTTGTGGACTACATCTCCCACAATGCTCTTATTCTGGCAAAGTCTCAGCTGGAGTGCAAAGGATGCCCATGCCTGCCCTGGATTATCTTGCAAAAAAAAAAAGAAGCAGTTTCAATGCAAATGTGAAACCCCACTCCCTAGCTTATCATGCAAGATACATTAGGTATATTGTGAAATTACATTAACACATCTCCCACTTAAGGTTAAACTCTGAATTTTGGGGGTGATAAGCTCTGAATGGGGAGTGGGGAATGACAACACTACATCTTTGTTTACAGCTCGCAGAGTAATTCAAATTAAGTGAAAGAAATTATGTACGTGCAGCCATACACAAGGCTCCAGGAATAGTAAAATCAGGAGATATGATCACACTAATTAAATCTCCCTCCCCCCCTCCCAGGACCATACAAAAAAATTCCCAAACCAGAATTCTTATCTGCCTATGGGGATGAGTCAGAGGGGGTTAATGATATAAAAAAAAAAAAAAAAACACATAGAAAAATTGGGGGGAGCATTGGTTTCTGCACCCTGACCTTGTTAAATATCTTCCCATTATCACTGACCGCCCCCATTATCTGGTTCAGTTTATCTGTTCTGTGTATACAGTGAGCTCCAGGTGACCCCCAGCCCCCCCATTATCTGTTCTGTGTATACAGTGAGCTCCAGGTGACCCCCAGCCCCCCCATTATCTGTTCTGTGTATACAGTGAGCTCCAGGTGACCCCCAGCCCCCCCATTATCTGTTCTGTGTATACAGTGAGCTCCAGGTGACCCCCAGCCCCCCCATTATCTGTTCTGTGTATACAGTGAGCTCCAGGTGACCCCCAGCCCCCCCATTATCTGTTCTGTGTATACAGTGAGCTCCAGGTGACCCCAAGCCCCCCAGCCCCCCCATACATTGTCCATTGATCCTACATGGACTCTCCCCACCGCCGGAGGGACCCCAGAGCTGTCGCTTACCGCCTCCCAGCCACTTCCTGGTCTGACTCGCGCCGCTTCACTTCCTGTACCGGCCGTGGGAAGTTCCTTACAGCCCTAACATCCGGGAACCTGAGCTTACAGCCACACCCGCCGCAATGCATTGTCGGAAATGTAGTTTATTTATTTCCTTGTAAAACAAGACCCTGGCGCTGTAATTCCCGAAACAGCCAGCAGATGCCGCTGTGTCCACACAGAATGCAATCCTAGTGTTTGTATGGGGAGGCTGGAGTGTGTGTGTGTGTGTGTGTGTGTGTGTGTGTGTGTGTGTGTGTGTATATATATATATATATATGGGAATGTTGTGGGTTAGCTGTGTATTTGTTGTGTGTGTGTATATGGGAATGTTGTGGGTTAGCTGTGTATTTGTTGTGTGTGTGTGTATATGGGGTAGCTGTGTATTTGTTGTGTGTGTGTATATGGGAATGTTGTGTGGAGTGTGTGTGTGTGTGTGTATGGGAATGTTGTGGGGTAGCTGTGTATTTGTTGTGTGTGTGTGTGTATATGGGGTAGCTGTGTATTTGCTGTGTGTGTGTATATGGGAATGTTGTGGGTTAGCTGTGTATTTGTTGTGTGTGTGTGTATATGGGAATGTTGTGTGGAGTGTGTGTGTGTGTGTATGGGAATGTTGTGGGGTAGCTGTGTATTTGTTGTGTGTGTGTGTGTATATGGGAATGTTGTGTGGAGTGTGTGTGTTGTGTGTGTATATGGGAATGTTGTGGGGTAGCTGTGTATTTGTTGTGTGTGTGTATATGGGGTAGCTGTGTATTTGTTGTGTGTGTGTATATGGGAATGTTGTGTGGAGTGTGTGTGTTGTGTGTGTATATGGGAATGTTGTGTGGAGTGTGTGTGTTGTGTGTGTATATGGGAATGTTGTGGGGTAGCTGTGTATTTGTTGTGTGTGTGTGTATATGGGGTAGCTGTGTATTTGCTGTATGTGTGTATATGGGAATGTTGTGTGGAGTGTGTGTGTTGTGTGTGTATATGGGAATGTTGTGGGGTAGCTGTGTATTTGTTGTGTGTGTGTATATGGGGTAGCTGTGTATTTGTTGTGTGTGTGTATATGGGAATGTTGTGGGTTAGCTGTGTATTTGTTGTGTGTGTATATGGGAATGTTGTGGGTTAGCTGTGTATTTGTTGTGTCTGTGTATATGGGGTAGCTGTGTATTTGTTGTGTGTGTGTATATGGGAATGTTGTGTGGAGTGTGTGTGTTGTGTGTGTATATGGGAATGTTGTGGGTTAGCTGTGTATTTGTTGTGTGTGTATATGGGAATGTTGTGGGTTAGCTGTGTATTTGTTGTGTGTGTGTATATGGGAATGTTGTGTGGAGTGTGTGTGTGTGTGTATGGGAATGTTGTGGGGTAGCTGTGTATTTGTTGTGTGTGTGTATATGGGGTAGCTGTGTATTTGTTGTGTGTGTGTATATGGGAATGTTGTGTGGAGTGTATTTGTTGTGTGTGTGTATATGGGAATGTTGTGGGTTAGCTGTGTAGTTGTTGTGTGTGTGTGTATGGGAATGTTGTGGGGTAGCTGTGTAGTTGTTGTGTGTGTGTGTGTGTGTGTGTGTGTATGGGAATGTTGTGGGGTAGCTGTGTATTTCTGTGGATGGGGAGGCTGTATGTGTCAGGGTTGTGTGTATTTTGTATGTGAGAAGGCTGTATGTTGGGGGATGCATACCTCCCAAGCGTCCCTATTTAGGGGAGACAGTCCTTATTGTGGGCCGAAATCCCTCTGTCCCTCTTTTGTATCATAATGTCCCTCTTTTGCAGTAGCTCAATATTGTTGCTGTGTCTGAGTGTATAACAGAGCTCCACAGCAATAATAAAATACAATAAATGTGTTTAGCAATAAGTCTGCGTGAATTACATATAATGTTCTTCTAAAATACAATTTAGTTGCATAAAGTGTTTTCAATAAGTCACCGAAAATTTCTTGGCACAGCCCCGCCCCTAGTCACACCCCTAATATTAAAGTATCCCTCTTTGTCCATTTGAAATGTTGCGAGGTTGGGTAGTGTATGGAGAAACTGTATGTGGGAATATTTTTTTTGTGTTTGCGCGTTGCATTTTGTGTGGACGGGGGGGTTGCGTATGTGGATTGGAAGGCTGTTTGTGGGAGGTGCAAATGTTTTATTCAAGGGGATATTGAGTGTGTTCTCTAATATTTTTTGCCCCCTCCTCCTTACCTTTGCCAGGGGACTCAGTGAATATCTCTACCTCTTCTTTCATCTTGTGAACAGTTAGGTAAATGGACACTATAGGCACCCAGGCTACTTCATCTCATTGAAGTAGTTTGGATGCAGTGTCCCTGTCCCCTTAACCATGCAGCTGAAAACATTGCTGTTTTTGAGAAACTGCAGTGTTTTTTATTTTAATTCTTTATTTTAATTGTGCATAGGTTAAACAAGCAGGTTTGCACTGCCACAACAGCTGATGCAAACTGAGCAACCGGCATAGTATAACGTTGGTGTGGCTATGAAAACATTGCACATTTTATTTATAAGAATTTATAGACTAAAATCCTTAATCTGAATGGGGGAGATATATCTCACTAAGCGTACATATAAATTATACATAAAACCAAGCTAAGCATAGCATCAGGGTGAGACACTGCACGAACTTAGCATCTCAATATGGCCTGGAGAGGGTGAGTGGTAGGCTATCAGTCTAGGTGGTACAAGAGAACCCTAGCCAAGTCAGCTAAGCTAAGCTCTTGCTATTGTGACCTGATAATAACAGAACATTAGCCTCTGTTCCTTCTTTTGTGTTGTTGGTGTTAAAGATAAGCTAATGGGTAAGTACATGCATGATAGGCCCGTCTGTGTGAGTAAGTGGTCTCAACGTTTATTCTAAGTTATTGGCTATTTTATGTATTTCTTGTGCCCAGATGCCCTGGGTTTAAAGAGACATCATAGGACAATAACAGGGTTAACAGAGGCATCGTGTCACACAGTACAGTGTCAGAGGTAAACGATTGGGGCCAGAGCTGTTGCGTTTATATAAGGTTTTATCTATATGCTGGAGTAGGTAGGTAGGTAGCTGCATGCCCTCTGATTAGGGATGGGTTTATCTCCCTGGAAAGAATTTAGGGACCTGGGATTATGTCCTGTGCCGAACTGCCGGTGTCTCAGCCTGCAGAAACGCTGAGTGGCTATAACTTGGATACCATGAGGGTAAATGGTGGTCGGTAGTATATAGGGGGATTACAAGCCTGCCATCAAGGTAATTAAGAGAGGGTGATATACTGCCATGATTGCCCTTACAGTTGTGTGTGTGGGGGTGGTGTGTGTGTGGGGGGGTAGTTGCAGTAGTGGGGAATGTATTGCTGTCTTGCTATAAAGGCATTGTAACAAATAAAATGAACTCAGAACAGTGAAACTGCAATGTTTTAATTGCAAGATTAAGACTGCTTATAGTGACTGTCTACTATTCAATGCTTTTCTATGGGGAAGGCCTAATGCATCATTAGGTTCCCCCTCATGATGACATCAGAGGAGACAGAGCCATCGCCGAGGGACTTGGATTGAAATGGGGGGAAGGAGAAGAGAGACACTATAGTGTTACAAATATTGCTTTGTATTCCTAATACTACAGTATTCCTTTAAAGATAAATGAGGTTGGAGTCTGTAATTATCACTACCCTTTCTTTCCCACAGTGTGTCGACAGTGTGAGCTACCTGGTTCCAAAGATGAAAAGGATACTATAGTCACCAAAACAACTTTAGTTTAATGAAGCAGTTTTGGCATATAGATCATGCACCTGCAGTCTTACTGCTCAATTCTCTCCCATTTAGGAGTTTAATAAATTTGTTTATGTAGCCCTAGTCACACCTCCCTGCATGTGACTTACACAGCCATCCTACACACTTCCTATAAAGAGACACCTAATGTTTGTACTTCCTTCATTCCATATTCTGTTTAATTTAGGATTTCTTATCTCCTGCTCTGTTAATAGCTTGCTAGACCTTGCAGAAGCCTCCTGTATTTTAAGGTGAGTTAACCTCTGATTGAAAATGAAACCATTTTGTTTTCTTGCAGTCTGTGTCAGTCACAGCCAGGGGAGGTGTTGCTAGAGCTGCATAAACATATACAAAAGTGATTCAACGCCTAAATGGCAGATAATTGAGCAGTGAGACTTCAGAGGCATGATCTATACACCAAAACTGCTTAATGAAGCTAAAGTTGTTTTAGTGACCATCGTATCCCTTAACATGTTTCCCTTTCAAGAGATGCTTTCAAAGTGTTGCCTAGGTACAGTGAACTCACAAGGCCTTAATGTAGGGCAAAAACCACATCTATATATACACAAAAATGGGAAGGGGTCTAAATTTTTACACATATATTTCGAATCAATATCACAATTAAGCAAAATACCCTAAAATATGTTTATTCTAATTTTGCACATAACCAATATGCTGTCACCTGAGACAATTACAAAGCCAATATTTAATTTTACCTATCTATCTTTAACAAATAGGTGATTGTGAGGCCTGAAAAGATTTTTAAAATGTATCTCTGTATCTCTTTTCTCTGGAACTGGGGGCCTCCATGTTAGCACCATACAAATCCTCGTAATAAGCTGTGTCTTAGGCATCTGGCAGTCAGCATAAAGAGAAGGAATTGAAATTAAACAATGATTCCATATTGTTTATCAGCAATGCATGCCTTCGCTGTGCCTGGACTGATCTGGTTTCTGATGTCAATACAGATTTAAAGGAACATGAAGCATCAAAAGTTATAGGCGATTTTCATTGTTTTATTTACGAGTGTAATTTACAATGAAGTGACAGACAGTCCAGTCCCCTTTTAATTTTAGACAGTTTTTTCAGATTTGCATGCTAATTGAGTATCATTAATAACATTGAAAGAATACAAATCAGACTTTATACTTTATATGTTTTTGAAAGAGTGGGCAATCCGATGAACACATGTATGTGGTTGTAAAATGTAATCTTTTAATCCCGCTGTACTGGTGACAATATTTGCAATTGTAAAACTTTTTTTAATTAAATGGTCGCTCTACGCACCAGAACCCCTATAACATAATTTTAATGTTTTTCAGCCTTCTGTGGGAGCAGGGCCATAATTTTGTACCCATGTTCTAAAGCATGCACAACCTACAATGTATGTACTATTTCTATATTATTTAATTAGCTCCACTTTATTTATTTTTTTGTTCATCTGGTTAGCTACGGCTATAGAAGTTCTCTAAAAACTGAAGACTAGTGATGTCCCGAACGGTTCGCGAACCGTTCGGGACATCACTACTGAAGACTGGTGATTTATTGCCGTTCTGAAGATAGCTTTATCATCCACCCCCTGGCCATCACATGCAATTGGGCAACATTGAAGCCATTTAAAGCCATAAACCTTAGCGGTCAGTCAGACTCACCCACAAGGATAGATGAACAGAGAGGATATTTAGTTTTAAAAAAGTGAAATTGTAAACTTTGAGGTTATTTTTTTGTTGTTGTTTTTTAACACAATTACCTGTTTTTTTGTGCAAATATTTAAAGGGTCACTTTAAATATTTAAATAGCACAGAATATAAATCATATTTCAAAGAGAAGAAAATAAATTAGAGAAGGAAGGATAATACTCATCTCAAAATCAGTACAGATTTTAAGGGATATCTAATAAAAGAATATCGTACCTCATTCCACGGAAAAGCCTCCAATACAAAATAATACAAGATTGCACAATAAAGCCATAAAGGCCAGATTAGTATAACAAATTTGAGCGTGTTGATCAGTGATACACCTCTTGTAAATAGTTAGTTATTCTTTAATCTCCTGGTTTAACATTTTTCACTCCTACAGTAGCCAGAGTGCAAGTGAAAATTCAGCCCCGTTGAGTCATGGACCTTCCAGGCTTGCAGTGGCTAGTAACTCTTATGCTTGTCTAGTAGCATAGGGCTTGAAATTATGAGCCCTATTTATATTTAACATTTAATCCCCTTTTGAAGGCATATTTAAAGGGATACTCCAGTCGAGTGTTCCTTTAATTTGCACAGTGATTTTTTTAATTATAATTTTTTACTTCATTTTTGCTGATAATCTCTTTGCAGCATTGGAAATTAGCACCGATTGCTTATGGCATCTTTTAAAAAAACAAAATGTACCTGTATCCAGGAGAGGCATACATAAAGGTTCTGTCTCTGCGGGAAGCCCTGAAAAACTGGATTGCAGTGTCTTTTCCATATAGAAGAAAACATGCCTTGATTCAACGATAAAGATAACTAATTAAATACCTTTATTCTAGAATGAATGACAAAAGCTGATAGGGGAAGCTACGCCTTTTGTCAACTCGTGTCAAACTCGGATTTGCCTGTAAGACAAAGTAGTCTCTACCTTTTCTTAATATAGCTTTTAAATACGGTGGAGTTTCAGGGAAATTCCAATGCAGTCAGTTATAAGTATTTCTTAAAAAATGTATCTTTACAGACTACTTGGATGTGACAAAGCCACTATAATAGAATGTTCACAGAATTTTATGGACAGTTTCTTTATTCAATATTTCTTTTAAATATAACACTGTCTGTTTGGATGTACATTTTATATCACGTGTGATCATTACCTAAAACAAATCCAAATGACTGACAGCTGGCTTTATTTAACCACACAGTCCTTTCAATTCAATTCAAAACAGCAATTATAATAATCATTTTACGTGACTTGCTAATGGGACACTTGCAGCGTTATAACGTATGTAACAATGTCCCATAAGGGGCCCAGCACCTGTACTTATTTATTATGGCAGGAGGAATTCCGTGGAGTTTTAGCGCTCACCCCTGTGTCTAGATGGAGCCTGTGATAGGAACTTGTATACTATTTTAGTCTTTCCCATGCACACACATAGGACCCTTGCAGAAATCTGCTGTGATACCTCCATTCGGTCCTTGCCGCATCTTTCCTCATCACTCAGCCGAACTTCCTCTGTTTGATGCCGAATCCTGTCATTCGGCCGCAGCTGAACACAGGCATGCGCAATAGGGGCGCGCACTATTGCATCATTATGATAAGCATGATTTCATCCTAAATTTAATGTGACAGCAGCCCAGATCACTTGTGGGCTTAAAACACATATTTATATAATTACCCTAACTGTCCTAATGATTTTTCAACCAGTCGTCACACACTTATGCCTATTTAAGCCCTTCTCTGACATCACTTCCTTGCCGTGTCATAGTCTTAGTAACCCGAGAGTGCGTTCCTATGTTCTCTGTATTTCTGGTAACTGACTGGCTTTGTTTAATAGTTTATTTTGTGCTCTGGCATCACTAACCCATTGCTTTGTTATACATGTATATCCATATGTCTCCAGCCCTTACCTAGGCCTGTCTAAGCCTTTTATCTAAATAATAAATAATTAAAGGGACACTATAGTCACCAGAACTACAGCTTATTGAATTTGTTCTGGTGAGTAGAATCATTACCTTCAGGCTTTTTGCTGTAAACACTGTCTTTTCAGAGAAAATGCAGTGTTTACATTACAGCCTAGTGATAACTTCACTGGCCACTCCTCAGATGGCTGTTACAGATCCTTCCTGGTTCATGGCTGCCTAAAATGTATCCAAACATTCAGTGTCTCCTCCCTCTGCATGCAGACACTGAACTTTCCTCATAGAGATGCATTGATTAAATTAATCTATATGAGGAGATGCTGATTGGCCAGGGCTGTGTTTGAATCATGCTGGCTCTTCCCCGATCTGCCTCTTTGTCAGTCTCAGCCAATCCTATGGGGAAGCATTGTGATTGGACCAGGCCACCATTCTGATGATGTCAGCAGACTGCTTGTTTTTCTGAGACAAAAAGCATGCAGAGTTACAGCTTCAGACAGATTTTGCTATATTTATGGAGGCATGAGGGGAACAGGGGGGCTAGATGGTGGTTTTAACACTATAGGGTCAGGAATACATGTTTATTGAGACAGGATGCCTGCCTCATTTACCCATATGATTGTAAACAAAGTTATATTGTTACTACGTGTCATGACATGCGCATAGTCGTCTTTTTGGCCTATTCCTGTTATAAACCAATTATAACCTTTAATAATCACAGACACATGAATGAATTGGCAAAATATTCCACGGCTTTATTAAATATATATAAATAATAAAATATAAATTTAAAAGGTCATTGTCAACAACGCTTGAAAAGACATCCCCCCAATTAACATAACTAAATACCCAGACAATGACCTCCAACATATTTACAGAATACATCCAACTAACAGTATAACATAGCATAAATACCATAAACCTTAACATAGCCACCCAGGGCCTCCATTTCCAATTGTAGGGGCATACCAAGACACCCCTACGCCATTATCATAGCCACCAAGGGCATCCCTTTCCACTGTAGGGGCATACCAAGACACCCCTACACCATTATCCCAGCCACCAAGGGCATCCATTTCCAGTGTAGGGGCATACCGAGACACCCCTACACCCCCAGGTTCGTAGCTACCGCCGAGCTCGAACCTACCACCAAATCTAAAGGTAAGTATTCCTCCTGACCTATCCCACTTACCAAAAACCGACCTACCCCCAATTAACCTAATCCATCCCCCGCCACAGCACAGAGCTTGACCACCTCAAGCCTCCTGTGCGCCCCCACCCCGAATAAACAGGGCCTGTCTAAGACCGTCCTGAAAGCCTAAGTTAAGGAAATCCAAACCCACCTCCGATAAATGAACTCCATCATGCCTGAAGTATCCTGGTAACATATCCTCTAGTTCCCTGTGCCTCACTACTACCCCCCCAGACCTTTTAATAAAAGTTGCCAACAACTTGTTGAACTTGCGTCTATATCTCGCCATAGCTGCGAAATCCCGCGCATGACGCCACCGGAAACGCGGTACCGTTTCCGACCAAACAATAACCACCCCGGGAAGCAAGGACCTCAACTTATCCACTTCCCTCTTTATCCCACGAACTAATTCCCTTTGCGGCACCAGACCAAAATCATTCCCCCCTGTGTGGAACAATATGAAATCGGGGACTTCCCCTTGACCTATCTTCCGAAATAACTCCAAACACGTATCTCTCCAACCGAAACCCCGAAAACCAAACCAGAACAACCGTAACACATCAGAAGGAAAGCCGAGCTGCGTGCCTTCTCTCCGAACTGCAGCTCTCCGTTCTGCCCAGTAGACATATGAATGGCCTACTATCCATGCAACTCCACCTGAAATAAAAGAAATAACTCATAACCACAAGACCACCGTAATTGTACCCCATAACATAAATTTGTTTACATTAAAAGATCAGGCCGGACATAGGAACGGAACCTGATCGATTCCCATCTCCCAATCTTTTTAACTAACTCATCCCCTAGGCCTAACCTCACCGCCTCTGTGGCAGCCCCGATCCTGAAGGAGTGGGTGCCAAACTGCGTGGGATCCAGGCCCAGGCGTTCCAAGCCCAACTTAAAGACCCTGTTGAACTGGAATTTCGACAACGCCGACCCGTCCGCATTGCGAAAAAAAAAAAGGAACCCTGCCCCTTCGGACGGAGCTCCCCATATCGCCGAGCACTGCCCACCGGGCAAGCCTCCACCTGAGGTATTGAAAATAGTTTTATCGTACGACCTCTCCCAAAGACATCCGTCTTCGAGCGCCGTAGTCGAATAGCTACCTGTTCCACCCCTACGTCCACGTCCGCGAACTGGAGACCACCTGGTCTAAGCCTGTTGCTACTTACAATCTCACTCACCCGAAAAGCCCCGAAAAACGCCCACACAAACGCCACCTTAAATAGCAAGACCTCGAACAAAGAGAAACATAAACCCGGCAGGGTACCCAATAGTTGTTGAAGCAACCTAAAAGACACCGGCCTCCTAGTGTCAGGTGATAACTTCCCTTTGCGGTAACCCTTCACTGCCTGCCGCACCATAAAGGATTTTGTCGAATCTTCCCACCCACGAAGCTTGAAGAGGAACGCCAATGCTGCCAGGTTCCGGCCGACCACTGCCGGAGAAGCCCCCGCTGCGAACAGCCTGCAAAGAAACCATAATAGCGTATCGAGACGTACCTTTGCGGATACCACGTCCCCCGTACAGCCTAATGCTTCGTCCCACCTTTCCCATACTTTACTATACGCCGCCAACGTGCCCGGAGCCAACGAATCCATTATCAGTCTTCCAAGCAGGAGGTCCCGAGACGCCACATGTGATCCGGACATGGCAGACCCTCCCTTTGTGCGTTCGGAGCCTCCACCCGAAATTTTTCCCACTGAAAGCGAGAAAGTGCATCAGCAATTACGTTCAAGAATCCAGGAACATGACGTGCACGAAAAACAATATTCAACTGCATGCAATACAAAACAAACTGGCGAAGCAGCCGCACTACTGGGACCGACGCCGCCGAAAGATTGTTCACAGCCTCCACGACAGCCCCATTGTCCGTAAAGAAAACCACTCTCCTATCACGTAGGGCCTGGCCCCACAAGGAGAGCGCTACCACTAATGGGAACAATTCGAGAAAAGCCAAGTTCCGAATCTGTGGGCTGACCGCCTAATGTTCGGGCCATCTTTCCGCACACCAATGACCCGCAAAGTAAGCCCCGAAGCATCGGTAAAAAGCTCTAACTCGGGTGATTCGATACACTGTTCCCTAAAAAAGACTCGCCCATTGAAATCCCTCAGGAAGGCCTCCCACACACCCAAATCCTCCTTCATCGGAGCGGTGACCCTGATAAAATGATGAGGTGACCGCACACCCGCCGTGGCTTTGGCGAGGAACCGGTTGAATACCCTTCCTACCGGGATAATGCGACATGCAAAATTCAACCGCCCCAGCAAAGACTGTATAGCCCGCAGTGTCGCCTTCTTTGCCCTACGCAACTCTGAAACGGCATCGCGGAGAGACTCCAACTTATCTTGTGGTAATCTGCATTCCCCCGCGACCATATCTATTTCAAGCCCCAAAAAACTCAGGCATGTAGTAGGCCCCACGGTTTTGTCGCGAGCCAGAGGTACCCCAAATACCTGACTGACCCATTCGAGACACCGTAGCCTAAAGCGGCAAGCGTCAGAGCCAGCCGGCCCGACACACAAGAAATCGTCCAGGTAATGGACCACAAACTTGGTGCCTGCTTCCTCCCTCACTACCCATTCCATGAACGTGCTAAATTTCTCAAAGTACGCACATGAAATGGAGCATCCCATGGGCAAACACAGATCCACAAAATAGTTTCCATCAAGATAACAACCTAATAAGTGGTGACACTTTGGGTGAATGGGCAAAAGGCGGAAAGCCGCTTCTATATCCGCCTTAGCCAACAACGCTCCCTGTCCTGCTTCCTTTACCAGCTCGACCGCTTGGTCGAATGATGTATAGGAAACCGAACAGAGATCCCCGTCAATGTCATCATTGACTGATGACCCCTTCGGGTATGACAAATGGTGGATAAGGCGAAATTTTCCCGCCTCCTTCTTTGGCACTACGCCTAAAAGGGAAACCCTAAGATCCGGCAGCGGTGGTTCCCTAAACGGTCCCGCCATCCGCCCCAGGCGAACCTCCTGAAGCAATTTACCACATACCACATCATGATGTTCACCCACTGAGCGCAAATTACGGAAACGGGGAACCACAACCCGATCCCTGAAGGGAATGATGAAACCCCTAGTAAATCCCTCAAACAATAGACGGGCATCCTCCCGCTTACCGTAGCTGTTTAGCCAAGGGAGCATCGCGTCTACCCTCACCGGAGACCGCCCCAGAGGCAGCGGATGGTGCTGCAGCGCCTCCGGCCGCGCCTGTTGTAGTGGGCTTGCCCTTCTTGAAACACCGGTTGTAACCATGTCCCCCCCCACCGCATCCAGAGCATTCATGCCTAAAGCGGCATGCGGAGCCCCACTTACATTGGCCCTCATTATAGAGCCAGCAACATCCCTTCCTTTGCGCAGCCGACGAGGTGGAAGAGGAACCGACGCCAGCCCCCCCTTGAAAGGGAGCCGCCTTTTGAGCCATCATTAGCTTCATCCATAATGGCAGGTCCATCTGGTCCCACCTCATTCCCGGCTTAGCCGAAAGCCTCTGACGGAACTGTTCATCGTACCGCCACCATGCTAGGCCACCGTATGTGCGGTAAGCCTCCCACACCCCGTCTAAGTAACAGAAGAATTGCGAGCATTTCTCTGGGGCCTTTTCCCCCAGTACACTCGCCAGTATGCAAAAGGCCCGCAGCCAGTTCCCGAAAGTTTTCGGGATTTTCCTATAACGACGCCGCTTTTCTTCCTCCTCTTTCTTGGGATCCTTTTTGTCTTCTTCCTTCAAGTCTAGGTATTCCTCCAAGGGGAGAAGGGAGAAGATCTCCACAAATTCCCCTTTCCATAACCTTTCCTTAACCTCTAATTTTAGGTGACACCCCAACGGCCCCGCAAACGACACATGCACGTTCTGCCTTGCTGCATCTGGAATCTCCCCCATTAGTATATCCCTCTCAGCCGCCACTTCCGTGGCTGCTGACCCCGCTGAGGCTGCTACCAGCTCACCTGCACTGCTCCCGGCCCGTTCGGAGACTGGTTTCTCTCCTAACCCCAAACCCGACGACCCCGGCAACCACGCCTTGCTAAACGAAGCCCCCTTATCCAAACCTGGACTCCATGATGCAAGAAATGTTTTCAGACCCTCTAACAAATCTCCAGAGTGTGGTGTACTGTGAGACTCACCGACCAAACCCCTTGGTGTCGCTGATCCTGGGGCTGCATCCCGAACTCCGCCGTGAGATGTTCCCGGCGAGGCTGCTGTCAAATCCCTGCTGTCCTGAGGCCTCCTGCGGCCTGCTGACCCGACATCCAATGGCCTGCGAACAAAAGAAGAAAAACTGGGGAGGCCGTCATCAGAACCCAAATCCTCCCTGACCTCACCCATTGGGCCTCTACGTGGACTGCTACTCCTGGCATGCTGGCCCTTACGGCCATATCTATCCCCGGAAAAACTTCTGCTCCGCCTGTCGGGAGAGCCCCCGCTCATTGACCTGGAGGCACTCTCCCGCGAGATTGCTCCCCGAACAGGTGAGCCACAGCAACGACCATCCGCAGACTCCCCGCTGCTACTGCGCTGCCTGCTCCGCCGTTCACTCCTGGAGCGATGGCTAGCTCTCCTGTCCCCCCCACTGTCTCTGCGCCGCTCTGTGGGGCTATCTGTCCTCTCCTGAGCGCGGCAATCCCTGCCCGCCCGCTGATCCGCTGGCCTACAGCGCCCCACCCCTGCACCAGGCCGGGAGGGGGCCATGCCACTGCCTGCTGTGACCCCACCGCCTGTCACCAGCGCCCAATGATCCTTGTTCTGGCCCGTTGCCCGTGACTGCTGCGCTGCGGGGAGGGGCGCTTGCGGCCTGGCCCTAGCCTGCAACCTGTTGTGTATTCTTGGTGCTTCCCTACCTACCCTGGAATAGGCTGTAGGTGCCGACTGTCCCCTGCTGTCCAAGCCCCTGCTGGCTGCCCCATCCTCAGCGGAACCTGACTGGGTTGCAAGGGCCTCATTTACCAACCCCTGTTTCTGCCCCCTTTTTGCCCTAACTGCCCCAGGGGACGACTCACCGCGGTTACTCCGTCCAGCTGCCTGCTCTGTGCTCCTAGCAGAGCCTGCTGCTTGTAACAGGTCTGCTGCCTCTGCTGATACTGCGCTCCTCACCGCCGCCGGGCGGCGCGGCGCCATCTTCTCCTGACCGCACACCTCAGACTCTGCCTGACGGCCGTGGTGTGTGGTCACCCCCGGGCCGCCACCTCCACGAATCCTAGCCCGGCCGCCACTTCTCCTGGTGCAGGTCCCTGTCATGCCTGCTGACGGGCTGCGGCTCCTAACCGCGCCAGCACCGGCATCAGGGCTTAAGCGTTGTGGAGGCCTGGTCCGGCGCGCTGTCCTGCGCGCCGGCGACGGCCCTGCCGCACTCAGTGCTGCCCCCAACTGCTGCTCCATCCAAGCTGCTCCATGCTGTCGGACCGCTGCCTTCACACCCTCCAGGATTGCTGTCATATCACTTTCAGCCACGGAATCCATCTGAAAAACAAAGAAGAAAAAATCCCCACCAGAAGCCAGCAACAGCTAACAACAGGTAAAGATTTCAAATTAAAATGGAACCCAAATTACAGATCCTTCCTGGTTCATGGCTGCCTAAAATGTATCCAAACATTCAGTGTCTCCTCCCTCTGCATGCAGACACTGAACTTTCCTCATAGAGATGCATTGATTAAATTAATCTATATGAGGAGATGCTGATTGGCCAGGGCTGTGTTTGAATCATGCTGGCTCTTCCCCTGATCTGCCTCTTTGTCAGTCTCAGCCAATCCTATGGGGAAGCATTGTGATTGGACCAGGCCACCATTCTGATGATGTCAGCAGACTGCTTGTTTTTCTGAGACAAAAAGCATGCAGAGTTACAGCTTCAGACTTGAATACAGTAAGATTTTGCTATATTTATGGAGGCATGAGGGGAACAGGGGGGCTAGATGGTGGTTTTAACATTATAGGGTCAGGAATACATGTTTGTGTTCCTGACCGTATAGTGATCCTTTAACTAATTTTCTGAGAGTCCAGACCCACGCTATCTAATTAATAGGTTAGTCAGGATCACCCTATCTAGCACACCAACCCGTTGCCTCTCTGACATACCTAGCAATTAGCCTGTCCAATACTTCTTGTTATTGCATCTCCTACCTAGACTCACATTCAGTCATGTATATTCCGCATGTATATTCCTTCTTTTATAAAAAATAAAAATAAATTTAAAAAGTGCAGTTTATTGAGACAGGATGCCTGCCTCATTTACCCATATGATTGTAAACAAAGTTATATTGTTACTACGTGTCATTACATTTGTCTGTACTCCCCTGCACTACAAAAATAAAGAATAAAAAAAAAAAAAAAAAAACCTAATGTGGACCCTGCCCCATCACTGTCCTATGACATTGTGACCTATCAAAATTGTGTAGTATTAATTCAGTGATGTATCCGACCTCCATAGCAAATATGGACTTAACTGCACAAACGGTTTTTATATCAAATTTATTGGAACGTGTATTTAAATGATTTCCTGACTAACTGAATTCACAGAAAAAGTACCATTAGGACAAAGCGAGAGAGAATTGGGCTACTAGGCTTTGCTGTGGAAGCTTTTTGGACATGATTTGCGGTACTCTTCTCTGAAGAAAAGGGCGTTTACTGCCTATTTTATTATTATTAATACTGGTATTTATATAGCGCCAGCATAGTCCATAGCGCTTTACAATATTATCAAAGGGGGAGATTTAACAATAAATGAGACAATTACAAAACCTTTCAGGAACAATAGATTGAAGAGGGCCCTGCTAAAACAAGCTTATGGTCTATAGGACTGTTATGACAATACCAGTATGGTACCGTAGACCGTTAATTTGTTTTCCATGGGAAATCAACTGTGAAAAAACGAACAATAAATTGATAGATTGTTCCAAACAACTGAAGATGAAGATGAATTTAAATAAGAAAAATTTGTTTTGCCTGGCCATATAGGCGATTTAGCACGTCGTAGGGTCCAAGTGTAACATTAACTAGGAATTGGCCATTTGTGTTGGAAGTAGTTGAAGTGCACACAATGATGAAGATAAGATGATAATTGAAAAAAAAAACTAAAGCAGGATGTGTGCACATAGGCTAAAGGATAAGACTTTTTTTTATCCGTACCTGTACTCGCCCATTTGTTTATCCATAGACAAAAAAAGCCAGCAAGTTAATGCACAGAGAAATCAGTGAACCCAGATCTCTATTTCTATGGAGAGGAAGACTCAAATCGTTGTGTTTCCTTACCAAAAACCACGACAAGCTATTTCTCACACAACCCAAAAGGCCTAAACTAAAGTAAACAGATAAGGTGGGGCCCGAAGCATCACTTAAAATAGTTATTCCTGTGCAAGCATTCTAGGGCTTTGAAAAACACAGAGAGAGACAATCACCATAACAAAACATCAAGACAGAGTGTTAAATGGCTGTGTTTATACTGTGGGAAGATTTACCAGCTGTGTGCTTCAACACTAATCTTTTCTCATTTAAAGTGACCTTGTCATTTTTATTAAGTTTTTTTTGTCTGGCGAAAGTCTTTGTGTGAAACACGCAGACAGAAATATCCACACTCCACTGCATGTGTACAATGCACACAAGAACACCCAGGTTTGCGTACACATTAACCAATACAAATAAACGAACCAGTTTCGCACAGCAAAATACCCCTGAATTTAACGTCAGACTCTCTGTTTTGGGAGAGAACCACTTTAGCTGTGATTACACGAACAAGTAAAACAGTTGACTTTCCACACGATGCAGCAGTCTCAAGTGGAGCAATGCTGAGCACGTTGTTTAAATAATTATCAATGGAAAACTCGCTCATTGGTGGAGTAATGGGGTCGTCAATCCCTTCTTAGGAACATCACATGAAAGCCAACATCAATGGTGACTCCAAATCTCAGCAATAAATATAGCGGTGTCAGCTTCTTCAATAAAATTAATAACAACATTTATTCAACTGTTTAAGGTATTAAAAAATAGAAAAGTATTCTATTAGGCCCCAACACTTCATGTCTTCCATAGAACAGGCACAAATCTACGTGTTACATATAAAAGTGTTACATAGAACAATGTCAAGATCTTGACAAAGTATAACGATTTCTTACAAAACACGTTGAAATGGCTTTTCTGCCATTTCATGATGCAAATAGGAAATCAAATACAGAATTTATGAATTAAGACAATTATAATTAGTCATCAGACCTTGTTTTTGACTCATGACCTTGTTTTATATTATGTCTCCAGAACTTATCAATGGTATTATATCCAATAATACACAGTTCTTTTTCAGTTTTGGTCCAACTTTCCACATGACTTTGATATTGTCATTAGAGATGTACATGGCCGAAAAACAAATTTTATTTTGTTTCAATACATCAATTAATTGCCCTTAATTATGACAATCCCACGTAAGGATACCAAGTTAGGGAGCTTTGTACTAAACAGCTGTAAGGTCAAACTTAAAGGACCACTATAGTGCCAGGAAAACATACTCCTTTTCCTGGCACTATAGTGCCCTGAGGGTGCCCCCACCCTCAGGGTCCCCCTCCCGCCGGGCTCTGGGGAGAGGAAAAGGTTAAAACTTACCTTTATTCCAGCGCCGGGCGGGGAGCTCTCCTCCTCCTCTCCGCCTCCGTTCCTCCTCTTCTGCTGAATGCGCATGCACGACAGGAGCTGCGCGCGCATTCAGCTGGTCTCATAGGAAAGCATTTACAATGCTTTCCTATGGATGCTTGCGTATTCTCACTGTGAGAAGCATGCAAGCGCCTCTAGCGGCTGTCAGTGAGACAGCCACTAGAGGATTTGGAGGCTGGATTAACCCATTTATAAACATAGCAGTTTCTCTGAAACTGCTATGTTTATAGAAAAAAAGGGTTAATCCTACAGGGACCTGGCACCCAGACCACGTCATTAAGCTGAAGTGGTCTGGGTGCCTAGAGTGGTCCTTTAAGGAAAAAATTTTTTTTCTTAAGTTTGCTTTTTCAGTTGCTTAGTAGATAAGTCACTAATTTGCTATCCTTATGAAACAAATGGATCTGAAAAGATTTGTTTTAATATGTTCTGAATTCGTTTGTTTTCGTTTTGTTTCAGTTTTGTAAAGGAATTCGGAATTTTGGATGCTTCCAAATTGCTGAATTCTTCCCAAATTTTATTCAGAGAGAAATAATTCAGCATGTCTACTTGTCATATTGAAACATTTGTGTAAAGAACTACCTCCACCACAAGCTCTCACAATGTCTCATGTACCTTCTGACACTTCACCACATCTTCATCTGCTGAATGTTTTCTTAAAGTACCCCACCTTGCTCTCACTTGTTTAGAATTATGTTGAACCTTCTGTGAAGGTATACTTGAGGGTATATTACAGAGGCTTTCTAAGGGAGGAGGAGGTGGTCCACCCTAGGTGATAGGTGGCAAGTGGGTACACAGAACTAGTGGGGGTGCCAATTGGCAGGTACCTAATCTGCTGCTGTCCTCTCACCAAGTGGTTCCTGCACTGATTTTTCAGCTTTCTCGCGTGCTGCGATGTGATGTCACTCAAGCCCCAGCATCCGTTATGAGCTGGGCAATCACAGACTTATCCCAGCAGCAATCACCAGTTCCACTCCAGGTCCCTTTAAATGTAAGAAAATTGAGGATAGGAGGAGCTCACTTTAAAGAACCCAGATTAAATTAAATGAAAATTCAATTACTGTGTATATATTCTGTCTGTGTATTTGAATGTGTGCTTGTATGTATATGTCTGTGGGTGGATATATGACGCTGTGAGTGTGTGTTTGTGTGTCAGTCTGTGTTTTTGTGAAGTTTCTGTATATCAATGTGTGTTTCTGTGTCTGTGTGTGTGTATATATATATAAACGTGTCTGTGTGTATGATTGTGAGTATGTGCATGCAATCTCCCTAACAAAAGGTGGTTGTGAAGGTGCATAGTAAGACACAAAAAAGGTTATATAGTTCGGGGAGAAATGTCAAAATATATTTCCATCCAGGGTTCCATCTAACGTATATTAGAAGGTAAATATCTCTTTAATTCTCCACTACCTCAGTCCTCCCCTTTTCAAATTGTATTCTCTGTTCTCTCTTTTGCTATTCTATATTTTGTTCTGTTATCCTCTTCTCTTCTGTCTCCGCACTAGTCATAAACATGTTTTACTTTTGTTTTTTTATTATTTCATATCTATATGTACACTGCTCAAAAAAATAAAGGGAACACAAAAATAACACATCCTAGATCTGAATTAATTAAATATTCTTCTGAAATACTTTGTTCTTTACATAGTTGAATGTGCTGACAACAAAAATCACACAAAAATTAAAAAAATGGAAATCAAATTTTTCAACCCATGGAGGTCTGGATTTGGAGTCACACTCAAAATTAAAGTGGCGACTTTGCCAATCTTGGTGTTCTCTGGCAAATGCCAAACGTCCTGCACGGTGTTGGGCTGTAAGCACAACCTCCACCTGTGGATGTTGGGCCCTCATACCACCCTCATGGAGTCTGTTTCTGACCGTTTTAGCAGACACTTGCCCAGCTCGCATTGATGTGCCATCCTGCATGAGCTGCACTACCTGAGCCACTTGTGTGGGTTGTAGACTCCGTCTCATGCTACCACTAGAGTGAAAGCACCGCCAGCATTCAAAAGTGACCAAAACATCAGTGAGGAAGCATAGGAACTGAGAAGTGGTCTGTGGTCACCACCTGCAGAACCACTCCTTTATTGGGGGTGTCTTGCTAATTGCCTATAATTTCCACCTGTTGTCTATCCCATTTGCACAACAGCATGTGAAATTGATTGTCACTCAGTGTTGCTTCCTAAGTGGACAGTTTGATTTCATAGAAGTGTGATTGACTTGGAGTTACATTGTTTTGTTTAAGTGTTCCCTTTATTTTTTTTGAGCAGTGTATATAAACCTTTATTAGAGAAAAAAGCTGTTCCAAAACCAAAGACATCAACATTAAAGATCCACTCACCCCTGTCCGTGCTGCTGAACCAATAGATACCAAAAAATAAAAACCCAAATCGATTCTCAAAAATGGAAAGAATGCTTTTTTAATTCCGAAATGGCAATCAAATGTATTCATTGGCCAATATGGTATTTTTTAAAAAAAAATTAATATTTATATTTACTATTAAAACTGAGTAGACAACAACTTTCTATAAATTAATCTATATCTGTTTTAGAGGCATATCCTGAATTTAGTAGAACAACCTCTAATGGTAAGTCCATCTTGCTTCAATAGAAAACTATAGGTAAAGTAGTTAAACCCATTCATTGATCATCATCCGGCCCTCACAGACCCTAAGCCCACATGGAATGTCCTACGGGTTTAGTAGAAGAATCTCTGCTTAACAATTTTAATGCCAAAGTAACACTTGACTTGCCATTATACGGTCTTTATAAGATTGCAGTGTGGGGCTGTAGGGGGCACGGTAATTTTACTTTAACTGCCTAATAAAAATGTATCACAGATGTGAATACATAAAGGGAATCAACACAGTAAAGGAGGAGACTATATTTAAAAGAAGAAAAACTACCACAATAAGAGGACATAGTCTTAAATTAGAGGGGCAAAGGCAGGGCCAGATTAAGAGCCCAGTAGGCCTAGGGCTGACAATTATGATGGGCCTAATTACAGAATCGTAAACAGTCATACCTACCAATCGTCATGTATCTGGCGGAAGTGGTGCTGAAGCGAAACCCATAGGGTGCAGCTATGAGAAAACACACACTCTATGCTATTCTCTCTCTAATTTATGCTTTCATCTTTCAAGTAAATCCATAACCCCTAACAGCAGTGTCCAGTGAAGAAGGCAGTTAATGGACGGGGTAAAAGGGTGGGCCACTGACGCAAATCATGTAATCAGACCTGCCGGAAGAGGCGAACATGCCTTAAAAAGGGGGCCTGTGCCTAAAGAATTGGAAGGCCAGCCTGGCATGCATGAACATCAGGCTGCCTGCCAATTAGTGCAGAGTTTTATTTTTTATTTTTTTTATTTATTTTTTATTTTTGAATGCTGTTCTCTCCGGTGTTCCAACCCACTGGGATCCTGTGGTTGAATTAATCCTATATGATGTGCCTGATTTTCACTTCCATTTTGTAAGTGTGTTTTTACATTAAAAGTGTTCATTCTGTTCAAGATACTCTGCACTATCATTATTTTCCTTTTCTCCTTCATATTTGCCACGATGTCCCGCAAGTTTTGAGGTTTCTACTATATTGATGATATGCCTACAATCAATTTTGGTTTGTGAGTGCAATTATTACATTTACTTTCCACCTCAAAATTATTGCAACATTATTGCACTATGTTTCTCTTTGTTATTATTGTATTGTAGATTTTTTTCGTTTTCTGCCTGCCAATCATGCAGGCTGTCCAACTAAGGGCATACTATGCAGACAGCACCCTGAGCTTGGCATAAATGCGTCTAATGATGAGTTTGCTCCACGCTTTCTAAGGACTGTCCATTAGAACTCGCTGGTCCATTGCTCTCCTAACCTCCTTACTACCAGGCAGAAGCTCCTGTCATACAGTCTGGCACAGAGAAAAGGTGGATGTAGAGAGTGTAGAAGAAAGGGAACATGCCACAGTGTTAGAGAGACTGAAGCAGCAAGAGTGCACAAAGTCAGCTTTACCTTAACTAATTTCGTTGACAGCCAGTCCACACAAGTTTTGTTCCCACACAGCCCTCTAAAGTTTCCATGCTTAAGCAAGAGTATATGAAGGATAGTTAGGGTTGCCACCGTTCTTGGAAAAAAATACAGGCCTTACTAATTTGCATAATTATGTATGCGTGTAAATCACAAGGAGTGACCTAAGAAAATTCTGTAAAATCCTAAAAAAAACTACTTACATTTATTCTGCTGAATAAAAGATGGATTGTTCCCTTTGTCTCCCTGTCTTCAGGGCCGGATTAACATAGGGGCTGATGGAGCTGCAGCTCCAGGCCCAGGCCCATGGAATAGGCCCATTGATTTAAAAAAAACATTTTTTTTTCCACACACTACTCTTAGGGATTCCACCTGGCTTTTATTTTATTGGCACAGCCAGTATTTGAGGCTGCCTGGCTGGTGCCAATATTGCAGTGATACTGGCAATACAAATGCTGGTATTTTTCTCAGTATAAACAAGAGATTACTCTGCAATACCAGTACTGGCCAGTAGGGGTCGCTGTGTGTGTGGAGACAGGCAGGGATAGGAAGTTCCAGCATATCCCTCCCTGCCTCTACTCACTGATCTGCAGGGGTGCAGCTACAGAGAGTCCAGACAGCAACTCCCACCCTGCAGAGACAGCCTACAGCTCAGGGAAGTAAGGGATGGGGGAAAGGCTGCAAGGAGACATGGGGACACTGAGACACTAAGGGACACTGGGAGACATTATGGCAGACACTGAGACACTAAGGGACATTGGGAGACATTATGGCAGACACTGAGACACTAAGGGACATTGGGAGATATTATGGCAGACACTGAGACACTAAGGGACATTGGGAGATATTATGACACAGACACATGGGGACACAGTGTCCCCATGTCTCCCAGCCAGTGTCCCTGGTGTCTCAGTGCCCCCTAGTCTCCAAGTCTCTCACTGTCCCCATGTCTCCTAGTGCCTCCATGTCTCTCATTGCCTCAAGTGTCACAATGTCCCCATGTCTCCAAGCTAGTGTCCCTAGTGTCTGTGGCCCTGGTGTCTCAGTGTCCCCATGTCTCCCAGTGCCCCCATGTCTCAATGTCCCTATGTCCCCCAGCCAGTGTCTCTTGTGTCTTTGTCCCTGGTGTCTGTGTCCCCATGTCTTCAAGTGTCCCCTATTTTCCCATTGTCCCCATGTGTCCCAGCCAGAGTCCCCTAGTCTCCCTGTGTCACTTGTGTCTCCGTGTCCCTAGGTCTCCCCGTGTCCCAAGGTCTCCCCATCTTCCTAATGTCCTAGTGACATGTGGACCCTGGGATACATAGGGACACAGGGAGACATGGGGCATTGAGACACTGTGATACATAGGATCACTGGGAGACCTGGGGACATGGCACTGGGAGACATGGGGCACTGAGACACTGATACATAGGAACACTGAGACCTGGAGTAATCGACACATGGGGGCACTGAGTCATGAGGACACTGGGAGACATAGGAGCACTGGGAGGAATCCATCTATACAGCAGAATCAAACTAAGTAGTTTTTTGGTGATTTTACAGCATTTTCTCTTATGTCACTCCTTTTTTTTCAAGAAAGGTGGCAAACCTAACTACTTTTCACATACTCTTACTTAAGTATGGAAACTTAAGTGGGATGTATGGGAACAAACGTGTGTGGACTGGCTGACAATGAATATAGTTAAAGGGACACTATAGTCACCAGAACAACTACAGCTTATTGAATTTGTTCTGGTGAGTAGAATCATTACCGTCAGGCTTTTTGCTGTAAACACAGAGAACATGCAGTCTTTACATTACATCCTAGTGATAACTTCACTGGCCACTCCTTAGATGACTGTTAGAGATCCTTCCTGGGTCATGGCTGCCTAAAATGCATCCAAACATTCAGTGTCTCCTCCCTCTGCATGCAGACACTGAACTTTCCTCATAGAGATTCATTAATTAAATTCATCTATATAAGGAGATGCTGATTGGCCAGGGCTGCGTTTGAATCATGCTGGCTCTGACCCTGATCTGCCTCTTTGTCAGTCTCAGCCAATCCTATGGGGAAGCACTGTGCTTGGATCAGGCCACCACTTCTAATGATGTCAGCAGACTGCTTGTTTTATGAGTCTAACAGCATGCAGAGTTACAGCTTTGGGCTTGAATATAGTAAGATTTTGCTATATTTATGGAGGTATGAGGGGCCCAGGGGGCTAGATGGTGGTGTTAACACTATAGGGTCATGAATTCATGTTTGTGTTCCTGACCCTATAGTGATCCTTTAAGGTAATGCTGACTTTGGTCTCTCTAACACTGTGACATGTTCCCTTTCTTCTACACTCACTACATACAGCTTTTCTCTGTCCCAGACCATATACCAGGAGCTTCTGCCTGCTAGTAAGAAGGTAAGTGGACCAGCGAGTGCTAGGGGACAGTCCTTAGAAAGCGTTGAGTGAGCGCATCATTAGATGCATTTATGCCAAGCTCAGGGTGCTGTGTGCATAGTATGCCCTTAGTTGGCCAGCTGCATGATTGGCAGGCAGCCTGACATGCATTCATGCCAGGCTGGCCTTCTAATTCTTTGAGCAGACATGTCCTCTTTTTGGGCATGTTCGCCCCTTTTGGCAGGCTACGTGATTTGTGTCAGTGGCACACCCTTTTACCATGCCCATTGACTTCCTGCCTGACTGGACACTGCTGTTAGGAGTTATGGATTTACTTGAAAGATGAAAACATAAATTAGAGAGAGATTAGCCTTTTCTTATAGCTGCTGTTTTCTTTCTCTCCAGCACCATCTCCATCAGATACATGATGCTTGGGAGTGTTTTACTGTTTTTGGTCGATATGATTCTGTAATTAGGCCCGTCATAATTGTCAGCACCAGGCCCACTGGGCTCTTAATCTGGCCCTGCCTGTCTTCCAGTGTCTTAGTGTCCCCTAGTTTTCCAGTATCTCCTAGTGTCTGTGTCCCCTATGTATCGCAGTGTTTCAGTGCCCCTTGTGTCCCAGTGTCCCCTCATGTCCCCATGTCTCAGTGTTTTCAATGTATCACAGTGTCCCTATGTTTTACAATGTCTCAGTGCCCCATGTGTCTCAGTGCCCCATGTCGCCCAGTGTCCCCTCGTGTCCCCATGTTGCCCAGTGTCACTTAGACACTAGGGGACACTTAAGAGACATGAGAACACTGTGAGACATTGGGACACTAGGAGACACTGAGACATAGGGACACTGGGAGACATGCGGACACTGAGACACTAGGGACACTGGCTGGGAGATATGGAGACAATGAGAGACTTGGGGACATTGGGAGACATGGGGACACATACGCTAGGGATACAGTGTCTCAGTGTCCACATGTCTCCCAGTGTCCCCTGATCTTCCAGTGTCCCCAAGTGTCTCAGTGTCCCTTAGTGTCTCAGTGTCCCCTAGTGTCTCCCAAGTGCCTAGTGTCTCACAGCGTCCCCTAGTGTCTCAGTGTTCCCATGTCTCCAGTGTCCCCTGATCTTCCAGTGTCCCCAAGTGTCTCAGTGTCCCCTAGTGTCTCAGTGTCTCCTAGTGTCCCCAAGTTCCTAGTGTCTCACAGCGTCCCCTAGTGTCTGTGTCCCCATGTCTCCAGTGTCCCCTGATCTTCCAGTGTCCCGTAGTGTCTCAGTGTCCCCTAGTGTCTCCCAGTGTCCCCATGTCTCCCTGCAGCCTTTACCCCATCCCTCACTTCCCTGAGCTGTAGGCTGTCTCTGCAGGCTGGGAGCTGCTGTCTGAACTTTCTGCGCTGTGTAACTGCTCCCCCGCGGATCAGTGAGAAGAGAGGCAGGCAGGGATATGCTGTAACTTCCTATCCTTGCCTCTCTCCATACACAGTGACCCCTACTGGCCGGTGCAGGTATTGCAGAGTAATCTCCGTTTATACATAGAAATATGCCGGCATTTGTATTGCCGGTTTTACTGCAATACTGGCACTAGCCAGGCAGCCTCAAATACCAGCCAGGTGACAACCCTAAGAGTAATGTGTAAAAAAAAAAAAAAAAAAAGGTTACAATGGTTCTTATCTGCCGTCACATTCTAAGTTTCTATGTTTCTTTGTGAAGTTCTGCAATCACTCATTTTCAGTTGGTTACTTGTAAAAATAACATGCTCCTGGTCTGTTTTATAACCAATATTTCATTTTCTCACGGATGGATGAAACACAAGATGTAAATGTTTTCAGAAATAGAAAATAATGATTATAAAAGTGTTAGAAACTGCCAGGGTTGTCCATTCCTTCTCTAAGTACATTTGAATTATTTATTTAGCACATACTGCATTGCAATAGAAATAATAACAGTAATGATAAAAAAATAATCCACGTTATTATTTTGCATACCAAGACACTATCATATAAGGGGGAATATTTTGTTATTAAGACAAGCGGTTTTACAGGGATCCCAAGAGCGGACTTTTTTGGGGGGGTCTTAAATCTGTTTTCTCATAGCAACTCCCCATAACTATTTCAAATATTTCATCTTAGACATTGTAAATTACAAAGAGAATGCAGGTTATTTCATGTAACAGTCAAAAAACAACAAAATGTAAAAAAAAGAGAATAAAGTCTTGGGGGGAAAAAAATATAAATTAGGTGTTTTTGTCTAAAGTTTGCTACTCCCTAATCGATTCATCACAATTCACTGTTCTGGTTAATGTAACAAAAAAACACCACGACACGTAAATATCAAATTGCTTTACAATTAGGAATAAGCTTAAAAAAATAAATAAATAATGAAAGTTGTGCTTATCTAAAATTTATTATTTTTTTTTACCATGTTAAGCAGTGCAACTGGTCAATTAAACTCTGTGACAATACTCAGAATCTTTATACAAAAAACCTGCTTTACAAAATTTTAGCCAGTATGATTCCTCCTCTCCATTAGTGTAAACTATGGCATTCCTATGGAAAAAAGGCCATTTATTTTGCATACAAAAATATAAAAATGCAACAATACTGGTTAACGTTCGTGCTCCTTAAAATATCCCAGTAACACACTAACGTGCCAAAAAGTGGATAATTGTAGCTCCGTCTGCATATTTGAAACTTGAGTTAAATAAATAACATTCTATATTTTGCTAATTTGCTAGATTTTAAATACATACAAAAATTAACATATACATATATATATATATACACACACACACAAATATAGTGTTATAACATTAAGTACCTTGAGTTAGATTTAAAACCAGAACCGTTTGTGCGTCACAGCCAGAGGAACAGACGACTGTTTTAAAATCAACACAATGCAAGCTTCCCTTTACACCAATCAGTTCCTCTTTGCCATTAATATCCAAACTGTATCGCTTGTCAAGCTAATTATGATTGTTGTCGCGATTGTTGCTGGTCACATTTCATTATACAGAGGATACATTAATTATCTTTTATTTAAATAGTGCTAAAACAAACTGCAGGGCTAGATATTCAGAGAAAAGGGCATAAAACACAGTTGACAGGCAGAAACAAACCAATAAATGAGGTTTCGAGAACCTATCCCACAAGCTTGTCTGCGCTTATAAAAAAGTATCAGAGTAAGGCACTTCTCTTTTTGAGGTTTTGTCCAGAGTTGCTTGACAACTGTATCCATACTAAGATCATGTCTGCCTGATTGTACAGAAGACGGCAATATATGGTGAGGTTCTAAAGACATGCACAAGTTAGAAAGGTGTGACTGTAAGTTCTCAATCTCACCTCCAGATTTTCTGAGGGTCTACATGCAAGTTCCTTGACCCACGGGGAAATGAGGAGCTTAACTCACAATTTTTGATAACACGAATTGCCACCCGAGCCGTGGAATTTGTTTTTTTAGGCCAATCGGATTCCCTACTGGGCTCACCGTTATGCAATGAACCATCTACAGATTTACCGACAGTTACCGACGGACTACATTTAGGTTCGGAAACTTTACTATATTCGTTAGTATTTAGATGAGGAATCTCTTTTTGTACCTTGGCACTCGCCATTGTCTTTCCGGAGCATGGTTTCAATGTTCCACCACCATGCTGAGACAGTTTCTGGGGTAGCTTGCTGTCTCGGCTCACATTTTGTGTCTGTTTGAAAGTGGGCATCCTTTGTTTGTTGTCATTTCCCACACCTTGTATGCTGACTGAAGGCACCTCTTTGTCTGAGTGGACTCTTCTTACTCTATACCCAAATTCATTGGTTTTTGACTTTTTACAAGTATTACTTCCAGCTCTCCCTAGTAAGGAGTTCTTTGGATTGTTACCACTTCTTTGTCCCAAATCTTCCCAGTCTGCTTTTGAACTATTTCTTTCTGTTTTCAGTTCTCGTTTCACACCATCGTCTCTATCACACGTATTTTGTAACTCTTTCTTCCATTTGGAGCATGGTTCAGGACTATCCGTATGTACTGATGAGCATACATCTTTTAAAACCTTTGTTAATGACTTGCATTCAAAAGCTTCCTCTACCTTTGATGTTTGTGCAGTCCCATTCTGTGATTCCCTCAACTTGTCTTCTGTGGTTGGTATCTGAACATTTATTTCTTTTGCTTTAATATCGTGTCGGACAGACACTGGCTCTGTCAGTTTTATTCTACTGTTGAAACTACCGGGTTTTGCTAGAGTATGTTTGGGAATGTCCGATGTAGACGGAATGGTGGTCTCTGAGCCAACCCGATCTATAAATTTTCTGGGATTCTTGGGTGAAGGTTTTGGTATAGATTGCCTTGAAATTTTGGTTGTAGACTGGTATAGTGATTGTTTGGAGGTTTTCTGAAAAGACTGGGCAAGTGATTTCTTGCTAGTATCTGGTCTTAATTGCTCTGATGATTGTCTGTGAGTCTCTTGTGTATCCTGGCTTAATGACTGAGAGGCAGCATTGTCTGGTGTTTGGGGCATTGAGGATATGGAAGGCACAGGTCGAGACTGTGCTGAGGAATCTGTGGCTATCCCAAGTTCTAGCTGGTCTGTTGACTGTCTGTCAGAGTCAGACCCTTGCATATCCTGGGTTAATGACTGCGGGGTTACATCATTTGCCACCTGGCATATTGAACGGTCAAACTGAGACTGATCTAAACATTGTGTGGTGTCAGTTTCAGGCTGGGAAAATATCGGTTTGAGGTTCTGAGACATTTGGTTAGTGGCCATATATGTAGGCTCTGGTATTGAGGCATCATACTGTCCAGCATGTTTCGGAATCTTAGACCAAGAATGGGATGTTATACGTCTGGTTGAACTAAGCCCAGAATTATTTTGCAATTGACATGTGGCCTCAGGTCCAGAATTTCCTAATTTTGTCCAGGACATCTCCTCACCAGGCTGGCCTAGTGATTGGTTAAGTGTATCTTGTTCGCATTTAACAAGCGATGAATCAGAAGTGTCAGTTTCAGACTTAGCCAGGGAATGTCTATAAATCTTTAGTCGAGACTGAAGTAAAACATTTTGAGTCTCAGGTCCTGATTGTGCTTTAGATTTTATTGAGGTACCAAGTACAGACTGGGAATGCAGGCGGCTAATTTTTTTAGTTTGAGGTTCAGGTTGCGTGTGCCTGAGTGACTCCTGTATGTCCTGGACAGAATGTCTCTGAGTCTCTGTTTCAGGTGATAAATGTTTAGTCTCTTTCTGGCTCACTGAATCTATTGATTGAAAGGGAAATTTTGATACAGACTGAGAAGATAAATGACTTGCAATATCAGGTGCATGATTGGTTTTGTATTTTCTGTGAGGTTCATCTGAAGACTGGACAATTAACTGTTTGGAATTATCAATGTCATAATGGGCTACTAACGTTTTGAGATCATCAGTTTTAGACTGGGCTGCTAACATTTTCAGATTATCAGTTTCAAACTGGGCTTCTAACGGTTTCTGATTGTCAATTTCAGACTGATCTACAAACTGTATGGGATTATCAGTTTCAAATTGGACTACTAATAGTTTTTGATTATCGATTTCAATCTGTGCTTCTAACTGTTTCGGATGATCAATCGCAGACTGATATACTGTCTTTGACTGGCACATTATCTGCTGAGAGTTACTAGACACAGATTGGCATACTATCTGTTGTGGGTTATTTGTTGCAGACTGGCCGTGGCATAATTCATGTTTCGGAATAACCGATGCAGAGGGATTTACGATTTGTTTTGGGTTATCATTTCCAGACTGGCATACTATCTGTTGGGGGTTATCAGATGCAGACTGGCATGCTATCTCTTGGGGGTTAATTGATGCCGACTGTGATGTTAATAGTTGACAGTTGTGTTCTGTAGGCTGAGTTAGTGCTTTGTTATAAAAATCTATTCCAGTGTGGTCAATTAAGTCATGGGGGAGACCCAGCTCAGCCTTCACTGGTAATGGTTCTGTTATTTCAAGTTTTGAATTGTCTACTGTTTGGTTGAGGACCAGAGGTGCATCTTGCTTTAGCAATGTACTACCTGAAGTTCCCTCAGACGTGGCAAGGGAATATTGAGAAGACTTAAGTTCAGAGTGGGCATTTGACTGCCTAAAAGCTTCAGTTTCAGATTGCAACAGAGAATGTTTTGATGTTCCAGATTGAGACTGATTTTGTAGATATCCAAGAGAATCAGGACAAGAGTGGCTTAATAATGGACTGGTGGTATCCGCCACCTTGAGCACAAGTAATTGTCTTGAAATCCTCAATTTAGTTTGGTCTGGTGATTGATTGAGAATTTGAAGATCTGTTTGGGTTGGAGACTGCCTTGTTGTAACAGAATTCCTTGTATCAATGGAATGTACATTACAAACATTGACAGCATTTGACTTGGAGAAATCCTTGTAAGCTGTATATCCCATCTGCTGCCTCAACACTCGTTCAGAGACCTCACGCATCTGGACAGCATTTTGCTGGTCGCAATAATACTGGATTCTTTCACTCTGACTTTTGCGAGACATCTGAGCGGAGATATAGCTCGATCCCAAGGAGCGCATTCTGCACAGACGGAAACTGCCAGTTTTACGTGAATTTCGTAGGTTCCTCTCCAAGGTGAGTTCTAACTCATCTTCTTCACGCAAAAGCTCCAGAGAACTGCAGGAAGCCATGGAATGCCTCTTCTCTAAACGTTTCTTCTCCCATTGTTGCTGTCGTTGTTCTTCTAGCTCACGGATCTTATTTTCCTGTAAGAACAATGTTTACAAGTTAGGTCTATATCCCATTCCAAATAATTGGATAAGACTAATCTCTCAAACAATCATCATGATTAGAGTTGAGCGAACCCGGACTGTAAAGTTCGGGTTCGTACCGAACATTACGTTTTTTTTGGACCCCGGACCTGAACAGGGACATATCAGTGTATGTTCTGGTTGGAGTTCGGTGTTCAGCGATTTAATGGCGCGTTTTTAAAACATCAGTTAATGGTTTTGTCTACTAAGGTGTGAAAATTAAAAAAAACTCCAGTTACTCAATGAACCTTAATTCTAAGTGCAGGAGAGGTCTTTGTAGAATAATCTGTGTACATTACTCACCCTCCAATCATAAGTATTTTACATGTATATTGGACAGTTATTGCTTATTTATGTAAAACAGCAGTTTACAAATAAATCACCATTATGGTTACAGAATATAATACTTATGCTGTGAGCTAACCCCAAAAACATATTTTAAAGGTAATGCAGGCAATATAGGTAGGTGAAGGAATGAAGAAGCAGTGAGCAGTGGGTAGTGAAGTACTGGGAGGTGACCCCAAAGAAGAAGTGAGGCAGTGACTTGAGTAGAAGTCATTTTTGTGTGAAAATTGGAGCAGTAACTGGTGATTAAGGAGGGAAATGTGGTAATGTGTGGCTAAAGAAAGAAATGAGTTGAAGGTGGATAAAAAAGGGGGGGTGGTGGTGGTGGCAATTGTAAGTAAAGTAATGAAGCATAGAAAGTAAGTACATTGAGGATAGTGAAATGATTGCAGTGGACGACAATACAATGGAGAGGAAATAGTAGAAGATGGTTGGACAATGAAGGAGAAAAAAAGTGGAAAAGTAGAAGGCGAGCATACAGATAGGAAGTACGTGAATAAAGGGGAGAAAGCATGGTGTATGACATGGGGACATTTAATTTGGGAATTGGTACTGGGGCACGAGATGAAAATTACAATTGAGAGAATGCATTGGGGGAATATTTCAATAGGGGATGAATTGGAAAACTGTAAGGGGATTGGCAGAAACTATATTATCAAATTTGGGGTAGCTGTAGGGGTTATATCAACTGGGCTACAGAGGGGATATCAGAATGCACAAAGAGTCAAGAATGGACTGAGAGTACAGTAAATGGGGAACAACTGCTGAGAAAGCACAGGAAGTGAAATATGAACGGGGCAAAAGGAGAATTTAATTCTCTGTCTTTGTAATTCAATGGGTGTCAGAGTGTATTATGTGCCTTTAATATTAAGAGGTGGGGCTTTGGAAGGAAGGCAGTGGGTACCATGTTGTTCTGGGACCTAAGCAATGCAATCTTTGGACAGCCTTGCCCTCAGTATCTCCCAACTTAAAATCAAGTTTGTTAAACATTGTTTAAGGTTAATAGAATTTTTATTTTAGAGCAATCCACTTTTACTTACTTTAATGGCTAGCTGAAATCTTTGGCAGAAACAGCTAAATATCTTGCAGCATTCTTCCAAGTGAAAGGTTTCTTCATCTTCACAGAGAAATTCTATCAGTAGATGCTTAGAGTTTTGCAACACTTCAATTTCCTTTTGAACCTCTCGTAGTTTATCTTCGGCGTACTGAAAAAACCCCCAACATTTTTACATATTCATAGGAACTTTACTACAGATTACCATTGAAAAGTGCTGTCCCGCAGAACATAACAGTGATATTCTACAAGAGATAAATATTTTATCTAATCAAAGGAAATCATTTGAGACCTTTTTCTTAATTAATTAGAGAGACACTATAAGCACCAATCAACTTTAACTTAATGAAGCAGTTTTGGTGTATAGATCAGGTCCCTGCAGTCTAACTGCTCAATTCTCTGCCATTTACGAGTCAAATCACTTTGTTTATACAGCCCTAGTCACACCTCTCTGCATGTGACCTACACAGTCTCCCTACACATTTCCTGTAAAGAGAGAGCTAATGTTTAAATGTTCTTTATTGCACATTCTGTTTCATTCAGAATTTCCTATCCTATACTCTGCTAGAAGCTTGCAGGACCCTAAAGGAGCCTCCTGCGTGTGGTCAAAATTGAATCAACAGAGAAGAAGATAAAAACTTCTTAAGTAAACATGCTGTTGCATCTGATTGAAAATGAAACAATTTTTTCATGCAGGCTATGTGAGTCACAGCCAGGGGAGGTGATGGCCAGCGCTTTAAAAACAGAAACAAAAATAATTGAACCCGTACATGGCAGAAATTTTGAGCATTAGACCCGCAGGGGCATGATCTATACACCAAAACTGCTTAATTGAGTTAAAGTTGTTTTGGTCTCCTTCCAGCAATATATGAATGCTACATATGAGAGCGGGGAGTAGTGCATTATATATATAACCACTGTAAATCTGGCATCATTATATATAATCCATTTTTAATCTAGAGTCCGTCAGGATTGTATAGTACAGTATGAATTGTCAAGGATTTAAAGCATTTTTCACATAATGAAAATTGAAAACATGTGACTACAAGATTTTGTCCAATTCGACTTTACTTTAGTGTAAAATTAGAAATTTGAAATTTGTCTTCGGTCACAGTCTACCTTCCGATATTCCAAATGGTCAGAAAGGGACATGTTTGTTTTGAGAGAAGTCACTGGAAGAGTGCCCACAATTAGTACTATTCAGAATATTATAGATTACTTACAGTAATTATCTATTTAAAGCTAATAAAATGACTAAAAATGTATATTAGATGATGCCGAATGGATTTACAGATAAAAAAAATAACTAAGAAAACCCTTTATTAAAGTTGAAAAATAATTACGACGTGCTTCCATGCTGCAAAATAAATAAATAAATAAATATATAAACAAAAAAAAATTATGAGCTTGTATAAAAGAGGGACACTAGAGATGAGAAAACAAGGATTTAGGTCCAAAAGTGGGTTGTCCCTCCTAAAAGTTATGAACAGCATCTAGAATGGCAGGGTTTAATTATGGCTGCTCTATATTTTCCAAGTACTCATTCCTGACCTGCTCAGTTTACCTCTAGAAACTCATCCATCTGCTGTCTAACGTCTTTCTGCTCTGGATCTCTCAGAATCTGGCGCATAGAAGTGACTCGGGACTGCAGCTTGCAAAACTCCTCCAGCAGACCGTCTTCTGATAATCTGAAGGTGTCAGGATGCATAAAAACAATGAACATGTGATGTCATCAAAAAGTGCCACAGCCGAGCACCACAACCACTGCAGTGAGCTGCAAAAGTTTAGAATGGTTTAAATTCTTAACGGGGATCCGTTAGGCACTGCTGCCTCTCTCCACCACATCCAACAGAGAGTCATAAGAGCTAAGACTGGGTGGTGCAGGGCTTAGATTGCTGGCTAAGAGTGATCATCTGACGTTCTCAGCCAATGAGATAGCCATCCACTGCAGGGCCTCTAGCTCAAGAGAGCTAATAGAAGATCTAAGCAGGCTCTCTGTTGGCTGTGGTGGTGGGGAACGGCCACTATAACCACTGACACTATTATGTAGTGGTTATGGTATGTGGAGTGTTCATCTAATTTATTTCCACCTAAACTCTGCTTTTTAAATATTTTAAGATGTTCTACAACATTATGACGTAAAAGACATACAGGTACACACACAAACAGAGGTCATACACACAAAACACTCATTTCTTACCTATACATTGAAGGCATAAGCATTGCTAAACAGAGGTATGTCCTTTACCTGCTTGAGATGCTGACATGTTTCAGTCGGTCTGCGAAGGAGAGATATCCTGCATCTTTCTTCTGGACTTCCTGTACAACATTAAAACAGTAACTGCTCAGTGCAATACATACAAATTCACACCCAGACCTCCCCACGCAGCATGCTATGCCCTGCAATCATTGTGGTGGAATCTACAAAACCAAACATGCATCACATTTATTTTTGCTACATATTAAAACCACAATAATGTCCCTACATACGGTATAGGCTCTAGAAAAAGCATTGAACTGACCACACGCACACCACTGGCAAATACTAAACTGAAACAAACACACGCAATGACATTACAATTTATTAGTTTACAAAACACACATTTCACAGGTACAAAACATACAGAGCACAGATAATCTTAGCTTATACCACTGCAAAAAAAATTAAAAATAAAACAAAACAAAAAGGGCTCTTGATGGTGTAAACTCCCAATCACATCTTCCTCAATGCTCTCCAAAACAGAAGGGTTTATTCATTAAAAGAGCACACAGCTTGGTGTAGTGGTTATGGTGTCAGGAGGGCCCTGGTGTCCCCATTGGAATCAGTCAAACCATTTTAGAATGGCATTGCTCCCTGCCTCTACAAAAGCTCATTGAGCTCCTAGCCTTCATCCTGCTCAATAGTTATCCTTGGCTCTACTGAGCTAAGCTGTGGAGTGCAGGGCAAAGCTCATTGGCGGAGTGTTTAAGCTGATCATTCTCAGCCAATAAACAAAGCCCTCCACTGTTAGGTTTAGTTTAGTAAAGAGAGCTTCCGGCTCTCGCTGAACTGTATTGGAGTGGGGAGTGGTGCCCAGTGGACTCTAATTAAGAAGTCAAACTATTCTAAAACATTTGACTTCTTACAATGTGGGGGTGTCAAAAGGGGGTCAGGGCACTACTGGTATCATAACCACTGCAGCACACTGTAGTGGTTATGGTGCTTGGAGTGTTCTGTTACAATAGGAATTCTGGAGAATTGAGAATTGCACATGTAAGCACAAAACAGCCAAAAACTAAAAAAATCAGAGTATGCATTAATGTGGTTTTGGCTATTTCGGGCTATAATTTGCAATTTATTTGTCAGTTTTCCACAGTTCATTAACTAACCCCAGAGTGTTAAAAAGGTTCAATTAACAACACACACAGTGTGATAAGTGACGAGAAGAAGGAATTTAGAGTACATCTAAGTAACACAATACTATATAGATGGTTATTATTACTGCGTTTATGCTCAAATAAGCACATTGCCACCAACCCTCCCACTCTGATCTCACTTCTCCCACAAGCCTACCATCACAACGAAGTGCAGTAAATTCATTCCAGGTTTGTTTGCCTTTGTGTCAGCGAGTTTGAGAAGGGATGAAACTCGAAAGCCGGCTGCATTACCAGCATATCCACCCTGCAAGAAGTCATGTTTAATTTACACAAGCGATAGCCGTAAAATAAAAGACAAAATGGCAGCAAGGTGCAACGCACAAATGGGAACTGGAATGTGATTTGAGGGTTTGGGGTTAACAGCAGTAGAATGTATCAGGTGGAAATATTTCTAGACTGATAAAGAAATATTCGCACTAGCAAAGTTTGCTATTTTTTGCTTTGTTCCTGGGGTGCAGTCAGTATTTTGAAGTACTTATAGAATTGGTATTTTACGTTTTCACACAGGTACATTCCAGACAAAACGCCAGACCTGTTTTTCAACCTGCAGCTAAGGATTATGGGTATATATATGTAGGGGGGGGCGACTAAATCTACAGCTATGGATTCTGGGTAGGAGTATGCAGGGGACTAAACCTGTAGATAGAGTTTATCGATAGGTATCTGTAGGAGACGAAACCATTTCATTAAAAAAAGTATAAAACAAGCATACATAATGAGAAAATAATGCGCGATCGGAAGAGCAGTTACATGGCGTATGCTCACTACTACACAAGGGTAGACGTCAAGCAATGCAATTTGAAAAACATTAATTGAGAATGTAACAAACATCAAATTGCAGATATGGGTCATACATTTGTGAATAATATAGTTACAAAGTAGCTGTAAACCATTTACAACTATCAGCTGTAACATAAAACCACTGCATCATTGAACCTGTGCTAAAAAGCATCCATAAGGTGAGGAGGGAAGGTAAGACTATAAGGGAGGTAGAAGAAAAAACGAGGGAAGAGTATTAGTTTCAGCCTATCACAACCATCTATTGCTGGTAGAAACTGGTACAACAAGAAGGAAGTGTGTAATTGCTACATTAGCCGCACCTCCAGTAGGGGCCAGGCAATGGGAGGCCAGAGACGCTTATTTGATGTTAAATGACTTGAAAATGGTTTAAGATTTACTTAAAGGACAGCGCAAGGGGGCTGCTGGCACTATAACCAACTCGATTAAATAAAATGGTTAAAGGACCTACAGTGTCCCTTTAACTATTCTACACCCACGTCACCGAAAGATCATGCCAGAAAAACTACGGAAATTATAAGAGTGGCTCATTTGCAGGTAAGACACACACAATTGTTGCCGCCAATTATTGGCCACTGGGTGTTAAAAGCTGGGATCCAGAGACCAGTATGAGTCTAAGTATGCAGAAGGCGTGTAAGTCACTCACCGCATTCATAAAGTTTCCTGCTTTTAGTATGAGCCGGAGGATGTAGTGCAGTTCTGTACATTGCAGCAGCTCTGGACAAAAAACAGAAAAATAATATAAAATGTTGGTTATTAAGCAGCGCTAACAACACACACTACTGGGTGTACCTTATCTTGATCTGGAGAGCACATGAGATATGCTTTCTCCAGTCCCAATATGTTAACACTCATTGAGCAGACAGCCTCATGAGAGGGGAGTCCTTACCGGTGTAAAATGCCATTCTGGGCATTATTGAGGAGGTCCTCCTGCTCCAATTAAAATAAAAACGGACAAAAAGTTTTCTTACTTACCTGTGCTGCCTTATACACCCGTCCTCATGTCACGGGGGCCGCAACGCGATCAAATTGGACGCTTCTTATAGAGATGTCTGTGATTGGACCAATTGCTGGCTCAGAGAGCATGCATGTTTCAAACAGAAACACTGCACATACAGACTCCTACCACCATTACCACTTTAAATCACTGAAATGATCATGGTGGTTGGAGTAGCACTTTAATGTAAGAATTTGACACAAAAAAAACAACATACATTACACCATTAGATTTTAAAAGTTTAAGACGGAAGGATTAAAACTGAAAATGTGTTTTGATTAGGTCATATATAAACAGATATAAATGCAATACAAGACTTAGACCCAAACAGGTCAGGCAAAGCATCATGGGAAATGTAGTTATATTATATTTGGAGATTTACCTTTGATAATCCCTGTCGTATACATTGTAAAGTAGCAGTGCTCATTTTAGAGAAAATATCAACTTTTTCTGCGTCCTCTGACTAAATATTTCCATACTGTGCATTTTCTAATTAAACTTTCCATTTTGTTAATTCCACACCGCATTCTGAAGATTCTAACCAGTCTGTAACCACTTTCTAAACGCTCTGTTTTGCTGACCGATACTTTTCCACATTATAAATCTTATATTACGTAAAGCCTAAAAAATTAAAGCAGCAACTCTATGATTTTAGGTATTCTTCAAACTATGTTTATGCTTTACTTGCTGCGATTGGCATATTGTATTCACATCTTCCAGTTTATTTAGTCCTTCTACCGTTCTTAATCCAGAATGTGATCCTATGTGCGCTAAACAACGCTTACATCAAACAGGTTATTCTTTTATGTTTTGTAGTACAAAACCATCACTTTAACAAAAAAAAAATGTTGATTTCAAATGAAAAAAATCATGTCCCCTAATTAATCAGCTGGACATATTGTTTTTAGCGTCCACTTCAATGGATTCCTTGAATAGACAGTTAAACCACCCAACAATTTGTCACACAAGTGATAGCTAGAACTTTATGATATCTGAATTAATAGCCACCCAAATATTAAAATATTATTATATTAAAAATCTAATTTAAAAAAAAAGTTTTTATATTTTTATATAATAATTCAAATTAGCGTGCAATTCGAAAATGTCTGAGGCCTTAAATCCAGTTGTTTCAGAAAAGGGCTACTAAACTGGTTAAAGGATAAAGGATAAAACTTACCAGGAAAGGTTAAAGGATCTTAACATGTATAGCTTGGAGGAAAGACGAGACAGGGGGGATATGATAGAAACATTTAAATACATAAAGGGAATCAACACAGTAAAGAAGGAGACTATATTTAAAAGAAGACAAACTACCACAGCAAGAGGACATAGTCTTAAATTAGAGGGGCAAAGGTTTAAAAATAATTTCAGGAAATATTACTTTACAGAGAGAGTAGTGGATGCATGGAATCGCCTTCCAGCTGAACTGGTAGAAGGTAACACAGTGAGGGAGTTTAACCATGCATGGGATAGGCCTAAGGCTATCCTAACTATAAGATAAGACTAGGGACTAATGAAATTATTTAGAAAATTAGGCAGACTAGATGGGCCGAATGGTTCTTATCTGCCGTCACATTCTATGTTCCAAGGTGTTTGCAGCAGCAAAGAATGGGCGTGAGCCCATACTGGAATTTGCATTTTCTTTGACCTAAATAGGAAGTTCAAGTTCTGTACAAACTTGCTTGCTTCCTCTCTCCTGCATTATTCCACTAGGCCAATAGACTGCTCAGCCTATTTACCCCTGCATGTAATTGGTAAATGAATGATGGTGTGAGGCTGCACCCTAAAGGCTGTGGGGCAAGTCTCCCCTATCCATCCCTCCCTTTGCGAAGTGTCCGAGAGATAAAGAACTGGCACCAGGGTTAGTTTAAGAGTTGGGAGTCTGTTGAGAGGTCCCAAGACATACGGGAAATCAGGAGCCCATAACGTAATGTAATCATTTTATTTTAGCTTTCTAACAATCAGTATTTAAATGTGTCTAGTTATGACACAATACAGAGTACTGGGGTATTAAATATAAACTGTTTACTTTCTGGTGTGATACTAGAAGTTAATCCAAAATAGATTACCCAGGAAGGCTCTCAATGTTCGGCACATTTTGGTCTTTTAATTTATTCACGAAATGTCATCACTGCATATATTTATATTTAATAGATCTCTAATCTTATCAAACTACTTTAGCAGTGGGACTGGCAGTGCCGCCACGAATTGTGATTTGGGCACCTTTCATGCCACAGTGAATCATAGCTATTAGCCAAAGTATTCGGTGATCATAAGAAGACTAGTTACAAACACATGATTCCTTGATAGAGAACTGCCACTTCCTGGAACTTACACCATGGAATATAACTTTGTAAATGATCTATAACTCGCGTTAACATTTGTGCTGCGTTTTCTTTTAAATGTAATTGAAGCACGTAGCAAATGACTTCACAGTCCATTCCAGACAAGGCAAGGCCAAGGCTAATAAAGAGGAGGAATAGATACAATATTTAATTTCTCCATTACATTTTATTATACTGAGCGAAAGAAAGGGATGAGATATTTATCAAACTATGGCTAAAAAATTAAGGAATTAAAATCCTCCAATACAAATAGTGCCCGAGTATAAAGCCCTTTGAAGATGAATCCTATTGTGCTGCGGGATTTGTGGGCTAAAAGTTTCTTGACTTCTAAACGCTCATTGTGTCTACTCTGAATTGTCCAACGAAAACAGCAAAATCAAATTACCGGGTTCAAGCAGCAAATTAGATGCCAAACGTAAGCACAAACGGAGCCAATGACACAAGACAGCACAGGCAGATAGGCAGTGCGTGCAGACAGATACCCTAAGGATGCGCATGAAACCCAAGATAATCATTACATTGTTTTACTTGTCTGAGTAAACTGTGAGCATAGAGACTCTTTGTATATCAGCAAATCAACAAATAACCTGTGCATTATACAAATAACGATTAGGCTCTGTTTAATTCAACATCTATGTAAGCCATCTTTCTGTCTTGAAGGAACACGCCAAGCACCATAACCACTGCAACGTGCGCCCACCCAGTGTAAGCAGTCAAACTGTTATATAACGGGTTGACTTCATACCTGGTGTATGACGGATGCCCTCCCCCCTTGTAACTCTCAGAAAGCTGGAAGGTCTCTGTCTGAGCTAAGCCTGGCAGTGCATGGCTTAGGTCATTGGCTGAGAGCGATCAGCTGATGCCGCTGCAGGGCTCAGCTCAGAAGAGATAACAGAAGCTCCTAAGCAGGAAGCTCCTAACTGCACTGCAGTGGTTATGGTACTTGGAGTGTCCCTTTATTCTGTGTTATTAAAATATTGAGATTTTAGCCATTACACAGTAATGGACTTGTCAAAGGATATTCTTTGTAATCGCGGCATCAGCTTGTCAAAGGATATTCACTTAACTGGAGATTATGAAGAATTATCAGGGAATTAAAGATTTTATGTCAAATAGTAGAATTAGAAAAACTATCCAACATGGCTATTTTTCTATATCAGGCATTTTGGTTTAAAATATGTAATTTACCTGTCAATAGTGATCAACCCAGTATGTCTATTACACAACATGTACTGGTTGCTGCTATCCATATTGACCACCTTGAATAACATACTGGGGGGTGCAGCGCAGGCCGCTTTATGTGGTATCCATGTGAGGCACGCTCACAGAACCCCTCCACTGATTGTAGCATGGCCGAGCTGGGGTACAACATGGGATCTGAACATTCTACTTTGCGGTCTACAGAGTGAGTGGAGATTGAACGTCATATCCTGCCTCGTTAGCCAGTCACTCTGCTCGGTCAGAACTCCTGACAGACTCCTGTCAGTCTAACTTGGCCTCGTTACAATATGGTGGACCTGGAGAGACACTCATGAAGGTAAGTGGAGGTTTTGAGAAACACACAAGGGGATTAGGAAAGACACACAAGGGAGTAAAGGTTATGACAGAGAAGTAAGGGGGTTTTGAGAAACAGTATAAGGTGAGGGGTGTCAGCAGGTACAAACAAGGGGTAATGGGGTGCAAAGAGAAACACAAGTGGTGGAGTAGAACATAAAAAGATGTACAATTCTAGGGGAGGTGGCCAACAGACCATTCCACCACAAGGGGCTAAATTAGGGCATCTGTGACCACTAAAAGCATCTGTTCTGAACCCAAAAAACAAACATATGGTTTTCTACATACCACATATGAATCCAGGAGGAAAACTTTTTGAGGTGTTTGCAAATTCTATTACACATGCATGCACAAACTCCTTCACTTCTCTCATCCTGGCCTTGAGGGCCCCTATTCACTTTGCAGCATCGTTGGTGTTGATTGTCAACAAGCTTTACTCAACATTAAATTTAAATTAAGATCACCATTACAGCAGCTGAATCAGGCCTCAAACAGCCAACTTGAACTAGCCTAAAATGGCAGATTTTTTTTAAACAAACTTAATTAAAAGGCTAAGTAATTGGAGTTGAATGAACAAACCTCAAATAAGTGCAGTGTAAACGAGTCTGTGAATCACTGAGCTTCACACGACCAATGTTTATACTGCAACGCATGTGTTTATAGACCTGGTTTTCTAAGTAAAATATTTTATGCTCACTGTAAATGACTTACTAACTTACACATATATCTGTCTTGAAGACACCTAGAATTCTCCAGTAATACCACACCCTCTAGCCACATTCTTAAGCATTACCCATAAAATAAAAGTTTCTATGTCTAAGGTATGTACACAGGCTCACGTACAATCACAACAGAAAAAAAGGAGAGTGACAGAAACAGGGCCATTATAGTGAAAAAAACAACCAACAATTTTGTTAAATGAGCAGTCCAAGCACCATAACTACTACAGTGTCTGGCCAAAAGTGCCCCAGCACCGCCCCAGTGTATATAGTCAAACTATTTGCTAATGGAAACTTACCTTGGGTGCTGGTCGCTTCCTAATTCCAAATTAATTGACAAATTAGTTAAATTGTCGTGTGTCTTTCAAACAAACAAAAAAAAAAAAAATCTGGCAGAAAAAGGGATATAAGGATAGAAAAGACGGACATAGTGATTCCGCTCAAAATAGTGACTACCCCTCCTAAAACGGGACACTTGGGAGGTATGGATTTCTCATAACCCAAAGCAGCATGACACAACTCAGCATATTATTTAAAGACTCGTTCTAGCAGTTACCATTTATCGTCTTTAATCCTCTTAATACCAGCCAGCCTAGCAATGTATCCCTGCCTAACAAGTTACCTTTAAAGTGAAGCTAACCATAGGAATGATTTATGATTATTTTGAAGCAGACCATAACGAGACATGTCTGTTTATACTAAGCGCGGCAGGTTTACTCTATACCATAATCTATGCTTGCTATGTAAAACACTGTCTTGGAGGGACGGGGGGGTAGAGGACAATCTCTTCCTCCACGCTGCTTACTTACCATCTCATAACAGAGACATCTGGAGAATAGTGCGAATAGTTGTATTAAATAGGTTTAGCTTTCCAATTCGTTAAAACCAGGCTCAATCTATCTATCTATCTATCCATACATATATACCGTGTGTTGCCCTACAGAGAAAAACGTAGGGATGCCCAAATGGTTTATATAAATTGCCAGAAACACCTTATACTGCAATCATTCTACGACAGTGGAATGTTTAGCAAACATTGTGACATTGCTATACACAGACAGACTCGTAAGTAAGCGAAACCCTCACCTTCCGCAGCTCCCTTTAGTTCTCGGGCTGTAGATAGCAGAGAGAGTACAATTGCGTGAAAATCCTTCTTGAAAATCAGCGCTTCCAGACGCAATGCGTAGCTACAGGAGAGAGACATCGAAAGGCGTTATTAAACATGCACCTTGCAACCCAGTACGGCTGTGTTCTGTGTCTGATCTATATTGCTTCTCTCTAGAGTGTTCCAATGAAGCCTTATTTAATTGACAGGGGCACACAGTACATGTCTCTGTATAATGCTCCAGCTCTCTCTGTCTATCTTCCAAGCACTCTCTTAGCTCACCCTTTCGTGATCCCATCTTCAGTAGTGCTCCTGCTATGATAACATTAGATTTCTATTAAATATTGCTTCTGTTATGAAACATGTCAGCTACTCTATTAGCAACCAGCACACAGTGTGAACAAGGTTAAAGCATTAAGATACTGATAGACTCCAACCATTGCAGATACTCATGACTTACTATTAGCTTTCAGCACAAAGTGTACACAGGGTTAAAAAAAACTAATATAAAGTGCGCTGTGCATTTAAGATTGGGCTCACAAAAAACTTTTTGTGTATTGCAATCAACCCCTGCAAATAAAAATTTTAAAAAATAAAGCACTTTATTTCATTTATTTAAAAAAAAAATATTTATATATTTTTAAACTGATAGTAAAATTGGTCAAATTAAAAAAATATATTTATATATTTATATTTTTAAAAAAACCTTTATATTAGTTTTTTTTTGCTGAATAGGTGTTGTGTGACTAATTCACTAGTAAGCTGCTGCTAACATAATTTTTTCTGGAAGGTTGCAAAATTAACCTATTTAACGCCATTTATGGCTTGTTTTATCTTGGGTTATTTTCTATATACACAGGGTTAAAGCAACAGGCAGCAATATAATTAAAGGGACGCTATAGTTACCAGAACCACTACAGCTTAACATAATGGTTTTTCGTATCTATAGCCTGTCCCTGCAGCCTTAGCACTGTAAACACTGCTTTTTCAGAGAATTTATTTCTCCACAGTTCATTATTTTTGAATAATTTAAATGTGTACATGAGGTCAAATCAATAAAATGCCAATTATGGATTAATGACAAATGCTTTTGTTTATGGCCAAAATAATCAAATTGTAAAAATTCTCTAATTCGACTGTTTATACATTTTTGATTATTTTGACCAAAAACTTGTTAATTCTCCATAAATTCCAGTTTAGTTACATCAGAACCCTAAGCAATACTTTATATATATAACATAACATGATGTGATTCATTAAGCTGAAACTTTCAAGAACTGACAAGGGTATTATAAATAATTTGCCAAAATCAATGGGCTTGAAAAATAGCCATTAATTATTAATTCCTATTTTGGTGAATAACACTGTTTTCCATCAGCTCGTATTGGTAGGGTTACCCGATCTACCATGTGTCCAGGGATACATATACAGACATGGGAAAAAGAAAGTACACCCTCTGAATTCTATGGTTTTACATACCAGGGCATAATAGCTATCATCTGCTCCTTAGCAGGCCTTACTATTAGGTAAATACAACCTTGGATGAACAATACATGGCATATTGCACCAAGCTGTGATTTATTTAACTTTGTCATATTTATGAAAATGCATGAAAAGGGTTGCCCTGCAGTGTGTATAATGCATATTGTGCAAGATTCGTCATTGTCTAATTACTTAATCTGATACACCTTCTTCTGAAAACTACATACTACAGGGCAACCCTTTTCATGTGCTACCCATCAAACTGTATCTATGATATGTGTCACTGAAAACTTGGTTTATCTGGTAACCCTAACTATTGGTATTTTTATGTACACAAAATGTAAGACTAGGGAGAAGACAACTTTCTAATAGTTTCTCTAAGTCCTGATACTACTCTTTATCTTTGGTGTTGACAAAAAAAAATCTGGTATGTGAAGTTGTTTAAAAACCACTTAACCACATCAAGGGGATTTTGAGATAAACTGCTGTAATTTATCAACATTAAAGGAACACTAAAGGATCAGGAGAACAAATGTGTATAGTCTTAACAAACCATATTGGGTCCCCAGGCTCCCCCTTAAACAAGTATAAAACAAAATTTTTGTTCCAGTTGGCTCTGCCCCCAATCCACCTCCTTGACTGAGATTATCAGAATTGATGATCTCAGCCAATCCAATGCTTGCTTTCCCATAGGAAAGGAGAGGGAGGGTGGAGCAATTAATGTTATTCAACTAATCAATACTAAAAATTGACCTCTGTGAGACATTTATTAAACTGCAGCATACACTTCTGAGATCTCAAATCTAACATCAATCCAGTATCTTGCATTGCCCTCATAAAAGAGGCATAACAATGGCTTTCTATATAGCAATAGCACATTAATGGTTAGGACTACAACACTTGAGCAAGCACACAATCTCAGTTTAGGCGTTCTAAACATTGGGCCATTGAGCAAATAGAAAAGGAGAATCAACTGGCATGTGAAAACGCTAGCGGAAATATATCTACTGTGTTTAATGCTAAGTATCAAAACTTGGGGAAATACTTGAGAGAGAAAAAAACAACAACTTTAACTTCAGATTTTACCCAACATCGGGATTCTGTAATTCTTGTGAGAATGAAGACATTGTGATGGATTGGGTATGTTGTTCAGCTTGAATAACCTGGGTTTTACAAATAGTATGCCATGACGGGGAGAATTCTCATTCCTGGGCTGCCATACTGTCTCAAAGGCAACGTAAGCCCAGCAAACCAATCCGCAAGTTTTAATGTGTAAAAACTGAAAATGTAGAAAGTCCTGTAACTTTCCAAAACCCCATAAAACCTGTACATGGGGGGTACCGTTTCACTCGTGAGACATTGCTGAACACAAATATGTGTATTTTATTGCAGTAAAAGCTAACAGTATTATGACATTCACAGTTAAAACGTCATGCAGAACATGAAAAATAACAAAATTTCTTAATTTCTCAAATGTTAGATTTTATTCATATTAAATTATGTTTTAATTATCAATATTTGAGGTGCAACGAAAGCCATGTTTCTCCTGAATAAAATTATATATAATACGTGTGGGTGCACTTAATATGAAAGAGGTAAATTATGGTTGAACAGACATAGAGCTCAAATTCCATTTTTTTAAATTAGAACTTGTACAATTGTAAAAGGACAGTTTTAGCACCATAAACATCTGTCATACAACTCCCATCTGAAAATGTAGGAGCTTACCTTGCAAGTCCCCACAAACTATTACCAACTGACTGTGCATTGGTTTAACTAGCTTCACTCTTTATTCAAGAACATAAACGTATCCTCAGCTGTTGCGGAACTACAGCTATCCTGTTGATTTACCAATCTTAAGGCTGGCAAAGCATCATGGGATTGGTAGTTCTGCAACAGTTGTGAATCTACTTCCCAGCGATACCTGGGTTAAAGGACCACTATAGTCACCCAGACCACTTCAGCTCAATGAAGTGGTCTGGGTGCCAGGTCCCTCAGGTTTTAACCCTTCAGATGTAAACAGCAGTTTCAAAGAAACTGCTATGTTTACATTGCAGGGTTAACCCAGCCGCTAGTGGCTGTCTTCCTGACAGCTGCTAGAGGCGCTTTCCGTGATTCTCAGTGTGAAAATCGCATTGAACTTGCGCTGGACATCCATAGGAAAGAATTGAGTAATGCTTTCCTATGGGCGTTTTTAATGCGCGCGCGGCTCTGGCAGCGCATGCACATTCGGCTCCAGTCGGGAGCTGATGTCGGAGTGGTCACCAGCGCCGAGGGAGCACGGCGCTGGATTAAAGTAAGTAGCTGAAGGGTGGGGGGGGGCAGGGGGAACTTAAGGGTTATATAGTGTCTGGAAAATAAGTTTGTTTTCCTGATACTATAGTGATCCTTTAAGCTACTAGAAAAAATTACATAAGGCATTCTGTACTTTCCTTATCCTAGCAATATGTCCCCTCTCAAAAATGTGAGAGGATTGGTAGCTGTTTTATCGGAACGCAAACAGACACTAACTTCATTTCGAGTACAACTTTCATTTCTCATCTGCTGGTTAACACCCTGCCATCGTGAGTGTGCTTGTCTATCGTATAACATTTAGCAACCTAATAAAAAGATAGGCAACTTAATTTCAGCATCTGAGGCCCATTAATATAAATATATATAAATACATCAATTCACCCAGTCAACGTTTGCTGTTACACGTCTGACTGTCATCTTGTTCCCAAGCAAAAGATTCTTTGAAGGATTACATAATATTCTAAATAACTCTTTGTATTCTAAAAACATTTCAGGATACGTTTGGACAAAGTGTCTGGTGGCAGAATGTTACCAAAATAATTTAAGGAATGTGTCTATATGATATTTTATATGTAAACTACCAATTAAGTATCATTTAAACAGCAGTGAACTGTGGGAATTTTTTTTCCCGGAGACCACATTTCTAAACCACTCTGGAGTTTAGTCAACAGTTCGTTGGATTGTAAACTTAATAGACACAGAGGTAGAAAGTAATTATTCTAAATGTCTATTCATGAAAAATGTGGAACTTTTCAGGCAACAAGCCAAATATACCTCCAATCAAAATATCCTTCATTTTCAACATTTCACAAATTACATTCCAGGCGTGGTGTGGTTGTTTGCCACATACACCACAGCCAAACGCTTGTGCCACCCGTTTATTTTTATTGTAGGTCCACTAAGGAGAGGTCAGACATTGGTACTCTGACCAAGCAACCCATCAAGATTCAAGCAGTTTGCCAAGTTTATGTTCCAAACCAGTGTAAGGAACACAATTGGATATGCCGTGTGTGATGTTCCTAAATATATACTCAGCCCAGGCCTACTTTAACAGATACATTTTCTGGCACCAGGTTGGAAGCCATTTTGCTTCCAGAAACCACTGAAAAAAAGGTAGTTGTCAGGACTGACCTGACCCTAACACACAAACCTAGGTAGAAACAAGGCAGCTATGCATACCAGTCCTTAGAATGGCTGGGCTAGCACTGATAAATTAGTCAGGCTATCTGCAAGCAGACACAGAATAAACATTAACAAGCCAAGGTCAGGGATAACAGACATACACAGAAAGGAGAAACAAGCCAAGGTCAGGGATAACAGACGTACACAGAAACCAGTAACAAGCCAAGGTCAGGGATAAAAGACGTACACAGAAACAAGTAACCAGCCAATGTCAGGGTTAAAGAAAGCAAGAATGGTCAATCAAGCCAAGGTCAGAAAACAGAATCAGTCAGTTAACAGAAACCAGAAAAGGGCAAGGAACTAGAAACAACCAGCTAGTTAAATACCCAATGCTGTGATTAGTTACAGTACTGTGTGATGTTATAAGAAAATAACTTGTCATAAAAATGTGCCCTGTATCTTTAAATCTATAAAGGGGCAAAGTGTGAGCGTTTTGCACCATGAATGACATCAGAACCAGACTTCACGATGTCGGGTCTTGCGTGGAGTGTCAGAGGACAAAAGCGGAATTGCCATGGTAATGCCAAAAAGTGGAATCAAAGGATAGCAATCACTGGAGTAGAATAACCACATTGTTTATTTTATGGGACAGGGACACATCATTCCATTGTTGCATTGGGAGAATTAAGGTCTGCGGACAGCTGACTTTACTTTACTACTTACAGTCTAAAGCATGCATTTCTTTCCAAGTGACCCTGATTTAATCAGTAATGTGTTGCTACGGCAATGGGGTAAAAAAAGTACTAAAGTGACAGAAATAGGAGTGACATAAGTAACTAGATCTCTTCTCTTTATCCCTGTATTCTTTATTCAGTTGCTTCTTATTACAGGAATATCTGGCGGCAAATCTAATTTTCTTTTCTTTCCAACTCGGATCTTTTGAATAATTTACGGTTTAGGTTTTCCCATTGACTATTCCGAATGCACTCGAGTTAGATAACTTTCTGAGTCAAGTGTATCACGTCCAACTTTTGACTTCTAACAAACAGTACTTCTCAATGCCCAACCCTCATAGAAATATAATCAAATTCACATTACTGTACGTCTCCCCTGACCTTCCCCACCGTGTCCCTTCCTTCCTCCTATTATCCTCAAGACTTTTGCTGGACACCTAAAAAGGAAAGTGCACGCTATCGTCTGGGATTTTAACTGCCCTTTCTTCGTTTATGCTGGCTCTACCACAACCTCCTCCCCACACTCTTCTCACTCCGTTTCTAATGGCTGTATGGTACATTTAGTGGAATTCCAGTTTAACAAACAATATTGCTTTAATGAATTCTCTAGTGCACTTTAAGCATTCTTTTTGTTCTGGTTAAAAAAATAACTCAACGCTCTCTTACAGAATCTGCTGTCAGACGATATTATTCTCCTCAGATCTTTTGAAATAATATGCGCAAAAATATTCTACTAACAAAATTGAGATCCGGATTTTGCTTTGGCAGAGACGATACATCTGGTCAACTTGTTGGGCAGGGCAATTTTCACCTGCTGTTCTCGTATGTCATAAATCTTTTGTTAGAATTAAATCACAAAATCAAACATTTTTGTTTTGTTTCTTATTGTTCAGCGGTACGGAATATGTTGGAATAAATAATTGTCATTGTAACTATATTATTTTTAGGTCTATTACTTCATATTTTATATCACGTTGGCTTTACAGTGAAGGTTTATATATTGTTATTTTTTTGTATCCATAAATGACATTTTATCTGTTTTAGAATGAAACTGGATTATAATGATACATTTTTACTTCCTTCTTTGTTATCTAAATCCATCCAACTTGTGCATAGGGGCAAACTGGACAGGCATATGGCAAATAAGCTCCCCTATATATATATATATAATATTGTGGTGAGGCCAAACACGATACAACGCCCCATAGAAAAAATACAAAATATTATTATATTACTGTTATGCATCACCTGCATATCTGAAGTTGGACTTTGAAAGGTCCTTCTTGGGCATAGATACTCGAAAAGTTATGTTTACCCAACTTTCCCAGAGTTTCCACCTTGACATGCAAATGAGCACAGACAGCGTCCATTGCTAAGGAAGATACCCTTGCAATGGACACTGGTGGGAGGGGCATACCTTTAAAGGTTATTTATTTGCATATTTATTTTTAATGCATTAACTATACATTGACATTTACGGTCACTTGCAATTTGTAGTGTCCCTTTAAGCACATAAATACCATATATATATATATATACCTAAGGACAAAATGTAGGAGATTAACAGAGACTGAGTAAGAGGCTGCGGCAAGCTAGAATTTGAAGTTGCAGGTTTAAGATGGTATACAAAACTACTGTTATAATTTTGAGCAATCAAGAACTATAGACCTCAATTTAAAATGCTGGACAAGCTTTACAAATGATTTAGTATTTTTGAAATAGCTTTTTTTTTCAACATATTAAAATATCAAACATGTCATATACCAAAATATATAAATATATTACAAAATATCAAAATATTAAAATTTTAAATATTTTTCATAGTGATAAAACATTTTAAAAGTTTAAACATGCGTGGGATAGGCATAAGGCTATCCTAACTATACGATAAGACTAGGGACTAATGAAAGTATTTAGAAAATTGGGCAGACTAGATGGGCCGAATGGTTCTTATCCGCCGTCACATTCTATGTTTAAAAATATTAAATAATTTGGAAAGCATTTCGAACACTATTAAATCTATTAGGAGGAGACTAGCGTTTCAAAGCCTATGAAGTAAAGAGAACAAATGGTCTGTTAGTAAATGCAGACAGTGGCTCATATTCAGAGAGTGACTGTAGTTCAAGACAAACGAGGAGGGGTTGGAGAAAAGTGGGCAGAATCAACGGAATATCAACAGAATACAAAAAGATGTTAATGTCACGGCTCCCGGCTCCTCTGCCGGCGTGGCTGCACAAAAACTAAGCAGAGAGATATTTCTGACTTACCTTGGTCTGGGCAGGCAGCTGCCCGGTCTCCCTCCGTTCCGGTCCGCAGCGGGTGCGACGTTCTTAGGAATGCTGGCCACTGCAGTTCAGGATTTTATAGGAAAAAAATCTTCGCCCACATCAAAGATGGCGCCAACGTGCGTGCGACGTCACATCATGGACACGTACGCACGTTTTGGGTTCAGAGGTCACAGAGAGCCAATTACAGCGTACGGAGGGTTATATAAACCCAAATTACCTTTTTGTCAGTGCCCTGTCATGGTTTCCACTAGCTGGTTATCTGAGAGTGTGTTCCTGATTGCATTTTCTGGTATTTGACTTTGGCTTTGTTTTGACTTCCCTGATTTCTGGTATCCTTGACTTCTGTCTTTCCTCATCGTTGTGTCTCATTCTGTGTCCCTGTCCTCGGCAAGTATTTTGACTATTCTTGGGTACGTTAAGTCCGGCCATTCTAAGGTCTGGCTAGACGTTATCCTTAGTCCTAGGTGTGATACTATTCTGCGTGCTGGATCAACTATAATACTGACAGTTAATGCTTTTCTTGAACAGACACACCTATAGATTCCAGTAAAGTAGTAAGGATTGGCTGTTATATTGCAAAAAAAATAAAATAATAAAATAAAACACAAACTGGGGGGCGGGGCCTGACCAGCATGGAAGATAGACGTGCCACTGCAGAGCTCCTCAGAGCACAGGGCAAAACACAACGTTTCAGCCCTAAAAGCTTTAAAACAGAGAAACCCAAATGGTCTCATCTGACCCACTAAAGGGCACTGAACCGACCACTCTGGGATCACTCTGAAACCGGCTGGCAGACCGACTTGCGCCATGAGGCCTGGCGACCGTAGAGCAGGAGAGGCGGCCGATCCCCCGGTCCGGTGCCACGAAATGCTGACACAACGCAAGCAGGAACGGCCGGGGGTGATCGTGGTCCACACCTGAGAGACAAAACGAGACTGGAGCGGGAACAGTGGGGAAAAGCGCGGGGAAGCATGCAACAAGACGCTGCACCCAACATGGCGGACGCCACGCTTCCCCTTGAACCTACAGACCCACAGTATGGGACCCGGCAAAGACTGGAAGCACTCTTCGACACTTTCTGGCGCAAGCTGGAGGCTAAAATGAAACCGACGGCCTCACCACAAATAAGCGAGAGGCGTAAAAGCAGCAAGCATGGCGCTACCAAGAGGGCCGCCGAGCCACAACCCAAACAGAGCAACTCGGGCCTACCAGCACAAAACCTGAGGGAGGTCTGTAAACCCAAACCAAAAACCAAACCAGCATCGCCCATCAAAAAGGCGTACAAAGCTGCCGCTCTGCCTACCCGGCATTCTTCTGGGCTGGGAGCCCATCAGGGGCTTACCCCATGCTGTCCATACACTCGTGGGGACACCCGGGACAGGGAGAACCCGTGGGCCCCCTAGCCAACCACCGTGTCTGGAAGGCTCCATGGACACAAGGCCGGGGCTCTCGCTAAGGCCCGGAGCCAGAGACTGGGGAAATCGAGCCGCAGCCGGAACGCCCGAACGGTATGGCGAATCCACTACCACACGCGCATACAGACCCCAGCCAGGAGAAGCAATACTGACCTGTGGACATTGCCTCTGAGCACCACTTATGACCTGTGGACACTACCTTTGAGCACCACCTACGCTTCACTTGCAGGCACCAGGAACATACCGACTATGGGAGTCGGCTGACTTTCGGGAACACATTGGGGGCTAGCCTGCTGCCTTATGACCACCTCCATCCCACCCCAGCGGACACTATCCTGCTTATATTGTACCAACCTTGTTGATTTAAGTGCAAGCATGTTTACTCTTTTGGTATGCTATCCCTAATGGTCAATGTCAGACAAATAAGCCAAGCAATGTCCCTTTAGACTAACTTGCCTAACAGGGCTCTAAAGTGTTTAAGTTGTTTAAGATTTGAGTGCCATATCTCAGCATCCCTCCTCCCCCACATATAGGTCATACTACCAATACGCCATAAGCTTCAGTCTATAACACGAATAACAAGCCTTCCTAATTTCTTATTTTATTTTATTATTTTCTCTTATTATGTTTAACATGAGACCTGCATATTTAACTATAAGCAAAAGTGTACTTAGCTATGACACTCGAAGTTATATGTATACATGATCTGGCATGTCGAAAATACACTCAACTACCATATGCCATAGCCTAACTTGTTTATACTCTAGTTATATGTAACAATGAGGCATTGCGAATCAACAAATGTTTAAACGTTTATTGCATGATGTATGAAATACAAACATTTTTGTGCATGTCCATATTAGCACCTACCACACGTCTCACAAGCATGCATATCTCACTGCTAAAGTGTATTTTATAGATAGTGCAGTGAACTAGATCATTAACAATCGGTGACCAAATACTTCTGTGATTATAGCCTGTATGTTGTTCCGTGTTATGCTTTGAAATGCTTAAGCAAAGCAAATATATACTGATCATAACATTATTAACCCCCAAAAATGTGCTGGATCCAAAGTCTACGCTAATGTTTAAACTGTTTATCATGCGCTAGAGGACTGCCTTTGTGGTACCTCACAAGCGACTGTTATTATCATATGCACAACTAAAATAAAGAATTAAAAAATAAATAAAAAATAAAACACAAACTAGGAGCACTTTAAAAAAATGCTCTTAACTAGCAACATGTAAATTCAGTTCTCAGGTTATTAACTACACGTAACTCGGGGTTGATTATCCTTACAAACCTTTTTGGTTTTTTTTAAATGAATATTCCATGCCAATAACTCGGACACCTGGGGGTAACTCTTACAAAGGGTTATTCACCAAAGGGAGAATTTAAAGTGAACTCTAAGTAAATTTAAGGTAAAAAATAGCAGACCTCTCATTGCAGCCACTCTGCCTTCAGTTTTAAATTATCTTTGAATTCTCGATTTAGTAAATACGCCTGTAAATGTGTCTTCAAATGGTAAAATTTCTCCTCCCTTAATATCTTTATTATATTTCCTGGTAATGCTGGTTTCCTGCTTTTTATTCATATCTCATTTCCTTGACCTCCTCTACGCTCTCTCTGCACATTCAGTACTGGGATTGTTTAGACTTTGGAATAGATATAGGAATGGCCTTGACTAGAATATATATGTCTCAAGGGTCCTATTTGAGGACTTTCACATTGATTGTTTTATTTGTCCAAAACATAACTGTGCATAAAATTAAAGCAAGAAAGTCTACTATTGGAACTTTTATAAAGTTGTATATATATCAGAGAGTCTTCCACCTAAATCACAAAAACAATTTAGATTTTATAGCTTACACTATCAAATTATAAAAATAAATATGCAAAAAATAGATACTCGTCTATCTTAGATTAAAATGTCAAATTTCTTATTCAGTTTTCAACAATTCTTAATTTTGCGAGTAAACCTGACATCTTTTGGTGAGATAGTGAACGGGTTCTAAATCTAGATCTCATGGATGACGGATGGCCCAGGATATATCTAATCAAATCCAAATATTGATAAAACCTAAACTTTTAATAATGCTTGCGAGCCATTGATCTTGAGCGGGAGGAGATCTCTGTCTTCTCCTCCCATGTGCGACTTCACTCTTGGAACGAAAAAAAGGCATAGAACCTCATATTCTGCTGCCTCAAGTTTTCCTGTTTTTCGAACTTGTTCTGAGAGGGCGTAAGGAAGAGAGAACAGTACAGTCACTCTCTGCAATTTTGCAGCGGCTCTGTATCAGAAATATTGTGGGGCATCATGTTTTCAGGTCCATTGGCTTGCCTTATTGTCTAAAACTTGCCACCTTGCTTCAGATGGAAGAAGTAATTCAGCAATGGATGAAGAAGAGGATTATAAAGAACACATGTGAGATGTAGCTAAACAGACCAAAACACATCCTTCCGATTGACTTATTTTAATCATGTCAAACTGTCACTGGTGACCTGTACCAATCACGTTGGTCATGAACTCCCATCAATACCACCAGCGCCACTTTCATTGGCAGCTAACAAAAGGCAAATTAGATCTATTAGCTGCTTAAAGTACCAACAACAAAACCACTTAAAATCCACAGGATCACAGGTTCTATGTTCACCAAAGTCACCTCAGCCCCTCATACTTGAAAGGATCACTAAATACACCCAGACCACTCAATCTCAATGTAGTGGTCTGGACACGTGGCCCTTTAGTTTTAGCTCTTCTATCTGAAACATTGCTATTTAGTAGATCCGGTAATGTTTTGATTGAAATGTTAAACATACCTCTAGTTTCACTCGGTCATGTGACGTTCGATGTCCACGAGGATGTTGAACGTCCTCAAATGTAGCTTATAGGGACGCATTGGATTCTTTTTTTTTTCAAGTTTTATTTTCCAAGAAACATACAGGTCTAAGACAATCCGAGATGTGACCATGTGTAGGAGACACATTTGGAAATGAGCTCCTACTTCAGTTATCCCTACTTTGAGGATGCTCTTCCAGTTTGTTAAACCAATGGTTGAGTTTATACCAGACTGTGTAGGGAGTCACTGAGTGTCAGTGTATGATAAGAATTACAGCCCCCCTTTTAATAGAAAGTACTGGCATTGAATTGAATGATCATTGTGGAAGCGACGCCTTTAGGACGATGTAGGCGATGATGTTCGAGTCTCAGTAATGGAAAAAATATAAGTAAAAACTTTTTTTTTTTAAATTTATTTACAGGTCAAAAGGGGGAAGGGGGTTACATTTAAATACGGAGTATGACACTATAGACATGTTTGTATTCCTAACGCTATAGTGTTACATTAAAAATTGCTAAATTAGTAGGATTATGTTGGGTAATAGTACCATGTATTAAACAGCTGTGATGTGGTCACATCCAAGAGCACGCACTAAACACTAAGCACTAAGCACTTACAATCCCTTTAGAGTAAAAGTGTTGCATTATTAGTTTGTGATCATTAACATTCTAGGATTAAGTCAGATTTATTTCATAGGATTAAGAACTAAGATTACTGGACAATCACTAAAATCAAGCAATCAAGCATAGCTGAGCCACAATTATAGGAGTAATGTATTTTAGAATGATAGGGAGGGTGTATAATACCAGTAAAGACAGTACCAGTAAAGAGTCCATAATGTCAACCCTTCATTCAATAATTCCTCAAAAACAGGGTTACCCCTGGTAAAGCACAGGAGAAGAAACTGGGTGCCAGTCTACGGTACACACTTAAGCACAAACATGCCATCTCAAAAAGAATAAGAGACACTGATGGTATCCTGATGGTGTGATGGCCTAGAACAGGGATGGGCAATCTTCAGCCCTCCAGATGTTATGGACTACATTTCCCTTGATGCTTTGCTAGCATTATGGCCCTAAGAGCATTATGGGAGATGTAGTCCAAAACAAGTGGAGGGCTGAAGATTGCCCACCCCTGGCCTAGATAGAAGTGGATGAAACATTACCTCTTTATTTTAAATTAAATTAAAACTAGAGATTTAATGGACAATTAAATAGAGAAATGTTAAAATATACATGACAGTAGTTCATATCGGAGAGCATGAGGGTGTATATAGTTTAACTAGTTGCCTTACCTTGGAAGGTCCAGGAGCAGTAACATGAAGATGTCTGCTTCGCTCAGTCTTTCCTTATCCCCCTGAAATGACTTCAGACGTTTCACCTGAAATGGAAACAGCAACAACAAAGTGATCTATTAACCTCAATTCACAAATGTTGACAGTGGAGGTGAGGATTAGGTTAATCAGAGTGTCAATGGACATAGGATGTGATTGCTTCCACTCAATAAAACTTCCTTACCTCCTCCCTTTCTGGCAGGTGTTTCAACAATTCACTTAATCTCTCGGAGCTGTACGCATCCCCGTTTCCTCTCTTTATGTCTTCAACTATCTCGGCAGCTGATCTGTAGAGAGGAAAACCTTCTGAAATGTTGTATGGTATGTGCACAGATGATGTGATAATTGTAATTCCCAACAACATTTCCCAACCTCCAGCCTTCATGGCAAAGAAGAGTGCAGTGATAGTCATTTTAATTAATCCACCTGCGTTGATGCGTAGCTATTTGAGTTGCTGAATTATCTATGGTTAAGCCATTGGTTCTGTTCCATAACCTGTATTCACTAATAATATTCTTGATGGTCAGGAGCTTGCCCCAACTTAATCTGTACAAGGATTGGTTATAGAGGAGCAACTGCCTCTAATTTATCACCTTGTGCCATTTTGTAGCGGATGCTGATATCCCATTATGTTCACTTCTGCATTCATTTTTTTAGATTACAGTTGGATAAGAAAAAAGTGACAAAGAATGACAGGGCAAAGTGATAAAATAACTTAATAGTGACTAGTGCCTAATCAAGTGTTACATTTTTCCTCCAAGCTGAATGAGATGTGGGCTTTTACAGTACGGTGATATCTTTGCATACATGCCTTCTTTGGCTCAAAACCTTCTCCGTCTCACTTAATTCTACAAGAATATGTGTCACAGGGATGTCCCCTTGGAATTCTGGCCCAGCTATTACTGCATCCCCTTGTAGGTCTATAGAGACATACATTGCAGATCCCTCGCCTCCTTTAGCAAGTTTGTTTTCAGTAATCGGAAGTACTTTGGATCCCATTAGTGTACATCAAAAGGGTGCTATTTTCATCTACTATACTACTTAAATAAAGCATTTAAAAAAGCCTGCTGTATGCTGATAATAATGATTTTTCACATATTAAAATTATATTTTGCTGTACTTATATTTCAATCTATACCTTATGAGAGAACCACTATCATCAATCATATTTACCTTCAGTGCGATATAGTGAAGTCCCTGATGTTCTCTTTTTTAAAACATTGGCCTCAATTTAATATTTGTGAACATTTTCAAATCATTTCATATTTTTTTAATAAACTTTTAAAGTGGTTTATTACTGATATGTGACTTTTTAAATATTTAAATATTTTGAAGATAGTTTGTTTTAAAAATGTTGCAAAAAGCATTACAGCATTTGAAAAGTTCATCCAAATATATTAAATCATGGCCATTATTGGCTATTCCAAATACCACTTGGGTTTGTCAGTTACCATATGTGTTATTTTAGTAAACATTTTAATTTAAGTTTTCCTATTTTATTTCACATGAATTACACTGTGATACGTACATAAAGCCACACCAGTGCTTGTATCTTTAGTTTTTAGTTTTTTCTTAAAAAGCCTAAAACAATTGTGCTTTTATTTACAGGGTTATTTGCTAGAATCTAATTTTAGGGCCTCAATGTAATATTTTTGGATAAACTTTTGAAATGATTTAATATTTGTGGATTACATTTTATAACAATTTCATATTTTGAAAAATATTTTCATATTTTTTTTTTTCTTTATTTTATTTGTGCATAGCGTGAACAATCATGTTTGCACTGCCACAATAGCTGGTGCAAGCAAGTACGGAAACATACATTAACATAGGTATGGCATTGAAATACATAGCACAATTTTGTTTTTTTATATTCAAGATAGGAAACATGTTAGAGGTTAAACATTGGATCATGGTTGCATAGAAGATCTGCCTGTCTCGATATTTAGTAACACAGTAAACTAGTTAATCTTGCAGCCTATGGGGATTAACATGCTAGCTGAAAATAGCTGAGACTTGCTTGGTACATAAGGTAACATCGCTGCACTATCTGAATGTATCATTACCGTGCTGCGTCAGACGCTAACAGATTGTATACATGCAGTACAGGTATATTTGCCTGAGTAGGTTAATTTCAAATCTGTTTAGCCACATTAGTTAAATTGACAGGCTGGAGACGTGGAAGTGCAGGCTAAAACTGAACTCATAGTTAAAATAGATTTTGTGAGAGAGACAGGTTTGCTAGGCAAGATGGCATGGTTAGTGTTGCTTAAAAAAGAAAAAGGAAAATTTATGCCACCGTGGTTAAAGAACCCTGGGTCCCCGGACAGAGACTCCCCTCCCCGATGAGAGGTGGATGTGATCCTGAATGTTGTTCAGGAGACAGAATAGGCAGCCCCAGTCCCTGTGCAGAGAGCAGCCAACTCCCATCACTGGCAGGTCATAGTTCTGTGTTTTCTCAGCTCCATCTGCGAATAATGATGCTGTGGTGTAGCTTGTCGGGTGGTATCAGCCGGTCGCAGTTGGGAGCTGGGTATGTGTGAGGTCTTCATAGTGATCTGCGGCCATCGTGCGTGTGGCTCGGCTTCACAGGATCGTGCCAGCTTGCAGCCTAAATACCTTTGGGGCCGCTTTGCCAGTCAGCTGGTCTCCACTCAAGGTCCTCGGTGTCGATTGGAGCACTCCAGGTCGGGTCTCAGGATAGGTAGGTTGCTCAAATGATTTCTCCCTGAGTAGCCCGCAGTGAGCGCCAAAAGCCCCGAGGAGGGGCCTCTTTCTCCATAGCGCGCCGGTCGGGCCCAGCCGCCATCTTAAGTGATGTCTCCGCAGTGAAGTCTCCAATCGGGTTAGAGCCCCAGGGTAGGCCGGGATGACCCCCACCGGCCCAGAGGGGGGGAAGCAGGGCCATCACCCCATTGAGTTAGGGGACCCCCATATTGCAGCCAGGCAGGGTAGCAGGGCGGCGGCCGTCCACCCTACTCACCACCTGGATAGGCTTGACTAGGCCTCGGTCTTAGAGCTCCGTGTTCTCCCCAAAAGGGGGACCCAGAATCGGGTCGCTGACTGCTCCCCAGTACTAGCACTTCATAGTGCAGTTGCCTGTAGTGACTCAGAGCCAGAAGTTGCGTTTTTGGGACCAAATAGCCTGAGAATAGCAGGAGCTGTTGTGCCATGTGTCTGCTCTGCTTGGCAGTCCGACCCCGCCCCCAATATTTTCATATTTTGATATGTAGATCTACATTTTTACCTATGATATATTTTTTATAGATATTTTCATGTTTTGAAAAAATAATAATTTTAAAAGTTTTTCTAAAAACACTAAATAATTCTAAAAATGTATCCAAAAATATTAACCTGAGGCTTAAATAAGAATGGCAAAATGAAGTCTTTGACTATAGCAGAATTGAATAATTACTCCAAATCACTATCTTAGCCTAAATTTTGCCATTTGTATGTAATTTGCTATAATTCTGAATTTAGTAAAAAAAAAAATCCAGTTAGTAGTAAAATGTTCACAAACGGTCAAAAATAATTACCTTTTAAACTGTTTCAGAAAGATGCCAATGTTCATACTCCTTCGTGAATCCAAAAGAAAAACCTGAAAGTAAACCAAACAATGGAGATATGGTAAAACACAGAGATAAGATACAAGTCGCACCTGCAGAACCTGCCTTTAGCACATAGCCCAGCTTTTCCTGTACCAGCCTGCCCGCAACATCTTCATGTACCAACCCGCCACTGACATCTCTCCTTTCATAACATCTTTTCTTGCCAAGTACAACATTTTTACTTATTGTTTTCCGCACACCTGTCCTCCCTCGGCAGGATCCAAACTCTTTAGAAAGAGACTGCCATGCTGAACTCCCCCGAACAATTGAACAAAAGAAAACCCCTTCCCTTCTCGGCCTGTAAATACAAGCCACCATCATTTTTCACAGGGGCACTGCGGCACTCCAAACAAACCCTGACACGACACAACATCAGACATATGATGTTTTTTATTGTTCAGATAACCTTAAGTAGTTATATCTGATAATATAAAGCAAGAATGCATGAAATATACACATCTTCTGTCTGAGAAGCTCTATGCCAAGGGTAGAAACTCTTCGGAACTCCAGATGTTGTGGTCTACATCTCCCATGATGTTCTTACGGCCGTAATGCCAACAAAGCATCAGGGATAATGGTGTCCAAACATATGGAGTGCCAAAGGTTGCCTACTCCTATGCTTCATCATCTGCCCACTCTGTCCAAAAGCCTCTGTTTTTAAATCTTTTCTATTCTCTGCCACCACTTTAGTTTGTCAACCTGTACCATCACGAAAGATGTCGCCAACCTGGAATCTGAAAAGTACAGTGCAAGTAATATGAAAGTGGTTTTGGTTAAAATTCTGGCATGATGCTCCTCAGACATTGCATATGCAGTGTCTGTCAACTTCTGTATAAACAAAGATGGATAGTGCTTGTAGCAAATTGCAGATTCTGAACATCACAACAAGGGACCCGGAAAGAAGGAATGTGGAGGTGAAGAGAGTGGGAACTATGATTAAGGAAGAAGTTGGGGATAAATAATTGAGGGATTGGGTGCTTGGAGCAGGAGGATACAAAGATTTAAGGGATCCTGGGAGAGAAGAGGTCTTACATTTAAAAAGAGGTATAGTGGTAGGAGGTGCTGTGAGGAAGGAGAGCATGTGGCTGGATGCTGAGGCCTATAATGTAGGAGCAAGATCTATAATGGAAGAATATGGTGTTGTGAGGCAGGGGACATATAATTACAAATATTTATATAGCGCCAGCATATTCTGCGGCGATATATCATGATTAAGACTGCTGGGAGGAGGGGGTCTAACATGAAGAATGTAGAAGGAAAAGATGATGGGATGAAATGGAGTCAGTGCTGAGAGGGAAAGAAGTGAGTGCTGGGAGGGAAGGAGGAATCCTACGGGTTAGGAGATGGTATTGGGAGGCCCAGAACATATCATGAAGAGGAGGAGGTTCTCAGATGAAGAAGGCAGGGGTAGCATGTACTGGGAGGGATATGAGGGGTCCTAAATTAACAGTGGAGTGTATGCTAAAATGTGCTACAGTAGGTTAATGGATGGACATGGAGATAAAAATAAGGCAGGATCACAATGTGGTAAGAGAAAGTGAAACGAGGATAGGGAGAATCAGTTACCAAGATAAAGTAGAGATAGAAGGAATGGTACTATTTGTGTTTAAGTGAAAGACTACTTAAAGAAAGTACAGTTTTTTGAGTACTGAGATACAAAATGGGGATGTACAGCTAGCACATATGAGATATTGACCTGACCTGGAACAAGGTGTAGGGTGTGGAGAACTGAGAAATGGGAATCGGGCTTCGTAACACAGAATTGCCCAGAGGCCCCATTAACATGAGATTTGACCTTGACAATAATTGAGTTATGAAGTCCATTGACCTTGCACTATTATCTCATAATAATCCCATGTAAGGGAACATAAAAATGTTACGATGTACTTAAGGCACATAGATAAATACATTATGACAACGGAAATGTCAATGATGACAATCAAGGGACTATCAAGGGAAGCTCAAAACATTTATTTATTTATTTATTTATTTATAAAATATTTTACCAGGAAAGATACATTGAGATTTCTCTCGTTTTCAAGTATGTCCTGGGTCCACAAATCATTGCATTGTTACATTAGGTACAACAAAATACAAAAACAATATTAATACACGATATATACAAAATTTAACATAGAATATGCAGGAAATATATAATCAACCATGACACGTGCATTCTGTTTTGAGTTATGTAGAGAGGGATCTCTTAAATGACTTTAGGCTTATGGAAGATTTTAAATTGTGCGGGAGGTCGTTCCACAATTGCTCTGCTCTCCACATCCCCCAAGTCCCGTTAGAATTAAGAAAACAATGCAAAGCTATGTTTGAGAAGGATGGCAGTTTTTGGTTCCCCCATATTAACTTAGATGAGAGGGAAAATATTGGGATCAGGAAGGCTATAACTATATATTACATAACATATATAAATATATACATAAAATATGGAATCTCTTGGAATCTCTGAAGATTCTGAATATATTTTTAACAAAAATATTATGTTTAGAACAGCAATATGAGAAACTGGGGGGGATTTATCAAAGTGTTCTGCTCTAAAAAGTGGTATAAAGTACCAAAATATGGTCCATAATTTGTTCAGTATCAGGAGGAGGAGCAACACAGGATCAACTGTGAAAATTCCTTTTTTTTTTTTTTTTAAACGTGTATTACCATAAAAGACATACCAACTGCTAGCAGCAATGTTATAAGCTCTGTGCTCAAGGTGCCCTTCTGAGTCTCCCACTAAATAAAATAAACTATTGTTTCCTAAGTATATACCGAATTCTGGAAAAGGTTGGAGAATGTACTGCTACAAGAAAATTGATGGGGAAAAGATATATAAAACTACAGTAAAAGTCATAGAATTTAGTATGCAGTAGATAGAGCAGGACTTTGATGCCTTATATCAGCTTTGGTTATCTAAATTACCCTGACTGATGTTGCGTAAGGTATCAATATTCACCCTTTCGGTGCTACTGTAACAAAAGAGTGACCCTCCCCACCTTATCATGGTGCTGAAAAAGGCTGTAAACCCATAAAACATGCTAAAATAAACATTTTGTTATCTACAGGACCCTCTCTAAAGGAGAGATAAATAACTTTTTTTCCCCACTAGATGTGTGTCAGCTGCTAGAGCTGGGGTGACTATCTCACTCCTCCTTCATCCCTACCTCTTCCACCACCATGATGCAATTGTAAGGAGAGCAACATAAGGTAGGTAAAGGTAGGCCAAGCAGCCTGACCCATACTTCAAAAGACCAGGAAACCCCCCACCCTATTAGCTGGTCACACGCTTATGATGGCCAAAAGGTCTCCACAGTATAAATGTCAATACATAAATATGTCATTAATAAAATAATAAGGATGAGTAGATGACCAATCACCTAGTCATAAGAGGTCAATGTAAGGGGCGTTGAGGGACACAGCCACTAATAGTATGATGAACCTCAATCTGCAGTATCTCATAGTTTCAGTTAATATATTAGGCCCTTGTATCTTCCTCCTTTGTCCAAGTATATAGGTTGCATGGGTGTCTTGGTGGCAACCATATTGTATTTTGATATTAAATTACGATCCTACATGGCCATAAGCAGGTTATTAGCTTAACCCGTACCCTTCACTTTTTATATATATATGGGGAATGGACCACCCATAGACTTGCGCAATCGGTTTAAAACGAATCACAATTTGTTTGCAGTTTGAGTTCCGCAACTCCGAAACACAATATTGATGATCATGAAAAAAACAAATGGGAGATGGACGAGCCATTTAATTTGTTTTGTGGTTTGGGACAGAAAACACATTAAACAAAAAAGATGATTGATGGTTAAAGTAAAAAGATTCTATATATTAATATATTATGTATTTAATAAGTATATATATATAATTTTTTAATTTTTTTTTATTAGTCGTCCTTTTTCCCCCTCTATTAGTTATTTCTTTTCACTTGACTTGTGAACTAAATGGCAGGAAAATATGTCAATTTGTGTACTGCATACGGCAATATATAACATTTATTTTTTAGGTACATTTTTGCTTCAGTTTAGTTCATCAAAATTGTTTTTCCCGAACCAAAAGCCCCATGGGTAAAACACTATTTGCCAGAAACATTTTTTTTTCTGACAAAACACATTTAATTCTCCGCACACAAATCTATCATATTTCTTCATGGTTCGAGAGGTCTGTCTAACCGGTGAGCCTTGGTGGTCTCTTAGGTCGCTTTATGTTTAATCCTTCAATGCCTTCAATATGCTGCAATCATTTGTTGCAGGAAGGAAATCCCTAGATTAGCTGATACCGCCCTTCGGAATTGCTGTTTGATTAATAATTTCCTGCAGAATATCATTTTTACACCCTACAGGGAAGCAATTTTCATGTCCTACCAAACCGCATGAAAAAGTGATTAGCGTCAAGAAAGTATGATGGGTATGAGAAACATACAGGGGGAATTATAAAAATCAACACATTTGCATTTATATTTGTTTAAATTTCATGTACATGCTTGATTTTGTATGTATAAAAAGGCTACTAAATCCTTTATCCATTGGTGATGTCTGTTTGCGTTTTTTCTAAAAAGTACCAAAATAATTCATGTTTCTGCTGTTTTTTACACCTCTTTTTTGCTCGCTATTTTTCCCGATGATTTTTACTTTCATTACATACACAGTATTATTCATGTATCATCCAAATTGCAGCTATTTGTCAAATTTAATTTCTAATTTGACCGCTACCCGTTGAGAACTAGAATATTCAATATACCTGTAAAGGTGTACAAAGAATGTACTAAGAAAACATGGTCCGATACTTTGACATTTTACAATGGATACTTTGCATTGCTTCTCGCCAGAACTGCCAAGCAATGTTGACAAACTAAAGACGTACCCACCCTTTAATTGCAGAACTAATTACACCCTGGAGTTTATTCTCTTCTGGATCACTGCAAAACACTGCACTCAGCCCTTCACATTTAAAAGGACAACAATAAGCCAATCAATATAAAAATGATGTTATGTTGTAGTCATGGTCACGGCGTCACATTTTAGATTCAGAGGAGTATGGGTTACACGGTGTCTTGGGTGAGCGTTTGGGGACACCTGCTTTTAAGGTGCTGTGGATCATAACGCCTATCTACCTCAACCGGTCTTTGATTGTGGTCTGCACTGAGGTTTGCCCCTGTCGCTTTTCTTTCATGTCAAAATTTAAATGGATCTCTGCTTGCAAGTGGTACAAAATGTAGCAATCTGACTACCAACTAGCCATATCCACTATTATAAAAGGCTAAACATTAAATGGAAAATGAAGAATTCAGAAGTACCCCCTCTCAAAATAAATTAATACATCAATTACGGAGGGGAATCCTATCCTAAACTTTGGAATGCTATACCCATACAGTGGAGACTTTGAAGAAAACTTTCACATTATCTCTCCAGCAATCAGCTAGCTACCATTTGCCTGTCAGGGATTTAGAGATCATTTCGCACCTTAAATGGTCTTCTTTCCTTTTGCTATCCTCCCTATAGTGCTAAAAAAATAATTAACATCACAGAAAGGTGTGCTGTTATATGTTGAAAAGTTGGGGAAAGAGGGGGAAATGCTGTTTTGTTGTTTTTAGCAGTACATCTTGAAATTCCCCCCCCCCGCCCCCCACATCTGTTAAATCAAACTTAACATTATAATACATTTTTCAGATACTGTTGTAACATCTACTCGCTACATTGTAATATTAAAATGATAACAAAGTATTTAACATTCAAATTACTCTGGTTTTCAAGTACGTCCTAGGGATGTTACCTTAGCCCAACATCCAGGGGTTGTTACTAAAATAAATATAATCATTAGAAAAAAATAATAATAATTTTTTTTTTTTTAACCATTATCTGTTTAATAAAAATTGTTTATTTATCTTCTGGGGAAAAAATACAGATTCAAAACTACGTGGTTTTGCTGCTCCAAAAACTGATTACCTAACCCCCAAAGTGTTACTCTGATAATGCAGTGATGCAACTGGTGAGTGCCAGTGACTCACTCAGACCAACCATCATATTTAAAAGCCCCTTACAAGCCCACTGGCTGGGTCCCATGATATACAGGCTACCAGGCAGAGATACTCCAACATACGCTCCCAGAGAGAGATGCACATTCTTAGACATAAACACACACAAACAGATATACATTTCAGACAATGTCATGGGATACACACAGATATACACTCACAGATACAAACACGGGCACATATTTTGAACACATTATAAAGTATGTTTTATTTAGTCAACCTCCTTTTACGTCATGTTTTTACAGTTGAAGAGTGGCTTCGGGGGTCTATTGAGGATCAGCAGGTATAGGGCTAGGGACTCCTAGCACCTCTGCTAACCTCCCACGCGGCTTCCTTGGGAGCTAAGAGGAAGCGATATGACATCACTACCTCCCAGCACTGCCGGACAGGAGACCAGAGGGGTAAGGCAGGCAGTCAGTGAGGTCCATTAAGGGGCCTGGTCCTCTGGAGCACCACAATGCAGCCCATCCCATGCAAAGCCCATTGCTCGACTGGGCCCCTTACAGGAGTAATGGCTATCACCCCCTGATGGCGGCCCTGGACCCACTGACTAAGAGGGGCATCTCCCCATTGTACACATGCACATCAGGATAACAGGCAGCCTTGCAACAGACTCAACCATGGCTACTCATTTGCTCACCACTGCAGGAACTGAGGTATGGGGGGAAGAATGCCCCCCAGAAAAAAATTGGCTTTGAATTTAACATAATTTTGTAACTGTTTAAGAAATTTAAGAAAAAGTTAAGACTTGGTTATCCCATCCTACTAAGAGACCCTCTTAGTGATAACATGTAATATTGCCTATAGAAAGCTGCATGGTTTAATGTATGCTCACTAAGCGAGGCTGGGGTTATTATGAAAGGCTGTGCCCCAGATTGTCTTTGGTTCCTACTCCAATGTTGCTAAAGCACTTTTTGTGTCCAGTTGGAAGAGAAAATCACATTGTGGCATGTAAATCTCATACGTTAATGGGACACAGTCATCAACATTTTTCAATATCTTTATAGAATTTTTTTTCAGAGAAACTGCTATGTTTACATTTGGGTTAATCCAGCCTCTAGTGGCTGTCTCATTGACAGCCGCTAGAGGCGCTTGCGTGCTTCTCACTGTGATTTTCACAGTCAGAAGATGCCAGCGTCCATAGGAAAGCATTGTGAATGCTTTCCTATGAGACTGGCTGAATGCGCGCGCGGCTCTTGCCGTGCATGCGCATTCAGCTGAGGAGGCGGAGAGGAGGAGGAGAGTTCCCCGCCAGGCGCTGGAGAAAGAGGTAAGTTTAACCCCTTCCACCCCGTAGAGCCCGGCGGGAGGAGGCCCTGAGGGTGGGGGAACCCTCAGGGCACTATAGTGCCAGGAAAACGAGTATGTTTTCCTGGCACTATAGTGGTCCTTTAATATACAGATGCATTGGAATTTTTTAAAAATAAATCACTTGCCTAATCTTCCCACACACCTATCACCTATCCTATAAAGTGCTGTAGGGGAATGAGCACATGATTTTGAAAAACAATGGTTGCAAAATATGAGTGTTGGATCATTGACAGTCTGGCCAAAGGTGTATACAGATGGCTGGCAGTAAGGCGGGCAAGAGATTTATTTTTAAATCAACATAAATGAATAAAGAAAATTTAATAAAAATTAAACCGTATATTATAACAGAGATTATTATTGAAAAAAGTGACATTGTTTCTTTAAAACAGCAATTGACAAAGTCATCTTTCATACAGTCATGGCTGTGAGAACATACTTTCACTGCTTCCTTTATTTACGTTCAAGAGTTTTTATTTCCGTTGCAGTTAATATGGGCATTATTTAACAATGCTCGATTTGGCCCATTTAAAAAAAATATACTTTTTTTGTCACATACAAAGCTTATTATTTACAACCCAATGTATATTTAAGGGAATGCAAAGTAGGAAACTGAGTTTTATTGGATATGTATGGCAGAAGAACAGGGTTTTCCCTGGCACCATACCAGTGTTGGCACTTTTTACGCCAGGGGGATGAGACTGGCCACCTTCTGACATGTCTACTTAAGGGAGGCAAGCTGGTTCTCTTGGGGAGAAACATGAACTAGGAAGAAGGAATGGGTGGTACGTGTAAATCAAACTATTCCATGAATAATTTATTTATTTATTTTGAAAAACTTTTTTTGCTGTTTCAGTTGCTTAGTAGATAAGTCCCTAATTTGATATCCTCATGAAAACAAAAGGATCCAAAAATTTTGTTTCAATCCGTTCAGAATTCGCTTGTTTTCAATTCGTTTTAGTTTGTAAGGAATTCGGAAATTGTCTGATTAATCCGAAATCCAATTCAGAGCAAAATTCAGTACACAAATCTATTCCACACCTCTCTAGGAGACAAAGGGTGAAGGCAGTTAAACAATGATTCTTATGTTCAAGGAGCAGGGCAGGTGGAACTGGAAGTGGATTTACTGTGACAGTTGTTAACAGTAGCAGCCAATGTCTGTTCCTATTTAACTACAGGGTCTGTTCCTATTTAACTACAGGGTTTATAACCTAAAAAGCAAGTCGGTAAATATTAACTACTGACTTAACAAATTTAGACCAAAATAGAAGATTTTTTGGCGGGGAAATTCTGCAAATCTGTCGTGCTGAACTTATTTTCATAATACCATTTTCTCCTAAATGTTGTTGGTCACCAAGTCACCGCAATGCACTGTTTAGTACATAGAACACAATGGGATTTATAAAAGGGACATTATAAGCAACCAGACCACTTCAGCTCGTTGAAGGAATCTGGTTGCATGGTCCCTGTCCCCCACAGCCCTGCAATGTAAAACATTGCAATTTTAGAGAAACTGAATGAAGTTGTTATGGTGTCACGAGGCCACCAGGTACACTTTTACCTCAAGGGTTTAAACCGTTCTCGAACGGTGATCTCAACCCACCCCAGGTTGCATATCATTTACAAGTCAGTTTTGTAAATGTGTAGTCACTTATTGGTTGAAGGCAGTCAGCTGACGATCCAGTCCGGCGGCACTCTATGCCGGATGTGCCTGTGGGGATTTGAGATCGGCACTGGAGGAAACCTTGGGGTTATACCATTCGAGTACTGTTTAACGCCTTGAGGTTTACATGGAGATGTTATGGTGCCTGGAGTGTTCATTTAAGCACCAAGCCAGCTCAAAATCAGAGTCATTTTATGCACATAATTATATAACAGTTCTGTCACACAGACAAGTGGATGAAATATGCACAGGAGTCGTATGACAGATCACTGTTTTCAATTTTTGTAAGAATGGGTAAATCCTTAAAAAGGCAGTTTAACCATTTCATCTCATTGCATTGGTTATGCTGCCTGGAGTCCCATGGCACTCTCCCCCCATTTAGTGTTAAACCATTTTTGAGCAGTTTAACACTGAATGAGGGTCCCTGCCCACACTGGAGGTTTGGGTAAGGCAAAAATTTGACTCTTGCTTCAATCAATAGAAATTCAACAGTCAAAATGCCTACAACATCCCTTTAACATGACTGAAGACATGTCTAACTTCCCTGTCTTCAAGCATTTAAACACTAATTAACAGACCACTGTAAGCACCATAACCACTTAAATTGATTGACGTGGTTATGGTACCTCACGTCTGTGGTTCCTGAATGGCTACTAAATTTTTTATTATCTGTGTAGCAAAGATTCTCAGTCTCTGGCAACCCTGCCTCCAATGACAATGTGGCAGAGCTATACTTCACATCACACAATTCCAGGACTAGCGGCCAGTGTATCACTGCCACAATCCCTGGTATAAACTGTTATGGCGTGAGGGGAAAGCATAGTGACATATCATCAATGGATCTGGGTTTTAGGATGATGAGGACTGAGAATCTCTACTAAAATACAGTGAGTTAACTGTTTTTTAATGATGCGGGAACCAGTGTCCATGGACTCCAGGCACCATAACCACTTCAATCTGAACTTGAATGGTTATGTTGCTTTCATTGTCCTTTTAAGACATATTTTGTTCTGCTGAATCCAACCACTTCAATCAAAGGAAAATACTGACACAGGACAGCATACAGACATCCAAATCAAACCTGCCCCCTTTAAAAACAGTCACGTGTCCACGTTATCCACTAAATTGTAGTGAATTCAAAAAGGAACTGTTCAATTATCGGCAAAAATAGCAGAATCAGGAAAATTCTCTACCATCCATATTATCGGCTCGATTATTTTGGCCTACTATTGAAAATTATCATGTCAATTCTCCACAATTCCCAGTTAAGTGAAAAAATGCTTTATGTATACGTATATGTGTACAAAAATACACGCAAGTTTATATTGGAGGTCCTTAAAGCATGGGCATACGAACAGGTGTTTGTTATGGGATAAAAATTCACACAAGGCAGCTAGTCCATATAAGGTATTAGACAAATATAATTATAAAGTGCACTTCTTTTTTTATCTCATTACGTAAAGCCCCCATAACAAATATCTTTACCATTCTTTCTTATCTAAAATCTAGGGATAAGTGAAAAATAATCTCAGGAATTTTCACACATTTAGTAACCCCCTGCATTCCATGATCCTATTATGGTAGCTTTTAGTATTTTTTCCCCCCTGATTGGAGACAACTTTCACTCTGTTGCTCTGTTTCTTTTCTAATGGACAAATGTTTTATCCGCACAGAAAAACGTTTTTTCCGCACAAGCCAAAAGTTATTCCATAGATAAGACTGGGTTAAAACTCATAAAGTCATGGGACAAACAGTTCTGTAAGGCAGATATTTGTATTGTGTTTACTAATTATCTAAAATTCTGAACAAAGATTAATGTGTTTGTAAGAAGCAGGACTAGGAAAACCCAGAAAAATATGATAGATAAGTTGTATGTTAATGTGTAAATGGAGTTCAGCCAAAGAGTGTATCTCACATGCAAAATGGTTTTTGGATAAGTGGTGGGATGCAAATTTCATTAGCAGTTATTGTATCAAGTTCAGGTTAGTAAGCGTAATAGACAGAGATACATTTTGTGTCTAGATTTGACTTGGCAATAAGAGTTTTGACCAGTGCTTACCTTGGTCATCTGGGTATCTCCAAGAGAAAGGGATCTACGCGTCCGAGGTGATCCTCGCTGTATTTCTTCTTCCTGCTTCCCGAAAAGTTCTTCCATCCTTCTAGTGTCAATTTGTAGGTCACCCTGAAAGGTCTCTGAACTCCATAGACTGGGTCGACCTTTTACCTTTTCCAATGGAATAGCCTCCCAATTAAAGTTCCGTAGGCGTGACCTCCGTTTTGTGTCAAAGGTTGGAAATGGGCTTCCAGGAGGCCCTGACAAGTTCAAGTTTGGGGGAGGCGGTGGTGGAGGGGCTGGGATTTCCACAGTTGCGTAATGTTCCGGCATTGGAGATCCACTGAACTGTATAGGAGACGCAGAGTGTAAGCTGTCATCTTTGACTCCCATGCTCATATTGATCAGCATTTCACAGGGGGGTTTGAAAAAATCCCCCTGTCTTCATCAAAGTCTAAATCAGGACTGGAACCTAAAGCAAGATAGAAATAACCATCAGAGACAGTGGAGAACTCACACGGCTCATTGAGCATAGGCACGCGTGGGATCCTTGTGAACAGCTGTCAGAACAAGAGATAAACCACAAGAATGCCTGAGCTTACAGGAGAATATGTGTATAGTCATAAGATGAATGATTATTAAGCTTTCATACCCAAGATGTTGCTAAAGTGTTGATTGGCATTATGTATCTATATCAGAGGTGTATATAGACATTGATGCTATTCAGTACAAAATGTTCAGTTGGGCCCTCATTCCTTCACATACACAGGTCAATGAGATAAGTTACTATTTGAAAAAAAAAAAGATCGAGAAGAAGCTACATATTGCACTCTATCGATGCAACACATTTGACATACTCAGTGCTATTCACAAAATTGTGATTTGTCAGGAATTCTAAGTGAGTTTCAAATTTTAGTTCATCGCTGAATTTTAAAAAGTACATTTTGGGTTTAACTATTTTTGCTGAAAAGAATTGAAATCCACTTTGTATTCCAGCAAAAGATCACAGTTCAGTGAATAACCCAGGGTAGTGTGATTAGTGTGATTGGTACTGCTTTGACCATCCTGAGCTGGTTTATCTGTGTAACCTAGTAAGTCTTTTATGTCCATTATTTGCAGAGTAAAACCACTTAGCAGAAAATGCCTACAAACCTTCTGACTTAAAAAAACATTAGGGGAGATTTTTCCTAGTGCAAAATGTAAAAGAGGATTAGTCGCCAATGGGATTTATTTGCTACTTCCACTGGTTTCAATGGTGATGGCTCCACTTTTAGACTACTTTTTAGAACAGTACACTTTCAGGTTTTTCATTAAATAGAGTATTGGCAGAAATTCAAAGCGGAAAAATTCTCCAAAACAGTTATGCTTCCAGTTCCTCCTTGGCCTTCCAAATCCCTGTATTGCTCAGCTTAAAGCGGTACTGACTGTCGATACAGGCTTATCTTCCTGACTCGAAGCTACTCTCACACTTTGCCCCTTTGCTAGTTCTTACCATGATTTTAGAGTCCAATTCAAACTACTGATATTAGCATACAAAGCCCTCATCTCTTCAATACATTTCCTCTATAATTCACAAATGCACCTTTTCTTTACTCCGCAAGTGACCTCCTCATCCTCTGCTCGTTCTCACACTGTTAATTGTCATCATCAGAATTTCTTTAGGGCCGCACCAAAGCTATGGAATTCTCTACCTTGTATGCCCTCTAAGAACTCATTTAAAACTCATCTAGTTGGGAACACTTACCATCCTCCTGGGTGATACATCTCTCATTTAAACAGCTCTCCAGTCTCTCCAAACATTGCCTGAGTTCGCAAAGTCCACTTCACTCTCCCTCCTTCCTCTCCAGCTTTCTCCACACATCATTAACACAAGTTTAATGAGACACAAGCATCCTATCTATCTACCTCTCCTCCCCTTTACCCCTTCCTCCCAGCTTGAAAGCTAGTTTGAGCTGGGCTTTCTTTACCTCTTGTATCTGTCAACATGATTTGTGTCTGTTAATTACCAGCTGTTATATAACCCCACAGTATGACTGCAAAGCGCTACAGAAAATGTTGGATCTATATAAATACTATATATAATAATGTTAAAGACGTCCCCTGGAGGACGGCGCTAGGGAACCGCCAGTGGGACGCACCAGGGAACTCCAGGCACCATAACCACTACATCCTGCTGTGCTATGCTGCTTAGATTGCCTGTTTAGCCTTCAGAACATTCACATATGGTGTCCATGCACGCAAAATGGAAATGGACTCAAAATGGTTACAAAAAGGTATGACTTTCTTGAACATCCAATATTTAAACTCACTCAAAAAAACAGAAAATAGTGTCAGACAGTAGAAATAAAATAAGCTTAATAACTCGATCCGTCAGTGAATATAAGACCAACTGGTATAATTGTATGTGTTTGTACAACATAGATTCCTATGTATCTGTTACTATAAAAAAACTGTATTAGAAAATGTCATTGCCTGGATTGTAGCACAGGGATACAAATTTAAAGCCGTGTTAGGCAGTATTCACCAAAGACAGAGTTGTATTATATTGAAAACCAAATGTTAAAGTTTAGGCACAAACAGTTGATTTTGAACATGTTCCGCGTAATCTATCACATCTATCACTGTCTCGCTATTTGTGCCAAAATTTTACTAATTCGTTTGCAATTCACTGTTTGGTGGATGTTCACCATATCCTACCAGTGACAAACCACACAGCAGCGAGACACTTGTACAAGCCATGAGTGCACACTAGCACATAACTTAGAAATGACTACTAGTGACTGTGTTAAACTAGCAGGTAACTAACACCAACCAGAATATTAGACACATTAGGGCTTATCAGTTGTGGGTACATTTCTAAAAGTGGCGCATTGGGCACAGAAAGCCATAGAATGTTCCATATGGCTATTTCGGAATTGTTCTCTACTTTTAACATGCTTCAAACCATCACTATCCACCTGGAGTCACCCCGAAATCTTGGCAATATGCCAGTATTTTGTTTATGATGTTACGCCCATGTCCTCACAGTGGGCAATAAAATTCCCCAAAATATACATAGGCCATCTGAATTAATAGAACAGATATCTAATAAATAGCATTGATAAATCATTTCCATAAAATTGCCTCCTTAATGGGCATGTCTGGATAATCTGAATGCAACCCATAAAATCCCTTAAAAGTTCCATAAAATAAGAAAAAAAATATGGTCGGTTTTCTAGAAACAGCAAACCGGGGGCAACATTCTAAAGTGGCACAGTTGCCATGGAAACCAAAGAAATGTTTCTGGTGATTGCTCCACCTTAATTTTGTTCTACAATTTCTCTGTGTTTATAACTCCTACAATGTTTTAAAAAAATATTTTCCAGGTACATTTCCTGCTCAAAGGCATTATATATATACAAATGGCATCTGAGCAACTATATCAATTCATGCACCTAAGATCAGTCCAATTTAACATGATCAGGTTCCCCTTAAAGGAGAATAGTTATCAATATTCGATATTGCAAAGCTGTGTTGGAATTTATCCAAGTTTGAAGAATAAAGGGGAAATATGACAATTTTATACCAATCTCTGTGCATTTTTCATCATAAAATGACCTCAAATCACACACACACACACGTAAGTAATCTTTCTATTCCATTAAATATACAGAAACGTTAATACATATAACAAGTGTTTGCCATGTAAATATACAGCTTGCAAAATACACACCCCCCCTTACAAGCTATATGAGTCCTTTAATTTCTATGTACATCACTATCTGCTTTATGTGCCCATATCACTCATTGCACATCTGAATGTTCCAGTCCAAAACTGATCCTTTCACTCCATAAGTGTATAAACTGCCTCCAAAATAAATAAATTCATCATTGTTTCCCCCCCCAGGCTTGTCACATACCAAACTTCACAAACTTCCTAATATGCACAAATCACTATATAAAGCATTGACATGCTCGATTAAAGAAGGGCAGTTATCCAGTAATTTCCCAAATCAGTCAGCACTTCTTACTGAGCCCAAAACAGCCCATCATCATGCCAAAATCCCAACTCTTCAACCCCAGACACAGAGATCCCCCTCCCATTCCCTCACTGACCACATATTCTAGGTGGCAGTATGCATTGACCCCCAAATCAGAGATCCCCCTCCCATTCCCTCACTGACCACACATTCTAGGGGGCAGTATTCATTGACCCCCAGACACAGAGATCCCCCTCCCATTCCCTCACTGACCACATATTCTAGGTGGCAGTATTCATTGACCCCCAAATCAGAGATCCCCCTCCCATTCCCTCACTGACCACACATTCTAGGGGGCAGTATGCATTGACCCCCAAATCAGAGATCCCCCTCCCATTCCCTCACTGATCACACATTCTAGGGGGCAGTATTCATTGACCCCCAAATCAGAGATCCCCCTCCCATTCCCTCACTGATCACACATTCTAGGGGGGCAGTATGCATTGACCCCCAAATCAGAGATCCCCCTCCCATTCCCTCACTGACCACACATTCTATGGGGGCAGTATGCATTGACCCCCAAATCAGAGATCCCCCTTCCCATTCCTTCACTGACCACACATTCTAGGTGGCAGTATGCATTGACCCCCCAATCAGAGATCCCCCCTCCCATTCCTTCACTGACCACACATTCTAGGGGGGCAGTATGCATTGACCCCCCAATCAGAGATCCCCCTCCCATTCCTTCACTGACCACACATTCTAGGTGGGCAGTATGCATTGACCCCCAAATCAGAGATCCCCCTCCTATTCCCTCACTGACCACACATTCTATGGGGGCAGTATGCATTGACCCCCAAATCAGAGATGACCACACATTCTATGGGGGCAGTATGCATTGACCCCCAAATCAGAGATCCCCCTTCCCATTCCTTCACTGACCACACATTCTAGGTGGCAGTATGCATTGACCCCCCAATCAGAGATCCCCCCTCCCATTCCTTCACTGACCACACATTCTAGGGGGGCAGTATGCATTGACCCCCCAATCAGAGATCCCCCTCCCATTCCTTCACTGACCACACATTCTAGGTGGGCAGTATGCATTGACCCCCAAATCAGAGATCCCCCTCCTATTCCCTCACTGACCACACATTCTATGGGGGCAGTATGCATTGACCCCCAAATCAGAGATCCCCCTTCCCATTCCTTCACTGACCACACATTCTAGGTGGCAGTATGCATTGACCCTCCAATCAGAGATCCCCCTTCCCATTCCTTCACTGACCACACATTCTAGGGGGGCAGTATGCATTGACCCCCCAATCAGAGATCCCCCTCCCATTCCTTCACTGACCACACGTTCTAGGTGGCAGTATGCATTGACCCCCCAATCAGAGATCCCCCTTCCCATTCCTTCACTGACCACACATTCTAGGGGGGCAGTATGCATTAACCCCCAATCAGAGATCCCCCCCTCCCATTCCTTCACTGACCACACATTCTAGGGGGAAAGTATTCATTGACCAACAAGTCAGAGACCCCCTTCCATTCCCTCACTGACCACACATTCTAGGGGGCAGTATTCATTGACCCCCAAATCAGAGACCCACCTCCCATTCCCTCACTGACCACACATTCTAGGGGGCAGTATGCATTGACCCCCAAATCAGAGATCCCCCCTCCCATTCCTTCACTGACCACACATTCTAGGTGGGCAGTATGCATTGACCCCCAAATCAGAGATCCCCCCTCCCATTCCTTCACTGACCGCACATTCTAGGGGGCAGTATGCATTGTCCCCCAAATCAGAGATCCCCCTCCCATTCCTCCACTGACCACACATTCTAGGGGGCAGTATGCACATCATGCATCATGTATGCGGAAAAATACTGTCCCCACATTAAACCCTGCAGACTGTCTGACCTCCCTCAGAGTGACATGTAGCCAGTTCTGATCACCATATAACTACTGGTGTTCTAACAGCTGTCCTGATCAGAACTCTGCATTATCTGCATTATGGATCACCCACTGCTACTTAACCAGAGGTGTAAAAATGACCCCACTGTAATATATGCACCCTCTAAAGACCCCCATCCCCAGCCCAGGATCAGCACTGGATCAGACCCCAAACTCTCCCAGCAGTTTATACCTGTTAATATGGGTTAGAGGGGAAGGCAGTTCTCTCCACGGTCCGCTATCAAGGTCAGCCTGCTTTCACTCCTGTTCTTCTCAATATGTGCTTTCCATTCACCATGTCCACAGCCAGGTTTCTTCTGTCTGAACTTCTCCAACTCCCACCTCTATCCTCCTATACTGCTGGACTCTCAGTAATCTATCATTCTATTCTAATATACTATTGTATTCCATCCTGATAGACCTCACTCAGTATCAGTTGATAGACCTCACTCACTCAGTATCAGGTGATAGACCTCACTCACTCAGTATCAGGAGATAGACCTCACTCACTCAGTATCAGGTGATAGACCTCACTCACTCAGTATCAGGTGATAGACCTCACTCACTCAGTATCAGGTGATAGACCTGTCTAATTTTCCTATTTCCAATTTTTTCCTGTCTCACTTTCCTATTCTCAGTTGTCTCCTGTCTCACTTTCCTATTCACATGTTGGATCACTGGTATAGTCTTGTCTCCAATTTTCCTATTGTCCTGTTGGTTGCCAGATATTCTCCCATCTCACTCTGCTACTCTCATGTCATTCCCCGGCATTCTATCATTCTCCAGTGTCTTCTCTCTGTCTGCCCCCCTGTCTGTCTGCTGCAGCTCTAAGCTCCCTCTAGCTGTGTCTCTCTCCTGTGTCTCTCCTGGCAAGCAGCTGGGAGCTCGACCGCGCATGCGCACCACAGGACTTGGACTTAGATACACCTCTAGGTACATCAACCTGCACAGCTATAGGTAGTGTGGAGAGAGAGAGAGAGAGAGAGAGTGTGTGTGTGATTGACAGCAGGGAGTCTAACTCTAAACTGGGTGTCTGTATATAAATAAACTGATGGAATGAGAAAAAAAAAGTATAAATTACAATAAAATAATAAAATTATATATATATGAAAATAATTATAATATATATATTTTTATATATATATATATATATATATATATTCTATCTGATATTTTAGTAAATTAATATGGTTATAAAAAAGGTTGGCTATCTCTTTTTATTATTATTAAACATAGTACATTATAAATATAATGAAAACCAGCTGCAATATCTCCTGAAATCAAACTCCTGAATACATATTAATGAATACAATGTACAGTCACATAATATTAATAATTACCATATCAGCCAGTATGCATGACAGCTGGAGGTGGTCCAACCTGTTATTCACACACTGTAAAATATTCACACCCTGGCTTACTCACACACAGATACATTGTATCAAAAGTTTTTTGTTTTTAAAATTATATACATACATTTGCATTATCAATAATCATATCATAATAATAATAATTTCAACACCAGCAGATCTATAGCACTTACAGTAAAATTGGTTGTAATTGCCACATGGAGACAGCTTTCTCCTCCTCCTCTGCCTATCTTGGCATTGCATCCCCATCTCTGTGCAGACTGTAGCTCCCCTGCATTAAGCTGTTCACAGTAAGTTACTGATAAAAAAAAGAAAAAAAACAACAAAAAGTGCTGACAGCATGTGCTGTCAGTAGCCAATCAGAGCTGGCTTTTACTGGGTTGAGATAATTCCCCCCCCCCCCTCCCAGCATTCTTAAAGTGCAGTTTTTAACCTACCCAGTGATACAGTGTTTACCCACATTGCCCATGGGAAACCATCAGGGCAAGAGTTTATTTAGAAATCTTTTATTCTTTTTTAAATGGACACTTTTTTTTATTGCATGGTTTCAGATATACAGTTTTTTTGCCAGATCTCAGACAGTTTGAGACTCTGCAGGAGGAGTATCAAAGCCTAGGCGTTTGCAGTACAGGCAGTCAGTGAGGAGAGTAGCTTTTTGGCACATTTTAATACCCTTTAGTAACCCAAGGTGCCATTCATCAGCAGTGTAAACTGGCTGCCGCTTTAATGTTAGTTTTGGAACTATTTGCAGAATGATCGTATTGTGATCGAAATGGTATAATGTTTCACACTTTACCAACATTTTGTGTTTATTCTGGTCTTTATACAATTCTTAACAGTGAAAAATCTTAAAATGTAACTTTTAAAATTGTCGCCAAATAAAGTTCCAGTAGAAAATGTTTGTTTTCAAGGAACAATCAGTGATAACGCAGAGAGGCGGCTAATCAGAGCTGGTCTGGGAGCAGAGGGTCATGGGAAAGAAGAGGATAGGCAGACGTGCTTTCTGTGTAGTTTCCAATAAATTAATTAAAAGGACATTCCAAGGTGGCGCTGATTCCCCATTTTTAAAAAGAAATTCATAAATAATGCATTCATTAAATTAATTATTTAAAAGTAACTTTAAAAAGTAATACAATACTAGATTGCAATGTCCATAGGTTGCAGGATCTCTTACCTTGATGGATCTGCAGAGCCAAGGAATTTGTTTGTCAGTTCGTAGCTTTGACTGCCGAGCAGTGCTCTGTATGTGAATGACGTTCACGCATGCGCAAATATTGCTCATGATGATGACATTTTGTAAGTGGGTAGTACATGACAATTCCTACCTATAAATAACATTTTACATGTCCAAGAGTGCCGCCATGAGCCCTTGCATTGATTCTAAAACAATCACTCCCGTAACTACTGCTTTTGCTATAAATGGGATGTTCTCTGCCTGTTGAGTTCCTTCCTTTGGCCGATGTACACTCCAGGATAGTTTGTCTTGGCGGCCACTGACACCATGATAGCGTCAAGTGATTCTCTTGGCCTATCACTGGCCTCCCACTGCGAATAACAGTATGTACTAAGCAAAATTGGTTTAACCACTGTAGGTAAGATGGCGCGCACAGGCACTCTGTGACAAACGCTCCTTACCCTGGACGTTTGCCACGAGCTCCTGGAGGAGCCGGCTAGCTAGCCTCCTGCCCCAGGACTATGGACTGTATTCCATGACCCTGTTCTGGAGTTAAATCTCCCCAATCACCATTAGTAGCTTGCCCTGGGTGTCCCTGGTTCGACACTTTCCCTTCATGCGAATGGAACCGAATGCTAGCTCTCTGGTGGCCATTCACGGGAACCAAACCTACGAATAGTCCCAGCGGTACTTAACTGTGACCGCTATTGAACTAATTTCAGCATGAGAACTTCATGGGACTTAGCCGCGAATGTTATGGAACTGTTTTCAGCAGGAGGTGACCGTGCGGTTCCTGGACAATTTGGTTCGTGGTATTAAACCACTTTGAAATCCACCAGGAGAGCCTTGGATAGAAGGTGCCTGAGACTAAGGGGAACAAACGTTACCTAGGAGCCAGTCGGAGCACCCCGTATTGCGGCCGCAGGAGCCCCTGAAAGCTGACCGGCAAAAGCACCAAACGCCATGGAACTGTTTTGGTCATAGGACCCGGTCAGAACTTCCACACGGTGGCGTTTCCCCTACACTGCATGGATCTGAGCGCTCAGATCAGGGCTATTTAACGATATATAATTTGTGGGGTTTCCTATTTGTTTTGTATGTATTTTTTATGTATTTTGATATTTTATGTTTTTATCCCGAGTGTCAGGTTACCTTGTGTATCATTCAGGGGTATGTCACAGGATGGCATCACATTGCAGGGTATTGGGGACAATCCTACCAACTCTCAGCTTGTCCCCAGCGATTCTCACGATAGCCGCGATAACCCTGCCTCCTTTTATAAGACGGCTAATGAGCGCCGACGTCATAACCACGGCCCGCCAAGGTGTTCGAATGAGAACATTTTGGGGGCGTGGTTACCTACCTAATTGAACACGGTATTTAAAGAGAAACCAGGGAGAGACTCATTGTCCTGTTGTGGCTCTTGATAGACCCAAGAGCGCGTATCTCAGATTGATATTCTTGTATTCTGACTTTAGCTTAGTTTGACTGTTTCCCCTTCTGTGTCCCTTTGACCTTGGCTATTGCATTATCGTTGATCCTGATTTCTGGTACCCCTGACTTCGAATATTGACTATTCTTTGTGTGTGTAGTGTTAGTCCGGCCATCCTAAGGTCCGGTATATATTACTAGTATTTGCATTCTGCGTGTGGGATCCCTGAACGTTCCTGAAACCGAGTCACACTGACACAGGAATTTGTGGACATTTTGTGGGAGTGTTCTGGCCTGTTTCACTGCATCTTTGATTTGTATATAAGTGGGCCATTTGGCCATGATTAAACACATTCATTTCTACCCTTCATCAAGTCTAGGCTGATGTTTGGGTAGCTCAGAGCTTTAATCACTGCATCAGGGATTTGGGAGAACTACAGCGGGTATACACAGTCGGACACACTCCAACCACCATAACAACGTTCTTGAGATACAGTTGTTATAGATGTGGGAGTGTTCCTTCATACAGGCTTTAGTAGGGCTTCCTCAGTGGGGGTTTCTTGAATAATCCCTTTAACCTGAAGAAAGGAAATGCAAAGGAGACTCAAATGCTGGTGAATATAAATATCAGCTAAATGGAACGTTATGTCTATATGCAAATCTGCAGCTAAATATAGTATAATATTCCGCTGTGCCTGCACACAAGCGATAAATATACAGCTCGTGTTATAGTTGTCTGGTTTCTGAGCGTTAATAATGGATTGCCATGTACGGTAGAAGCTTTAGCACGTGTGCTTGGCTTATAATAGATTGATCATAAATCTAGCGTTTGCTGTATAAATAAGAAAGGGATATTCAAAACACATTAAGTAATTCCAGAGCCTTGGCAAATATAAGGATGACACAGTTATAATTGAAATGTTCTGTACTGCTTACTCAGCCAATGCCTTCCTCCACTGGCAGGAAATGTTTATAACCCTCTCTACGTTCAATAGATGTTGGAAGAAAACTCTGAAAAGTCACATTGCAATGGAATGCAGATTGTTCCACTAAGATAGCTAGTACTGCGCTTACAGGTCAGTGTAAAGCCTAATCCTTTAAAACAGATCTAACTGAGCAGGGCTTTCTGGGCATCACGAGAGCTTTATAATTATAAGAGATGGAGTTATGCATGGATAGCCAATTGGGCAAACTGGGCAAATTCCCAGTGGGCCTTGATGGTCATGGGCAGAGGGCCAATTGGAGAGATCAAGAGATCTCTTGAACCTGTTGTGTTAATTTGCCAGCCTAGAAACGGCAGTGTTCTCCACTCCCCCATGTAGTTATTTGTTTTTCTTTAAACCGGGGATCTCAACCTCTGGACCCCCCAATATTGATGGCCTACAATGCCCAGAATTCTTTGAATGCAGTACATGGCGAGAATAATCAGTGTTGTAGTTGAGCAACATCTTTAGGGTCGGAATTTGAGAGCCCTGCTTCTAGCCTTCACTAGATTTATTCACAGCAAAGAAGCTGCCCTATGTAGAGGTGAATACTGGCCACGTACTTACTCTGATGGGACAGGCTGCACATGTGTGAGAGGAGCATGCTACATATATGGAAATAAGGGCAAGCAGCAGCACAAGTAGCTACACACAACACACGTCTGCATTCAAGCGCCAACACTGTATACAATCACACCCCTACATGTAAGGCCAGCCCAAGGCACTGTGCTGCTTGGATCAAAGGATGAAATGTTGCCCCCCACACCCACACCCCATCTCCAACAAAACCACACCAAGCAAAAAACGCCCATATCCACTATGTTACGCAGTGTGTGTAGTGAATGCAGTGTCTGTGTAGTGAATGCAGAGTATGTATTTGTGTAGTGGATGCAGTGTGTGCAGTGTCTGCAGTATATGTGGATTGCATGCAGTGTCTGTGGAGTGCATGCAGTGTGTGTCTGTATAGTGGACGCAGCGTGTGTATATTTTGTAATGGATGCAGTGTGTGGATAGCGAATGCAGAGCCTGTGTGAATGTAGTGGATGCAAAATGTGTGTATAGTGGATGCAGTGTGTGTGTGTGTATAGTGGATGCAGTTTGTGTGTGTGTATAGTGGATGCAGTGTGTGTGTATAGTGGAAGCAGTCTGTGTGTGTGTGTGTGTGTGGGGGTGTGTGTATAGTGGATGCAGTGTGTGTGCGCATAGTGGATGCAGTGTGTGTGTGTGTATACAGTGGATGCAGGAGTGAGGGAGGGGGTGACAGGTGGCAGAGTGACTGAGGGGGTGACAGAGTGGGTAGCAGAGTGACTGAGGGAGGAAGGGGGTGACACAGGTGACAAGTGGCAGAGTGAGAGAGGGAGGGGTGGCAGAGTGAGGGAGGGGGTGACAGGTGGTAGAGTGACTGAGGGAGGGAGGGGTGACACAGTAAGGGAGGGGGGGCAGAGTGAGGGAGGGGGTGACAGGTGGTAGTGTGACTGAGGGAGGGGGTCACACAGTAACGGAGGGGGTGACACAGTAAGAGAGGGGGTGGCAGAGTGACTGAGGGAGGGAGGGAGGGGTGACAAAGTGGGGTGGGGGTGACACAGTGAGGGAGGGTGTGGCAGAGTGACTGAGAGAGGGAGGGGGTGACACAGTAGGGTGGGGGTGACACAGTGAGGGAGAGGGTGACAGGTGGCAGAGTGACTTAAGGAGAG